CGACAAACATACGTGAAATTGATCGATCTCGGATCGAACCGAATAGTCTACAAACATCGTAGTCACAGACCATACCTTTAAAATACCGTCAAACTTGATGTAATTAGACATTACAACGACCCAGGATATATTTTTAAAGTTTTTAGTTTGGGACATACGGAAAATTGGCATTTTCATCGTGTGATGAGCGCAAGCGCATCCGCCATGTTGAAATGGCGGTAGATCAAAAGTTTCGTAGTTTTTTTTATCAACATTGGCTGGAAAAGCAATATTATCTCTACAGACAAATCAATCATTAGAAAATAAAGAATCGGTAATGGTGATTCAATTTTTTATAACTCTGTGGAAGCACATACAATATGAACTAGTCATTGCCACCAGGATTGTGCGTAGTGGGAATTTGGCGGTCTAAATAATTTACTGCACAGAATCCTGGTGTCAATGACTGGTTTCGGATCGTCCGTTGGAATAGATCTATCGTCTAAGTGTAGTGGGAATGAAACGTCACATTCCATAGGCGTACTTAGTAAAATAAGTTTCTATAATATAAATAAGGTCAAAGCATATAAAATGGTATATATGCGCTTCGTATATTAAATTTTACTAAAAATAAAACTTATGCTTCTGTCAAAATTGTTGCACTCAATATTTCGCTGCGATAGAAATGTTCACACCCGCTATAAATCTCCTAGTGGTGGAGTGTTAATAGGAGTAAAATCCTACTAATTTAATCTTGAGAAAATCTTTTGTGTCATTAAAAATTGAAAAGATAACTTTAATGGTGCGGGTGTCTACATTCCTCCCAATTCCAGTGTTGAAATTTACAATGATCATTGTCGGACTATAAAATATGTTATGGATTTATGCCCTGATAATTCTTTGTATCTTATGGGGTGATTACAATCTATCATACGCATGACATGGCATCAGAAGACCATGGCAAGATATCGTCTTTTGGAAATCATAATAGAATTTTAATGTTAAGTAAAAAGTTAGGAATTATAAAAAAAATACTAAGTACAGTCCTTATAGTTACTTGTGAAAACTAATCAGACCTTTTCTTCCATTTTTTCATTTTATAATTAGGTTAGTGCACTTGGTCATGATTTTTATGCAAAATAATAAATAGAAGAGATTGACTAGGACAGAATTAACGCAGAAATATTTAAATTTTGAAAAAGTTTTGACAGCTCTTTGATTACAATTTGCTGCTAATGGAGGGGGGAGTAGTTTGGCTTTTTTAGCATGTCATATCCATATTATTTAACCGCATTGTGGTCCATCAATCATATAGTAGTCATGGAGACGACCGGGGGAGAGTTACAACAGCATGGTTTTATTACAGTGATCATTTTGTTATTAATTAAATGTGTTTAAAAGGGGAAAAATTTAGTATATTGTAATTGTTATTGCATTTCATATTATTTCATAGTCATTACGGACATAAGAAAAATCAATTTTTGTAAATCCAGTCAAAACTAAGAAATTAAGCCCTTCCGGTTTATGACCATAAGAATCAAGTTTCTAATCCCTTTATAGCCTGGGTAGTTCGGCGACCTGCTTTCGAGACGGCTACAAATTGTCCTATTTTACGTTCATTTAGAAACAACACAGATTTTTAAATTTTATATTTGTTGAGACTTTTATCGGGTCTTAAGAATCTTGTCATCTATAGCAGTGATTTGTCGTCGATTAGAGCAAAGCGCCGAAAAAGAGCCTTGAGTCACCGAAAAGAACTTATTACGTGTGAAACATCAATAATAGGACCTCAAAATGGTATTTTCCCTACGTCTATGGACAAAAGTGGGCCTAACGGGCATCCCCCTATATATCAGGTGTTCTTAATGTCCACTTAAATTGCAAAAAAAAATGTAAATTGTAACGGTATGTCTTTTATACGTGTTGAATCTAATATTTTTTGGTTTAATGCAATTATTACGAGATTTATCAGTTTTAATTTTTGAAGTTATATTTTTTGTGAGTCGATACACCTTGATTATATTGATTTCTGTAAAATAAATATTTTATTATTCAAAACATTTGTCTCATCCTTTCTAACCTATCATATTTATCCATTAAAAGGTCGAAATATTTTAGCTATGCTACATTTGGATGTTTTTTTTTACTCAGAAGAATGAGTTGGATATTTTTTTATCATATATAGAAAGATTTGCGATTTGGTTAGCAATCAACGTACAAGAAGTATAATGAATGATTGACGTCTAGAAGACTACCATGATTTGTTGATTTCTATAGTAATCGACGTCTTGAGAAACTAAGAAGTACCATAGGCTCTGTAGAGACCTTTCAACCTATATTAGACCTGTTTTACTCCTCGATAAAGTCCTTTTCTCATTTAAATAAATCAAATTTATCATGTACCGAATATTATTCAAAAATAGATAAATGTAAGTCATTTTATTATTAGAAACTCTTGTAAATTTGGTTTTACCGTATCTTCTAAAAACATATCCTTTATTTTCAATATACGAATTTAAATACGGTGGTGTCCAACTTCTAATTTCAGGGTAATTGAGTTATATCTTAGTGCCCAATCCACGATCCTTATTAATGAGCTTTAATCACTTAAATACATCAGTTACAAATATTGGCACCCAACGTTACGAAATATGGCCCTAAATGTCAAACTAAGCTACTTATTCAACAATGTTTTGGTACTATGGTATTTTGGTACCGGCCGACAAGTTTCTGCCATATCAGCGTTTGTTAGGTAGATAATTAACCTTATTTATTTTGCTAAAATTTTAATGAATGCTGTAATCATCACAAAAGAAAAATAAATAAAATAAGTAGCGTCACTTTTAAAAATACTTTATTAACATAAATGATTAATTTTTAATATACTAAATAAGGGAACAAAAACAATATTTCAAAATTACTTAGATCACAACAAATGATCACATCAATATAAAATAAAAAGAAAAACTCTTAATAGCTAGGTTTAATTGCAATCAGACATACCTAATAGTTATAAAAAAACAAGAAGGAAGAACTTAATATCGATAAACTAATATGATTTTACATTATTGGTAGGTATATTCTACTTATACAAAAAATCAATAATTACAAATGCACGTACAGCTGCTTACAACCAATCAATTCAAGTTGTTTCAAATACTACACAATTATAACCTCAAAATCGAGTCGAATATGATTCATCTGTCAACGTATTCGAATAATTCGAACCAGGAACAAAATTAACATAAATATCTACAATACATTATTGACGAAATATAATTAATTTTCCAATTGATGTTTACTCTGGGTCTCTAGCGTTCATTCAAAAGTAAATATCTTTCAAAAGGGAGACGTTAAAATAATAAAATTACAAAAGTCTTTAAAGAACAATGACAGGAAGATAAAAATGAGTCAACAGAGCTCAATAGGCGACTATTTCAACATAAATATGCAGTGCCACCTGATAAAGTCAATATATCACGTCAAATGTCAATAAATCACGTCAAATGTCAATGTCACGTCAAATGTCAATGTCAAAATGTAGCGTAAAACAATTTCCTTCTAACTTAGAACTGAATATATTCAGAAATCCAGCAGGACCCAGAACGTTTGACTTACTTAATAAAAATAAGTAAGATTAATACGCAGGTTTCTTGTATCCTTCTGTAAACATAAAAACCATTCAAATAATTTTTCATAATACAATAAGCGCCTGTCTCTTTCAAAATTACAATTATGACGACGAGGTGTAACGTCAAAAGTCATTACCTCGCCGTCTAAAGCTATCGATGGATCAATTAATAAAAAAAAACAACTATGTATTAACATAATAGATATAACTCCTAAATAAAATTTTAAAAATCGCTGGATAAAAGATACAGAAAAACCCGCTTTCCACGAAGCTTTAGTCGATTAAACATCGAACAGTCAAAGCTTTTAAGATGCCACAAAGTAAAATCTCTCGAACTATCAGCTTAAATAAGTAGGACTACTTTTTTGGTAACATTACGATGCCGGTCTTTTGAAGCGCATATGGTGCAGTGTCCTAATTAACAAACAAAGAATATTAACACCAAAAAGGAGACTTTTGTTTAGAAACTCAAGCTTTTTGTTTTAAATGAGAAAGAAGAAAAAATAATGGCAATAATATATGTTTTTTATTGCCAAACTTTATTTCAAGAGTGTTACAGCCAATTTTTAAAACAAAACGGGGACCAAAATAGCTAGTTTCGAAGGTATAACTGTAGGTTTTAAATAAGACAACTAAATTATGGTAAATGATCCTTTTTAGACGATTGTTGATGAATGTGCACAAGAATAACCAAACTATGTCGGAAGAATAGTTTGGGCAATTATTAGAACAAAAAGGGGATTTAAAACGCTGATTTAGAAGCTAGAACTGATAGTTTTAGAGAAGATAGATCCAAATTATGAAAACCTATTGTTTTTAGAGGCTTACTGATGCATGTATACAAGAATGTTCAAATAATAGATCAAAAAAATTGTACAGACAGTTTATAGTTAAACTTAAATGTTATAGCTAATTTTTAGGACAAAAAGGGGACCAAAAGCGCTAACTTTAAAGCTAGAACTCTAGTTTTAGAGAAGGCAGGGCCAAAGTATGGTAATCCATCGATTTTTGAGATCTTTCGATGTATTTGCAAACAAAATTTGAAACAATAGATCAAACGAAATGCCCCAGGCAGTTTCTAGAGCAAATAGGGGATCTAAATACCCTCACTTTGATATTGGTGTTAGAGAAGCCAATGCTAAATTAAGCTAACCTATCGTTTTTAGAGGTTGACTGGTGCATTTGCACAAGGCTAGTAAAACTTTGTCAAGAAAATGCTAGAGGCAATATTTAGTGTAAAAAGAGGACACTAAAAGAATGGTACAGACAATTTTTAGAGCAAACATGAATAAAAAACGCTAGAACTACTGATGTTAGAGAAGACAGAGCAAAATTATGATTATCGATCACATTTAGAGGTTTATTGTTGCATTTACAAAATAATTTCAAAACAATTAAGTAAAACTGTTGGTTGTAGAGAAAACAGCCAAATTCTGGTTATCTACCGTTTTAGAGGTTTACTGATGGATTTGCACAAGAATGGTCAGGCTATACATCATCAATATGATACAGACAGATCTTAGAGCAACATATTATGATTCTGAGGCTGTTTTAGACCACAACTAATGGAATGTTTATGGAGGAGATAATAGTAGAGATAATCTATTATTTTCAGTAGTAAAATAATAGCTGGATACTACACAATATCTAACATTCGCTTCAAAAGACAGACAGCGTATTTTGTTTATTAAAGGCCACGACTGAGCGCTGCAATCGCCAAACTCTAAATTCAAGGTTATAAATTCAGTCAAATTAAACGAATCCATCAAACGGGAAACAATAATATATATAGTCGGACTTCTGAACAGCTTCGTCGAGAAAAAGGATGAGAAATTAATAACCTATGTACAGGGAAGCCGTATTTCATGCCGTGACAGTATCAGAGTCACTTTGAGGTAGCGAATAAGGTTTCTGTTTGCGTTGCCTTCTGCGTTCACGTCTCTCGCCCATGACGAGCCTGAGGTGCTCGAGCTTGCCGCGCGTCCTCAGGTTCTGGTCTTCGTTACAAGCGGTGGTCATCATGGGCTCGTCTTGTTGTTCCGGAGCGTGATTGGCCGGTTCTTCGGAACCTTTGCGGGTGACCCGTCGCAGCTCGGGCACCGAACACAGGAGATCATTGAGGATATGCACGATGGTGGCGACATCGCGACGCGGCCGACCTTTGGGGTCCTGCAAAGCCGGATTCAGGGCTCCGCTGAACGTGCCGGAGTAGACGCTTTCTCGGCGACCTTGAAAAAGCCCATTCTAATGTCAATCAATTGTAAATACATTCGTGAATTCTGCTCAATGACCATGTAGTAGAGGTTAGATTAGTTTCATATGGAATTGATGATGTATCCATCACTACATAAGTTAGGGCGATCACTATAAAAAGTGTTTTGAACTGTTTTAAGAAAAAATAGGGAATACTTATGTGTTTATAGAGTGAATGAACTTTATAAACATTGAATTGCTAATATTTTGTTTTTCAACAGTTTTTGAGTGAATATACGTTTAAAAACATTGTTTACAAATTAATTTTTGTGATTAGTATTCGGGTTTTTTGCTATTAATTTTTTCTGAATTACTTGAATAGATTTGGTAGGTTTCCTTAATAAAACAGAAAAATATTTGTTTAAATTTAGTAGGTATTTATTTTTCATTAATATTAGTTAAAAGTAGGTAAATATTTTTTTTTTATTAAATATCTTAATTATGAAAAATTAATTTGGCCTTCATTTGAAAGGTGTATAGATAAAAATCTAGTATATAGTCATTGGTTTGCATGTAATATTATTATAATTAAATCCTTTAGTTAACCATAATTAATTAGCTATTAAATATTAGGAAAAAAACAATTGCATAATTCAGAAATGTATAATAATCAAGTTATGTATAAAAAAGGCATTATCACCCTGTATAGTGTAGGTTAAAACGAATTAGAGTCATTATCAAGAACAGTGTCAATTTTAGATAACCTCTCGGACCCATCAATTTAATTATTAAAGGGGGAACATCTTTATATCATATCCTCAACTATCATATGTCATTTGCCTCCCAATAGACCATGATTGAATACAATTGGCCATAATACTGTTCCTTGTGGAACACCAGTTTTTACTGTAGTGTCAGAACTAATTTTTACTATTTGGGAATTTTAGAAATGTGTAATAATCAATTTATGTAGCAAAAAAGGTATTATACAGGGTGATCAGGCGAAAATAAATCAAAGCCATTACCAAGAACAATGTAATTTTAGACAAAAGTTCGGACACGTCAATTTTAGATTAAAGGGGGTATATATTTACATCATATTCTCAACTACCTACGTCATTCGCCTACCAATAGGCCGCATTAGAATAGAATTGGCCATAATACTGTTCCTTGTGGAGCATCAGTTTGTAATGTAGTATCAGAATTAATTTTTACTATTTGGGAATTTTAGAAATGTGTAATAATCAATTTATGTAGCAAAAAGGCATTATACAGGGTGATCAGGCGAAAATAAATCAAAGCCATTACCAAGAACAATGTAATTTTAGACAAAAGTTCGGACACGTCAATTTTAGATTAAAGAAGGGATATATTTACATCATATTCTCAACTACCTACGTCATTCGCCTCCCAATAGGCCGCATTAGAATAAAATTGGTCATAATGCTGTTCCTTGTGGAACACCAGTTTTTAATGTAGTATCAGAATTAATTTTACCTGATTGAGTTTTATCTGACAAATAAGTTTTCTATTAATGGTAGAGTTACACCTTTAATGAGTTAATCACTTATTATAAAGTATGTCCTACAAAAATTATATACATGAGAGAATTGTGTAATGGATTGCGACGTGCTCTTCGAGCACGTCGTTAGAGACAAAGTGTATTTAGATGTTTTTCTAACGACGTGCTCGAAGAGCAAGTCGCAGTCTATTATACAGTGTGTCTCAAAAAATTATCTGCATGAGAGAGTTATGTGATGGATTGCGACGTGCTCTTCGAGCACGTCGTTATAGACAAAGTGTATTCAGATGTTTTTGTAACGACGTGCTCGAAGAGCACGTCGCAGTCTATTATACAGTGTATCCCAAAAAAATATATACATGACGGAGTTGTGTAATGAATTGCGACGTGCTCTTTGAGCACATCGTTAACGACGAAGTATATTCAGATGTTTTTGTAACGACATGCTCAAGTCGCATTCTATTATACAGTGTGTCCCAAAAAATTATCTGCATGAGAGTTATGTAATGGATTGCGACGTGCTCTTCGAGCACGTCGTCATAGACAAAGTGTATTTAGATGTTTTTGTAACGACGTGCTCGACGTGCTCGAAGAGCTATTATACAGTGTGTCCCAAAAAATTATCTGCATGAGAGTTACGTAATGGATTAAAAACGAAGTGTATTCAGATATTGTTAACGCAATATATTATATAGTGTGTCCCAAAAAAAAATTAAATACATGAAAGTTTATATTTAAAAAAAATATATATAGTGTGTCCAATTAAGTCGGAACCATATGGAAAACTTTTATTTTTAATTTTAATAATAAGAAAGTTTCTCGTATGCCATCAACTTTTTATGAACTTCCCACAACCATACCACTCATTTTTATCATTATATTGGTAAATAAATAACCTAACAATTTTCTATCACAATGCAATAAGATTTTGTTAAATAATCTAAGTTTGTATTAATAATTTACCTTTCTTTAAATATCTTTAAACCCAACTTAACTTTATATTTTTTAGTCAAAAAAAAAAAAAATACGTAAGTACTTAAATTAAAATTCTTACGGTGAAAATGATTTTATCGAGGTTTTTATTGATTAATAAAGTATAACATGAAATACCAAAAAATTACTACATTTCAATTAGAAATGTGCTAAAAAGGCAACTGTCACATTATCTAAACTTCAACCTGTAATGTAATTTCCTGTCAATTTTTTTTTACACCTATCAGTGGCAACGCTGGTTCCAAGTGACAACTGACACGTTGTCAAAATAGTAAATCTGACAGCCAAAATGTACCATGTCGCTAATTTTGACTTTCTGGAATCCATAACAGAAAAAAAGTACCCAGATTAGATGCAATCATTCAACATAAATCATAATAGACGTAGAAAAAATCTCTATAATTATTCTGAATTAATATCAAAACGTCTGTAAACATAGAAAACTAATAAACTTCAATCGAAGTTGGGTAGGGAGAAATTAGCAATTGTTTATATTTATATAAAAAAAATAAGAATATTATAGTTACATTTGACAACATGTCACATTATCTAACTGTCAACCTCAAATTGTCTTCTTATCCTCCGATAATCGCGGCAACGCTGCTTGCAACTGACACATTCCCTGAAATTAAAACAAGTTCTAAACGATTTTTTTCTCACTTACCTCTGTCTTTTCCGGAGAACACATCAGCGGACAGTCTTCTGAGAGTGTGCTGCAAATTGCGCGAGGCTTGCAACAGACTAGGAGGGCTGGACGACGTCGAGGAGGTTGAGGAGGAGGATGATGATTGTGGTTGGGGGGGAGGGGCGGCGACGCAAGGAGGTCCCGGCGTAGGAGGCGGCGTCGGCGGAGCGGTCGGTTTTACTCCGGAAACCGTACTGAGTTGCAGTTGGATGAGCATCATGTGATCACCTAAAAGCATTGTTACCAACTACAATCTCCAAAATAAAAATTTAAGTTCGTGTTTCATTAAATACAGATAATTTATTGATCAAGGGAAGACTTATAATGAATATTATAAAATTTAATAATAATTTACTTTTGCAGACTTGTATCGCACAGCTTTATCAAGATATTCCGTAATAGAGTAAAAAGAGCTTTTCTATAGGTAGATTTTAACCTTACTTTTAAAAGATTTGTATTTAATTATTCGCGCAAAGCATTTTAGATAGGAGACGTTTAGAAATTCGTTGTCTAATAGTTAGGTCATTATGTTGGGTGTGGAGTATTAATATACTGCCCCCTTCTGTCACTAGATTAGGTCTTAAGTTGTCATTTCTTGTGTGATGAGAATAAATAAATGTGAGATTCAGAATAGTTGTTTGTGCAATAAGAGTGGATATAATAGCCATATCGATACGAACAATTCACTTGAGTTGTACAGTATATTTTTTAGACCCACTAACGAAAATCTACAAAAAAAAATTAATGGTGGGTCTAATAAATCTTCCTGTTAAAAAAATAAACAATATTTTTTTTATAATAAAATACCATCGTACTGTCTACAAAAGTTGGTATTGGAGATGTTCCAAACTTATTACAAAAAAACAAAAATGTAAAATACAAGCACCATTGAAAATTTAAATGTAATATATTACCTAAACGCATGCTGAGATTGAGCGGGGCTTTGCCGCAAAGAAACTCATTCACTTGGGTGTCGTTAAGAGATTCCAATGCCTGCATTATCCCAATTTCTGGACGCTGTGTCTGCAAAAAAAAACACGAATATTTATTACGATTTTAGTGTTCTAATTCTTCCGAATCACCAAAAATATCATCAAAAAACGTTTTTAGTTTATCAAAGAATCACTGATATATTAACAATATCAGGTATGTTGACTATTAAGTTGTTTGGGAAACAAACAATATTTATTGGTCAAGTACACCTGGATTTATTTTCGTCTGGGAGTAGATTTTCGAATTTTTACATAGATTTTTAGCAGTCTGATTCAAACCGTGCTCGAAAACGAACGTGTTTATTGTGAAAATTATACTCAGAGTGATAGCAACTGAAAAGTATGTCATCAGAGAGTAATGGCTCCTATTCGGAGATGGAAATAACTGATGAAGGAGGGTGGCAAACTAAAAAATGCAAGAACAGAAGAAATAAGAACAAGGAAGATAGAGAAAACAAACTAATTTAAGTCAAAACGAAATAGAACTGCTTGTTTTAAAGGAGACTGAGCCAAATTATGGTAATCCATCACTTTTAGAGGATTATGTATGCATTTGCACAAGAATACCCCAAACTATGTCGAAAGAATTGTTCAGGTAATTTTTAGACCAAAAAAGGGGATCTAAAATGCTGACGTAGAAGCTAGTACTGCTGGTTTTAAAGAAGGCAGCATGAAATTATGAAAATACATGGCTTTAAGAGATAGAAACAGAAAAACCTGCTTTCAATGAAGCTTTAGTCGATTATACATTGAACAGTCAAAGCTTTTAAAATGCCATAAAGTAAAATCTCTCGAACTATCAGCTTAAATAAGTAGGACTACTATTTTGGTAACATTACGATGCCGATCTTTTGAAGCGGATATGGCGCAGTGTCCTAATTAATAAACGACGTAAGAATATTAACACCAAAAAGGAGACTTTTGTTTAGAAACTCAAGCTTTTTGTTTTAGATCAGAAAGAAGAATAAAAATATATGAGTTTTATGGATGCATTTGCACAAAAATTGCTAAACTTAATGTCAAGAGTGCTACAGGCAATTTATAAAGCAAAAAGGGGATCAAAAACGCTAGCTCATAAGCTACAACTGTTGGTTTAAAATAAGACAGAACCAAATTATGGCAATCTCTACTTTTTAGACGATTGTTGATGAATGTGCACAAAAATACCCAAACTATGTCGGAAGAATAGTTCGGGCAATTATTAGAGCAAAAAGGAGATTTAAAACGCTGATTTAGAAGCTAGAACTGATAATTTTAGAGAAGACAGATCCAAATTATGAAAACCCATTGCTTTTAGAGGCTTATTAATGCATGTATACAAGAATGTTCAAAAAATAGATCAAAAAAATTGTACAGACAGTTTATAGAACAAATAGGGGATCTAAAAAGCTAACTTAGAAGCTATGAACTGCTGGTTTTAGAGAAGACAGAGCCAAATTATGATAATCCATCATTCTTTTACCTTTATTAATTCAAGTACACAAGAATTTTCAAAAAATAATGCTACAAGCACTTTTAGAGCAAATAGGGTATATAAAGATACTAACTTTGAAACTAAAGCTGTTGGTTTTATAGAAGACAGAGCCAATATAACAATCTATCGTTTTTTATTAATCTGTACTAGAATAGTTAACTTTAATGTCAACAGGCAATTTTTGGAACAAAAAACGAGAACTTAGAAGATAGAACTGCTTGTTTTAAAGGAGACGGAGCCAAATTATGGTAATCCATCACTTTTATAGGATTATGTATGCATTTGCACAATAATACCCCAAACTATGTCGAAAGAATTGTTCAGGCAATTTTTAAACCAAAAAGGGGACCCAAAATGTTGACTTAGAAGGCTAGTACTGCTGGTTTTGAAGAAGACAACTTGAAATTATGGAAATCCATGGCTTCAAGAGGTATATTGATGTATGTGTACAAGAATGTGCAAACAGTACATAAAAAGAATGGTACCAATAGTTTCTAGAGCAAATAGGGGATCTAAAGAGGCTAACTTTGAGTTAAAGCAGTTAGTTTTATAGAAGACAGAACCAATATAAAGCAATCTTCCGTTTTTATGCATTTGGACAAGAATAAGTACACTTTAATGTCAAAAGAATGCTGCATACGATTTTTAGAGCAGAAAGGGGTCCAAACACGCAAACTTAGATGCTAGAAATGCTTGTTTTATAGAAGACAGCCAAATTATGATAATCCATTTCTTTTAGAGCAGCCATGCTCAACCTGCGGCCCTCCAAGCTGTTTTGTGCGGCCCTCCAAGTTGTTTTGTGCGACACTCCAAGCTTTTTTGTGCAGCACCAAACACTATTATTAGGAATAACCTACAGTCTTTTTTTAAAATAAATTGTCCCAAAGCTTATTAAAACAATATGAGGACCTCTTTTTGGCCCGTGTAGCATAACAAATTGATTTATGTGTCCTGAAAGAACAAAAGGTTGAGCACAGCTGTTTTAGAGGATTATTTATGCATTTGCACAAGATTACCCCAAACAGTCAAAAAAATTGTTCAGGCAATTTTTAAAACAAAAAGGGGATCTAAAACTCTTAGAAGCTAGTACTGCTGGTTTTAAAGAAGACAGAGCCAAATATATGGAAATCTATGGCTTTTAGAGGTTTATTGATGCATGCATACAATAATTTTCAAACACTACATCACAAGAATTATACAGATAGTTTCTAGAGCAAATAGGTGATATAAAGACGCTAACTTTGAAGTTAAGTTGGGGGGTTTTAGAGAAGATAGAGCCAATGAGTCCTATGATTGAATGTTTATGTTATCCGTAACGTACATCTAAAGGCCGAGTTTTAACAGTAACGAGGCAAGTTCGTATGATGGAAAACTGTTAAATTAAAACATAACAGGCCGAAAATAACAGTAATGTGTTGGAAGAAGTTTCCATCATCCGAACTTGGCTCGTTTCTGTTTAAACTCGGCTTAACATGTACGTTACGGATAACGTAAACGTTTAATCATATGACCCAATATAAGGTAATCTATCGTTTTTAAGTATTTGCACAAGAATAGCTAAATTTAAATGTTATGGGCAATTTTTAGGGCAAAAGGGGGACCAAAAATGCTAACTTTACAGCTAGAACTCTAGTTTTAGAAAAGGCAGGGCCCAATTATGGTAATCCATCGATTTTAGAGACCTATTGATGTATATGCAAACAATAGATCAAAAGAAATGCCTCAGACAGTTTCTAGAGCTAATAGAGGATCCAAATACATATCATTTTGAGAACAAGCCCCAGTACTATAAATAGTAGCAAAGATAAAAACTCAACAAAAAACATCCAAGATAATCCAAGTTCTATTCCAACAAAAAGTCAACCTGAAAAAAAAAACACACAATGCAAATAAATGAACAGAATAGACTGAGGTATTTACTAGTCCTCTCTACTGAGATAAATATAAATAAATGTAAATACATACTCTATATAACAGCAAAGGCACAATGCACTAGATCTGAACTTGTAAATATATGAGAACAAATGTACCCTGATGCTACTGATGAAATCATTAAAACTAAAGTTAGATTCATTACTAAAAACAACCCAAGAAAAATATATTATTAAAGACACTCTACATAAATTATCAGCTTTCAAAAAAATTATTATTTACAATGAAACCTTCCCCAATAACCAACCAACCAACCAACCAACCAACCAACCAACCAACCAACCAACCAACCAACCAACCAACCAACCAACCAACCAACCAACCAACCAACCAACCAACCAACCAACCAACCAACCAACCAACCAACCAACCAACCAACCAACCAACCAACCAACCAACCAACCAACCAACCAACCAACCAACCAACCAACCAACCAACCAACCAACCAACCAACCAACCAACCAACCAACCAAACAACCAACCAACAAACACCAATAAAATCTTGACAACAAATTAATTGTTCTTTTTTTAGACCTACAAAGAGCTTTTGAAACAGAAAAATCGATTACAATGTCTTATAAGTTACCTGGACAATAGAAAACAAAAATTAGGTGTACCACAGAGAAGTATATTGGGCCCATTATTGTACCTTCTATATATTGATGATAAGTAACCACTACTATAAATGCCACATTAAAGCAAATATATGATTGGTGCTGTTTTAATTCATCAAAAATAAATATTAGTAAAACAAAGTTTATGATCATCAGGAATGTTAGGTATTACAATGAATTTACTGAAAATAATATGAAGATTAGCATTGAAAATGGTGTCATTGAAGGCGTACAAAAAATTAAATACCTGGGAGTATTAGTAGACCATATGTTGTTTTTTAAAGATCATGCAAACTATATTGATAAAACAGTAGCATTTAAAAACAACCTCTTGTACCGGGGCTAAAAATATCTTAATAAATGGTCAGTGATTCTTTTATATATTATAATTTTGCATCATTTCACTTATTGTGCCACCATTATGTTTACTTAATCAGAATGAAACCAAGAGAGTTCAGAAATTACAAAATAGAGCAATGAGGATATAATGTCATGTGATAAAAGGACTATAATATATTATGGATGTTTATAAAATTAAACATGGACTGTTGCTTGATAAAATCAATGAGAACTTTTACTATCATAACTAATAACACAAGAAATAGATTTAATTCCGCGGATTGCAAGTAAACAGTGCCAAAATTTAATATTTTTTAAAGGACTTTAAGCTTTTAATGAGTTACCCCTAGAACTCAGAAATGTCACCACATTAATACTTTTAAATATAAGTAAATTAAGAGATTATTAGTTAATGAGTCGGCATCCATGTTATTTTAAAGTGTTCTATTTTATGTTTTATATTTTAGAAATATATATTTTGCTAAATAAAGGAGAAATACAATACAAAAACACTAAAGTTGTCCAATATTGTGTAACAAATGCAATCAAAAAATTAATCATTGAGACAATAATAAAAAATCTGTGAAAGTAAAAAATATTTACTTAAAAACCACTTTCTCAAACTATAATATAGGCCAAGAAATGGTGCATTTAATTTTAATAAACATTTCTATTTGATCACTTACACTGAAAAATATTATTATACCTAAGTGACTTTTCTTGTTTTCACAGATTAAATTTATATGCCATGAGCAATAAAATATTTTTGTAACAATAAAAAAACTACAGATATTGATTCCAATTTGTTACTACCTACAGTAAAATAAATATTAATGTTTGATTTTTAATTGTTGTATAAACTACCAAAGGTGAACAATGCTGATACCAATTTTGCCATACAATGCATATTTTGTTCATAATTTGTTGATTTGTAGAAATAAGCAACACATCAAATTTAATGCTAATTTTACTTTTACTTTATGAAAAATGTCTTCCTATTAGTTTATTTACATATAAATTATTTATTATTCAAGTTAAAATTAATGTGCCATAACAATGGATTGGGTTTTGAAATGCAAATAAGAAGGGAGATCAAAGTGTGATTGAGTAATAAAATGAAATGTTTCAAGTTTCAACCTCTAAACTTTTGCTCACTAAAACTGAATTAAATTAAAAAATGTACTTACAATGAGCCCTGTTTCAACATTTGGTAATAAAGTAATCCTAGATCCATCAGAAATGCCATGTTGAAGCAGATTTCCATCTTGTAATTGCCTAAAAAAGATTAATTAAATAAAAAAAAAATAAAAAGTAACTGTACTTTGCATCTGAGACCCACTTATCTCTAAAGAGTAAACATATTCGATCTCTGGGCACTTTGAGTCTTTTGGATATAAGTTTTTTGAGATTTTCGATTGAAATGTCCGAATCTACACTGAGGTAAAAGTCGCCCCCCGTCGTGGGGCTCACATGAACATTTATTTGTGTATTTGTGCCACACCCCTGAGAAATGGGGTTAGTAGATGATTGTGAGGTATTTTCCATATTCCTAAAGTCTTTTTTGAGGCACTACACTTTATTTAAAGCACTATAACGCTGGACCGAGTACCTTTATCGATAAGTTTGATATCTGCACCATTGCTAAATGCATAAAACTATAAAAAAAAACAATACTGTGTTACGGTACTGTAGACCGACGATTCGGCCTGCTGTATCTGACAAGTGGAGTTGCGCGAAAGTCCTATTATTCGATTCAACACAAAGAACGGTAAAGTGATATGGTGGTTGCCGCCTTTCAGGGGTAAAACGATAAATAAAAACATTAAGATTTATTTATTATCCTCTCGAACTCAAGATTACTAATTGCTTGTTTACGATTTCACAAAAATAGCTACAGCTACAAATGTTGTGGAATTTTCGGTACATTCCACTTAAGTTGAGTAGTAAATTTTACAATAATATATAAATCGTTAAAAACTACTCATTGCCAAAGGTAATCAATGGCGTAGTACAGTGTCTATTTCGATTAGGGAGAGGGAGTATGTTAATGTTATCGTCTCCAAAAAATTTATGGTGTACAGCTGTAATTAACGTTTATTCTAATACATAAATAAATAAAATTAATTATAATATTAGAATCCCAACACAATAAATATTAAATATAGAATCATGTGTCTCTTTTTAATACATGTTTTTTATGCTTTATCTCAAATTGTCAAATATTTCTAAACATATGCTTGCTTGCTGACAGATTCCCACGGTTCGTAAGACAATACGGTGGCCTCATCCGGTTGCTAAGAGCGCAATGACAGAATGAAAAAGTGTGTTGACAGAAAATATTCACTTGGGGTTTTACATTAGTCTTTTAAAAATATATTATTTTATTAATATTTAGTGGTTTATTTTTTTACTATATATCTTTGCTCGAGTTTTTATAAAATCGGTAAATTGATTTTTTGAAATTAGGGCCGATTCCACCGTTGTGTTAAACGGAGATTAAAATGACAATAGAGAGTTTTAGCAAATGTACGTAAGATTTCCGCTAACGTTACGTTAAACTTAGATTGTGATCTTTTTCATAAACATTGAACAGAGTAGATTACAGTCTATCCCTAAGGTAACGTTAGCGGATGGTTAGCGGCTGTTTGCTAAAACTCCCTGTTAATGTAAAAATATCATTTTAAACTTCGTTTAACACAACGGTGGAATCGGACCTTATTATTTTGTTTTTAATCAGAGAATTTTCAATTTTTCTGTGTCCTATATTGGAAAAGCAAGGGGCCAGCTGCCCTCACACTTATCCTTTCTCCATGCCCTCACCTGTCCCCCGCCCTTGTATATGCCCATAATTTATAATTATTCCATTGGCTTGTTGTCAAAATGTCAAAAATGTACAAGACCAAAATCATTAGACATGCAGAAGTAGGGTTAAGTTTTTTTATTCCAAATTTAAATATTATTTTTTACTCGGATATAAGTGAAGTTTTGTGATGGTGCAACATTAGGAATATACGATATCAGAATAGAATAATGACCACATTAAAGATTTACAATCTAGATGATTCCGAAGAAAATGTACCTGTGTCCGTTCTTGCTAAAGGAGAACACATCATCGGAAGGGAAAAGTTAAACTGCAAGGATAAAAGAGTTTCCAGAAACCACGCTTTAATAGTAATAACCGAAGATTCAGTAACGTTAAAATCTACACACATTAACCCTTCGTTTTACAAACCAAATGGTGGAAATAGTATTCAGCTCGTTAAAAAAGACAGTATCATCACACTCAACGATGGAGATCAGTTTTCTCTATTGCCTCAGGAATTCTGGTTTAGGATAAGAGTTACCAAAATTGAGGAGGTCCCAGAACAGAATAGGTAGGCTTAAAAATAATAATTGGACTGTAGTTTTTTGCTTATAGGGTGACCATACGTACCACATTTCACTGTATTGTATAGCATTTTCAAACTATGTTTAGCATTTGATTTTGTACAGCAAACCTATAGTAAAACATTGTATTTGTCCAGCAAAACACAATGTTTATCCAGTAATCTAATACACAATTTATTGGAACAAAAATAAGGTCATGGCTTGGCTGGTTTTATTTATCTTTAAGGAGCTAAAATATTTTCTCACCTCCAATATTTTAATCAATGTTGTATTCATGTTCAACATTCAGCATAGGGTCAAAATAAATATGGTCACCACATTCTTATAGTATATTTTAGTGAATATTACCCAGAACTTGATGTCAAATTATAGTTTTACTATTATATTTATTAACAGATACCTCAAAAGAACCCATGTCAATGAAACATGCGAAGAAAGCAATAAAAAACCAAAATTTAATACTACTGACAATGATACATCACAAATATCTAAGTCTGATTTATTAGAAGATAGTTCGAATCATGCAACACTTGAAAACTCAAATGTGGATCATCATTCAGAAGATTTAAACCCTACTGTTCAAGACAGTGTAACTACCATGATAGAGAATCCAAGCAATGAAAAAATTACAGCTACAGTGGACACTAATAGTGCAACTGACCATAAATTACATCACAAAGAAATATCTGATTCAGAAGAAAGTTTGGATTTTGGAGCCATTGAACCTGCAAAAGTGTCTGATTCAGAAGAAAGTTTAGATTTAGGGGCAAATGAACCCACAAAAACGACTAAACAATCAGAAGAAACAACTGATGTTAATAAAAATGATGTAGATGATGAAACACCAGATGCAAATCAAAATAATCCTGTACCAACCAGTCCTAAGACAAAAAGAAATCGTTGCTGGTACAAAGATAAATGTTACAGGAAAAATCCTGCACATAGAACTCAATTTAGTCATCCTGGTGATGATGATTATGATACAGATGATGATTGTCCAGTTTGTCCGTTTGGTGATACATGCTATAGAACAAATCTTATTCACAGAGAACAGTACAAACATTCCAAGCCACCTGCTCCAAAACCTGTCGCTAATAATAACACTACTGCTACTAATAACATTAGTGATAGCAGTGATACAGATGATGGTGATGCTACTAATACAGGAAAGAAAAAAAGAAAAGCAGCTGCTAAACCCAAAAAATATGCAGAAACCCCTGATGATGATTACGATATAGAAGATCCATTCATTAATGATGCCAGTAGTGATGATTTTCAAATCTCTGGAAGTGGTAGTGATGATAGTGATGACACTGAATGGCAAGATACCCAAGTAGTTGATGAAGAAAGCCAAGAAACGAGACGTTTATTGAAAGAGGCTAAAAAGTTTACCAAAAAGAAAAATAAAAAGTAAAATTGTTATAAGGAAAAATATATGTTTTTTTACTATTACTATTATCTGTGTATTTATTTATGAATTTTGAAAGATGAAGGTTCTTGTTGAATTGATGTAGAACTGAACTATTTCTTAGAAAAGAATTAAATGAAAGGCAATAAATTTAATACTCTTTTAATATTGGTATAGGAAGACTGGTTAGAGTTGTAAAATATCTAAATATACCTGATGTAGTAATCAACATTTTAACTTTGCTGATTAATGAATTTGGTCTCTTTCCTAACTGTCTAAAAGCAGCTATAATAATACCACTTTATAAGGGTGAAGACAAAATCAAAACCTGTATCTATAGACCTATTGCCTTGTTACCTACCTTATTGGAGATAGAAAGACTAATAAAAAACCTTCTCTTGCCCTTTCTTCTCAAACATAACACCCTAACAGCTCATCGGTATGGCTTCCTACCAAAAAAATGCAGTGATGCAATGTTTTCTGTTTTTAATGAAATATATACATCAATTAATGATAAACTCTTCACAGTTTCAGTATTTTGTGACTTCACAAAGGCCTTCAATTGTGTTAACCATGAATTTTTAATTAAAATACTACAAATTTATGACATAAAATGGTTTAAAACTTACCTGGAAAATAGGAATCAACAAGTGCTGGCGAATGGTAAGGATTCTACAAATCTACTAATAAGTAGTGGAGAACAAGGTTATTTCCCACGATCTTGAAAACAAGCAATAGTTATTCCATTGCCAAAGAAATGTAATTCAACCTCATATAATGAACTAGGGCATTCTTCCATTAATATCAAAAATACTCGAACTTGCTGCCTATATTCAAGTATGAATATGTTACAAAGAATAGTATAATTCCACTTCACCAATCTGGCTTTCAGAAGGGGTTTAGCACTACAACAGCTTTGGCATATCTATCTGATGACATTTTGAACAGCGTTGACAAGAAAAAGACAGGTTTATTAGTTCTCCTAGACTTCAGTAAAGCATTCGATATGATAAATCACAAACTTCTCTCTGCTAAATGTTCTTACTATGGTTTTGATGCAACATCACTAGGCTTCATAATATCGTACTTACATAATCGTTACCAACAAGTCATTGTTAATAGTCAAATGTCAACTTCAATTCAAATAAAATCCGGCGTTCCTTAAGGTTCGGTCCTGGGACCACTTTCTTTACCGTTCTCCTACAGTCAGTGTTGTAAAATTAGCATATTGTACAAAACCACATCATTGTAGCTGCTAATCCGCTATAGATAGTCCTGAATGGAATTGCCTAGATGTGGGTTATATATTTTTACCTAAACACAGTTCTAAATACCAATAAAACAAAATTGATCATATAAAAATCATAAAACGTTTATTTCTTAAACTAAATTTACATAGATATAGATACTGTCTAACTAAACTTAACATCCATACTGCAAACTCAACAACCCCACGCTCTTAGTGATACTATTTGATGAATTAATAGTAGACTTCATACCCAACTGGAACACTCTAGTCAAAATAATTTTCGCGTATTCCTGCATAACCGCCACCAAATCAGACAGTCTCTCCAGCACGCTATCTACGACATCTCCGTTTTTGCTATCCAAGCAAGCCAGCACCGCAGGAAGCGCTTCGTTAGCAGCTGTGGGATTGTGCTTCAACCATCTGACGATCAACAGCAGCGCTAAAGACCGCACGGAACTGTTAGGTGAACCGATAGAGGTGCAAAGATGCTGCGAAACCTCCTCTAACCATTGCGGTCGCTTGCTGGTTATGTGGTCGAGTTCCTGCAGAGCGGATAGATTGTCTTGTTGCTGTAACGCCGTTTTAAGCTGCGACCAATGTTGAGGGTACGATTCCGGAACGGGCGGAGTCACTGTACCGACTAGGACTTCGCTGGCGCCCAGTTGCTGATCGGCAGTCGGAAGGGATACGCTGGAAAGAAGAGGACGCACGCCTGGTTGGCTAAATTGAAGATCGCTGCAAAATAATTAGTACTTGCTTTATAATTTTCAGTTTACAGGTATGCTAAATGATTGAAATGTTAATTTGTTGTGTTCTTACAGAAAAATGATAAAATTGTTACATAAACATCTAAACCTGAAGATACTATTGAAGACTTGCAAAGTCCGACTCTAGGAAAGGTTTTCAAGAAGACAACACATATTCAACTGATCATAACACTAAAAACAAAAAATCTGCTAGATCAAAAACTGGAAAAGGTTTTAGTGAAAATTTAGCAAACTGGTGATGGAACACACTGAAAGTAAGAAGATTAGCAACTGATAAAAACTACTCTGTTTAAATAAGCAGAAAAGATAAAACTAAGAAAGAACTGGCAGATGACAAGGTCACTAGAAGATACATTTATATTAAATAGAGACAGAGAAGAGAAAGCTTATATCCCAAAGAAGAATCCTTTAACAGACAGAGATAACAGATGACAATAAAACTAAAATGATAAAAAATCCTGGTAACTATATTGTCCTCATATCAGAATAGCAGATAACAAATGTTCAACGTTCCAATGACAATTTTGTTATTTCGACAAATAAACAGACGAAAATGATTTACTTACTGCAATAAAGTCCCGTGGTTTTGTAGATATTTAGACGCACCCTTGACGTCTCGCACCATCCAGTTCTGGATAAAGTTAACCAGCCTTATCACCAGCACGTTCAAATCCTTCCCGTGCCCGTGGTACTGTAGAAGCAAAAAGTACGAGTCCAACAGCTCGCACAACGTGGTCGTCTGATCGAAAATGTACGGCTGTAGAAGCTCCATGATGCCGATGATTTGGGCGAAGAGCATGAAATGACCTCTGCTCTTCAGCACGCCCCAATCGTATTGGGCTCGGCCCTTCAAGCAACCCGCTAGCATCGGTAGTTGCCGCAATACTAGAACCGGATGGGTGGCTGCTAGTTTCCTTGCGCACAATTCCAATTCTTGGCTTTTCTTCGCCCAGTCTTTGTTGCGCGGTGTTGCCGCTAGAGCGCTCAATAGGCAATGGGATATTTCGTCTATCGTGCTCGGGCAATTTTTGCTGTAAATGTCCGTACCTGAAAAATTAACGAAAGAAGAATATACTTTAGAATGAACTGTACAAAGTTTATTTACATACAAACTGAAAATAGAAGAAGTTCAATTTTTATGGCGATATACGCCGTAAAATTTGCTCTTCCACTTAACCTCAAAAGGATTCTTTTTTCAATATATGGCAACTCTGTTACACGTTCCTGAATTTTACTATCTACTTTAAACGTCTTCATGTATACCTAGTATTAAGGCGCGAAAAAGGTACTTACAAGTTTCAGGTTTTACGTCAAATCCGTCTTGTCCGGAATACGGAATGGACATGTAGATCATCAAAATTAACTCTTGCGTATATTTATCATCGGTCTCTTGTAACAACGTCTTCATTATGGTACCAGCGTTGTTTCCGATACTTCTGAGTACCAGCTGCAAACGAGTTTCCATTTTTCGTTGCCAATTAACCACGTTTATTTTCGATTCTTCGATTACGTATTTTATCATAATCAAGGCCTCAAAAAAAAAGAGGATCGGGTAATACAAGAAGTCTATATAAATGGGGAATTACAACCTACACAATAGGCATGTATTGGAAAGAATGTTATTTGTTCCAGACATAAAAACTAATGGAAATATAATTATGATTTTGTATAACGAAATAAAAGTACCCGCCTATATATTATTTAATAGGAATATTGAGAAAAATTCTCAAGAAAAATAATGTGGATTAATATTTTTAATATACAATTAAGTCCTTGTAATAAAACGTATATATGACTGAACTGAGGGTGATAAATTGGATCATATTAACAAAAAAACATGAGCTTGAAATTGAAAAATGAATGCTAGAAATGGTTTTATTTTATTTTAAACCCTTTGTAAATACAAAGTTAAAATCGTTTATACTCGGTTTCTTTGTAATAAACTAGTAAAAGTAATAACCCATGCAAAAAACTCACCTGCGCACAGTTGAGTTGCAGCACATCTTCGAAATGGTAATGTTTCGGTATGGCCTTGTCGCGCCCCTGCCACAATTTCGGGCTTTTCGTCAATGCCATCAAAAAATCCAAAGCGGACGTCGGACACACTTTCGTTACGAAATCCTCTCTCAAGAGATATATCATAATATTGTGCAGTATTTTCCAACTGGCCCGTTGCAGAACCAACGACATCAGCAACGGTCTGAATTGGAGATTTTGTTGAGAAAACAACAACTCCATCTGTAAGAAAATTAAGTAAGTAAAGTAAGTAAGTAAGTAAGTAAGTAAGTAAGTAAGTAAGTAAGTAAGTAAGTAAGTAAGTAAGTAAGCAAGTAAGTAAGTAAGTAAGTAAGTAAGTAAGTAAGTAAGTAAGTAAGTAAGTAAGTAAGTAAGTAAGTAAGTAAGTAAGTAAGTAAGTAAATTACGTAAATTACCTGTAATTTATGTTTATCGGAGTTGGCGATTTCCAATTCGATAGCCGACAACCAATCGACTATCAATCCGGTCTTTTCCGCTTTATTCCCGCCCTCCAACAGCATCTTCCCCAACTTTTCGCCGATCTCGTCCGGGCAATTGGCGCTTGCGTTACCCGCCGTCTCCGTACCGATCTCCATTTTGATCTCTTTGCTGTCGCGACGACCGCTCGTCGCGTACTGCCGCAGCACGACGGAAATGCACGACCGTTTGTTCGGTATCAGATCCGAGAATTGCGCGGCGAACGCGGCCTTTTCGGGACTGTTCTCACCCGTGGTGAAAATCAAACGGATTAGCGTCGAAATGGAATTGTACTTCACTATAACCGGCAACGTGTAGTTTATTGGGATGGATTTTATGAAATTGAAGATTAAATCGGCGGTGCTCTTCTTCGACGTTATACTCTGAAAATAAAGACTGAAATTTATCTTTTTGAACTTTTAATACAAAAAAGAGAAAAACTTAATACAACTCTAATATATTTTATTAATAATATGAATATTTCTCCAAAAATAGTAGCAAGGTTAGTTAGTTTTAACTCTATTTCAGCTCCGTTTCAGGGTCGTCGGAATTTTGAAAAAAATATTGGTATGTACACTAAAAACTACTCATTTTATATAGTTAAAAAAAAAATGAGAAAAACCCACAAATAAAGACAAAAAATGAATCAAAAATTTAAAGTTAATAGTTTATATATACTTGCCATACCTACCTTATACAAATAGACATCGATGGTTTATGGTAAAATATGAACACACAAGAAACCTTTTTATCTTCCCAAAAACTTACACATCTTAAACAGCATTTGTTCAAGAAAAAATATTTTTTTATTTTTAATTGATTTCCTACTGTCAGTTTTGACTAGCTCAGTTTAATTTGACATTTTACATTGAAGGATAATTCAACACTCGCACACTGTTGCCAAGTTGGGTAATATTTATTAAATAAAAGGAATTCCAAATCCTTTTTTTAAGAAAATTTATATAGAGCCATCGACAAAAACACAAGTACTGCAAGGCACGACTTTTATGATACATGTTTGCATTGAACGAAATTTGTTTCACCTGTGTTGTTTAATAATATTTCAGCCTATTTGACTACTAAACCAAATAATACATTTACCTACATATATTTATACACTTTTCTATTTATGAATGTATGAAGGCTATTGAATAAAGTGTTCATAAAAAGTAAATATAAACAAAATAAGCTCAAAAAACTAGAAACCGTGCTGAACTTATTAAAGAAAAACCGATTATATATATAGAAATCTAATTTTGTCAGTCATCCACGGTCAAAAATGCTACGTCTAGATGTTCTTATCCAAGAATTGGTAGACTATGCAACCAAAAATGCACAGAAATGTATTTCAGGCTGCCTAACAATTTTCTTAAAGACAGTAATTATGGCGAAGACGTAAGAGACGTGGATTTCGAGGTTATGTATGAAATTGACGGAGCTGATGGGTGTAGAACCCTCTTAAGTATAATTTATAATCACCTTAACGTAACTTAACGCCGTAAAAACTTATCGTATGTACCTAACCTCCAAATAAAACCCATAAATTTTGATTTTGCTATATATAAAGAATATATTAATTACTTTAAAAGCAATAATATAAAAATATAATAAAACAGAATAGTTTACAGAAGATGTTGATTGTTTTTGAACAATAATGAGAATTTAATCTTTCCTAGCAAACTAGTTTTGTGTCTTATTTCAGTTCTAAACTTGATGTTAATAGGTATATGTAGCAAAACATTCATATCTGATAAATCCAATAACATAAACACAAATCATTCATGATATAATGTGTGCCTATAAAAAAGGAGAGTGATAAGTTTACAAATGGTATTTATCCATTCATTTAGAAAAAGAAAATAAAAAGAATAATTGACAGTTATCACACGCTGAACTCAGAATTATCTCATTGGCTGACCGTAAGGTCTTAAGTTAAAAGTTGGCAAACTTTCTACGGTACGTTAAGTTCTTAAGTTACGTTACGAACATTTATAAATAAGTATACATAAATTCAATATTTCAACTTCTTGCGTTAAGTGCTTAAGTTACGTTACGGCGGTTATAAATTAAGGTTTTGGAATTCCTTTTATTTAAGAAATATTACCCAACTTGGCAACAGTGTGCGAGTGTTGAATTATCCTTCAATGTCAAATTAAACTGAGCTAGTCAAAACTAACTTAGTAGGAAATTATTTTTTAAATTAAATATTTTCAAGTTGCTGACAACAAATTTCATTAATTAAATTATGTTTAAGATGTGTATATTTCTGGGAAGGTATAAAGATTTCGTGTTTATTCAAATTTTACTGTAAATCATCGATGTCTATTTATGTAGGGTAGGTGTTATGTCTAACGTCTGTAGAAGTATTTTTTCTATTGGTTATTGTTGTTTTATATTAAACACCACTTTTTTTACTATGATTTATTCAACGTAACAAACCGTGGCGTAACCCGCTTGGTTACGCCATGATTGTATCTCTGTCGAGGCTAGATCTCGAATGACAATAACTATATCATGGACAATGACTAGGATCGATAAGGATCGGGAGTTGGGAGGTACCAAAATAAAAGAACAGTTATATGGGCCTTGGACCATTCGGTTACGCAACAGTAGGTATACCTAATAAATTGCAATCTTTGACTCATTTTTTTTTAATTTGTGGGTTTTCCGCAATTTTTTTTAGAAACTTACTATTTAAAATGAGTAGTTGTTAGTGTATCAACATTTTTTTTTTTTTTTCAAAATTCCGACGTCCCTAATATTATACAGCTCTTATTTGTATTATCTATGTTTTGACTTGTATATGTATATATATTTTACTAATTGTATATTATGATACAAGCAAACTAGCTAAATAAAGAAAATAATAATTTAATTCAAAAAATCATAAATACCTTAATCAACGACAATATTATGCGATTTTTATCGCACTGGTAATGTGGATTGAAAAGATTGTTCAAACTTTGAACAATGTCGCCGTCGTTGGACACGATTTTTTGAGATTTCAACACGACAGGTAATTCTTTTTTATTTTCAACGTCTACATTGATTTCGACGTCTTGGATGACAGGAATCTGCATTTCTATGGCTTTTACAAAAGTCTCGCCGCCTACAAAGAATAATTTCATTCATATATGTACTAAAATAAGACCACAAATAATAACTATTTTCATTTTCTTGTATTTATTCTAGAATTATTTTTGTTAATTGGTCTTAAATAAAAGATAGTTTTAAAAAAACAAAATTTTTGATATGATATCAGTGATTTTTTGTTCTGTTAATCCTGTAACACAATTTTTATCTTTTCTTTACACACAAACAACGTTTTATTTTATTTTAAAAGACCTAAACACCTAAACACGGTGAAAATAATTGTTTTAACTAACCTGTGGCGCCCCTTTTATTCTGCACTTCGACCAATTGTATCATGTAGGCCTTATCTAGCACATTGTCCACGACCAGTTTAGGATCCAAAATCGTAGCCTTGTCCAAAGTATGTAACAACTTACTGATAGAATTTGTGGGAATGCCAAAAGACTGAATAAACAGTACCAGTTTCGGGGGTTCCAATTTTTCTATAGCGGCGTCCACAAGATGGGCCACATTTGACCTACCAGAACAATATAAATAAATAAATAAATATACGCTTTATTAGATTATGGAAATCATTTTCAGTTTTTTAGCATCGTCACACAACATAGAAATAAAATTTAAAATGGAATACAGACAATGAAAGAATATTATACAAAAATACAATAATAGTATGTTCGTTAGTTATTAAATTACCAGTAAAATATCAGTTTCAGTAAATTATCAGAAAATTTTCAGTAAAATGTCAGCAAATTCTCAGTAAACTACCAGTAAATTATCGGTAAATTATCGGTAAATTAACAGTAAATTATCTGTAATTAGTAAATTATCAGTAAATAATTAGTAAATTATCAGTATATTATCAATAAATTATTAGAAAATTAAATTATCAGTAATTTGTCAGAAAATTTTAAGTAAATAATTAGTAAATTATAAGTCAATTATCAATAAATTAAGAGTAAATTAAATTAAATCAGTAATTTATCAGTAAATTATAAGTAAATAATTAGTAAATTATCAATAAATTACCAGCAAACTATCAGTAAATGATTAGTAAAATATCAGTAAATTATTAGCAAATTATCTGTAAATTATTAGCAAATTATCAGTAAATTATTAGTAAATTATCAGTAAATAATTAGTAAATTATCAGTAAATAAACAGTAAATAATTAGTAAATTATCAGTATATTATCAATAAATTATCAGTAACTATCAGTAAATTAAATTAAGAGTAAATGATTAGTAAATAATTAGTAATTAATTAGTAAATAATTAGTAAATAATTAGTAAATAAATAGTAAATAATTAGTAAATAATTAGTAAATAATTAGTAAATAATTAGTAAATAATTAGTAAATAAATAGTAAATAATTAGTAAATAATTAGTAAATAATTAGTAAATAATTAGTAAATAATTAGTAAATAATTAGTAAATAATTAGTAAATAATTAATAAATAATTAATAAACAATTAGTAAATAATCAGTAAATAATTAGTAAGTAATTAATAAATTATCAGTAACCAAACCAACTCACCTGATCATCCTCAGTTTCATCCAATCTGGTAAATACGAAGTGGTTTCAGAGGTATCCGGCGAGTATGCCCTCGGGTGCTCCATATTTTCCGGGAACCAGAGGTTCAAAAGCATCTTGAACGGTTCGTATAGCTCCAGAGGACCGTAGGTCAACAAAACGATGGTCGCGTGTATGATTAAAGGTTGTAGAGGGCATTGTTCGCCCGTAGCCCAAGATACTATGACATATTCGTTGCCGTAACTCTGGTGGATCGTGTAAGATTCTTCAGCGTTTTCTTTGGCTTTCTGAGTGTACAAGTAGAATATCTGCAGCAGGTTCTTTAGCGTCGTATTGTTTTCGCCTGCAAAAACGACGTTCTATTGTTTTAGTCACTCAAAGAAGATGAACTAGGAGAATTCCAGCCATATTTTAGAATTTGCCACTAGATGGCGCCACTTATAAGTCAAGATAGTCAAAATTTGACTAAATGGTTTGAGACTGGTTGTGTAAGTCAACTTCATCTGTCACGCAACCCGTCACTTTATATAGAAAAAACATCCAAGCAGCTTTTTTACTTGTGATCTGATCAATTCTATTTTTCTATGATTTTGCTTTAGCTTGGACCAATTAGCCAAACTTTTCTTACTTTTAAATTATATTCAACATTTTGGAGACTAGAAACAACTTTTAGTCTCAAACCACTTACATCGAATTTTGAAGTAGCGAGTCAGAAAAATAGTTAAAAGAAACGCTTACCCGGTAAAACATAAGAAGCAACGCTGTGTCGCTCGATTATGACAGACGACAGATCAGTAACCAGCTCGTTCAATTCCACGAACGAATCGCTGCACTCTTGCAAAGACAAAAAGTTTATGTAACTCGATACTCTAGAAGGGTTCGTTTCGATTTGAAGCGCTTGCCTCAGAAACTGAATCAGCACTGGTTTTATCAGCGTAAAATGCGTGAACTGCGTAATATACTGCGTTAACCAGAGCGTGTGACTTTCGTTGGTCGTTTCAATGTCGTCGGCGGGTGCTAGAATCAAGTCCAGACCTTTCGTGGCTTGAGTACGGCTGGCACCGTGATCCGAAGTTAACCTTAAAAACGATTATTAAATATCCTCAATTATTGAATGATGGAAGTACTGACCTCCTAAATAGGTACTCCAAGACTTCGCAAGCGGTTTGGGGATCATTACCATTTACGACCGTCCTCAAATGAGCTAACAGTTGACCGTGTTTGGTTAATTTTTCGGCAGGAGCGGTGGATAGGAGGTATTCGCATAAACACTGAACCGGTAAATGAGCCAGAACTCCTTCAGAACTGTGTACCAGCTCTGCCAACCAAGGCATATGTGCTGTACCGCCCTGTCTTGACATTATGTCTAAAAGGAAGTCGGGGTGTCGCGACCTATAAATAAATAAGCAAATGAAATAGATTGCAAGCCAAAAAATAATATAAGAATCAACATAATTCACAAGTTATACTTTTTTGGCACCCAACGTGGGGCTTCTTTGGCGCCCAACGTGGGGCTTTTTTGGCGCCCAACGTGAAGCTTTTTTGGCGCCCAACGTGAAGCTTTTTTGGCGCCCAACGTGGGGCTTTTTTTTAACCACGTTAATCTTATACCTGCACAATAAGTGTCCTAAGCGATGCGAATTGTTCAAAGCCTGTAACTGATCCAATATGTTCTGCGGCGGTCTTCTGGCATCGCCTTGAGGTCTGAGTTCCATGCATTGCGGCAACAACAAACTGGTTTGCTCGTTGATTTCCATTTTAGTACTGGCGGCTGCTAAATGCGATTCAAATTCTAAGATAGTTTGTTTTTCCAGTACAAGAATTTGCTGCTCTTTCGTCTGATAGTCTTCTTCCAAGGAAGTCATAGTCGGTGGAGGAAATGAAAAGTGGCTAAAAATTAGATATATTTACCTGCTGATGATGATTATTAAAGTTTTTGTTATACACTTACTTAGTTATACACATTTCCATGAACATCTTCAATGTCGGGTACTTATTCCAAGCTAAGCTACCAAAAGTTAGAGGATTATGGGCAGCCAGTATCAAAAGCATCAACCACACCCTCCAATACAAATTCGTAATCGCCAATTTCGGCGGGATGTAACCCAATGGCAGCGTAAAATTTTCCGGGTAATTATAGCTGCACAAATTAAAGAAGAAATCGATTATTTCTAATTTTTCAACGACCAACGGAGGAGCGCAATCTTGCGGCAAATTAGCAGCTCTCTTTATCAATTGTTCCGTGATATCTATAACCTCCTGGGCGCTTATCGGGTGCTCTTTTGATATCCCTATCAATAATATTCTTAGTAAAGTAGCTTGTAGTAGAGGAACTTCGCTGGTGAGTCTTAAAAACAGATTCCTCTCGTTCTCCCCGGGCCAATTATCAACTTTATAATAATGCTCAGCCTGTTCCAGGAACAAAATCTTGTGCAGCACGTGATTGAAATCGGTGATGTTCGGCCTGTATATCCTCAAAGCGGAATCGTGCAACCACGCGACGCACTCCCTTTGTATGTTGCTGACCTGCACCTGAAAGGATTTAAGCACGGCGACGTCCCGTTTGCTTTGCGTCGCGGCGTCCCGTACCGGTGGACTGACGCACAGCAGCATCGCCATCGAGCTAAGATCGGCTAGAGAGAGAAAGATCCGTTCGCGGAATTCATGATCGCGAACGCTGGTGGCGAATTCTTTGCGTTCGCGCAACAAGGCGTGAACGATGCTCAATAGGTTCAGTTCTTGTCTGAGCACTCTGTTGATTTCTTTCAACAAAGCCCGCAGCGATCTTAAGTAGTCATCTTTGTTTAACAGGAGTTCCTGAAAAGGAAGGTATTAACTATGTGAACATGCGAATTAAAAAGACTATAGATTGCAAGATTATCTTTATTCATTCAATTATTGATATTCTTACCAAACAAATGTCAGCAAAGGCATCGGCGCTAGGATCAGGAGCTACTTGGAACAGCGCCCCGACCACGATTAAATTGTTAGTATTTCTAGCGTTGCTCAATTCATTATAAATAGTATATTTCAGCAATGGATACAAGTTCTCAGGAAAAGAAAACACCATCTCCCTCAAACAATTATTGAAATAATTCACTATCGGTTTATTCTTCAGTCTCAATTTGCTCAATTGAGCAATCACTTCTAAATCCCTTTGCGAATTGGCAGAGCAGTTGTAGCACAAGTAAGCTAACAGTTCTTGGGCGGGTTTCATCAATTTGTGATTGTGCAGCCACGTTTCAATTCGCGATACCGCTATGATGCGTATTTCAACTAAACCGCAAGCGGTGCTAAGAAACCTTACGAAATTTTTTGTAATGGTTTCTGGTTGTTGTCGTCTAGCTAATTGTTCTTTTATAGCTTCCAGGACTATTTGCTCTACTTTCTCTTGAGATTGAGTATATCTGGGGAATACTTTTGGCGTCCAAGCTTCAACCATTGCTCGTTGTTCGCTGAAAACTGTAAAAATAACGTTTTTCCGACGTAAATAACATTATTTTGATAAATAATATCAAGGAGTAAGAATAAAAAGAGGAGTCAGAGAGAAAACAGAATTAAGGTGACAATTTAAATATAAGTGGCAGATATCGTCTGCAAATCTCTGAGTTCGTTTAAGAATGCCTTAAAATCGTTATATTAAAATATATAACGTGGATATTGGATTTTACAGATAATTAAATAAAGCACTGTATTAAGTTGATTATATTTGGATAATTAGTAATTGTAACAAATATACGTTACAAAATCTGATGCCCCACGTTGGGCGCCAGATTTTGTAAAAGCAAAAGCATTAGCGCTTCGTGAAGTTTAAGTCCATAGCATTATTCGCACACCACTCATCAAGCCTAGCCAGATCAGACTGAAGTTTGATCAAGAGATGAAACTGCTAAGTAGCACTTTAGGTCATCAGCAAAGCATTAAAATTTGGCATACTTGAAACATTCTGAGATATCATTTATAAATAATAAAAATAACACCTTGGGGAACTCCAGATGGATTGGGAATGTTTCTAGATCTGTAATTATTCAATTTAACAGTTTAGAATCTTTCAAATAGCTCGCCAGCCATTGCAATAATGTTCCCATGATCCCAGCATTTGCTGAGTGATGTAATAATAAGTAATCTGAATTATCTGACCTAAACAATTGTTCAACAGAGATAAATTAACCGACCTAAAATCATAATAAAAAATGTCTTTATGGGGACTGCTCACAGTAGAATGATTCAAAGAGTTCACAATCTGGAAGCTCAAAGGAGCATGGTAACCATCAGCTGGAAACAATGCTTCAACTCTCAAGATCACTATAGTGTTTCCATCTGTAGATAATATAAGATCTAGTATTCTCAGTATTATTAGGATCTTTTTAAATTATCTATTTTAAATTATTAATTTTAAATTGTCTGTTGGTTTTAATTATGATTATACCTGCTAACTAACTATATCAATTAATATTAATATGTAATTTATATTTTTTTCTCTCTTTATGTATTAGAAATCCATAAATAAACAATTTTACCGAAATGCAGTGCATTATTGATAAATACCTTCATCTTCATCAATGCTGTTTATTGTTAAAGGGCTAGATGTATCTCGTGTTGCAGATGACCATGTTTCTGATTTTAGCAGTGAAGATGGTGGCATTTTTGTGTTAAAGGCTGTTACTATATTGTCTACAAATGGTTTACAAAATGGAGCATCTACAAATACTCTATCTCCAACAGCATCTTCAACATACAACTATAAAAATAATCAATATTAAACATATTTTTCATTAATTAAATAATAAAAATACCTTAACAAAAATTTCAGGCCAATTAGGAACATCAGAATAAGCGTGTGCCAGTAAATTCAAAAATATCTGATGAACATGTGGATTACTTTTGTTGACTGCTTTCAGTCCAGAATTTAAATCTCTTCTCAGCAAACTTAACATTGCATTTACAACGAAATCGTTGGTATAGATGGATGGCTTACAAGTAGCAACTAGGAAAAATACTGTGTATGCTACTTTACATGGTTTAGATCTTTGGGTTTTCATGCTCTTTATTAGACCCAAAACGTATCCAATCTAGAAAATTAGAAAATGTTAACACAAGATTAAGGAGAAAGGTATTTAACTTAAATTCCCCAAAACAGAACTTACAGCTTTATCAAGGTTATCATTGTTAATTTGTGTGACGATATTTTCGAAAATTTCTCCAGTATCGCACTCAATTACAAGCGATTCCCAGGGCTCCACCCCAATCTGACCACCAACTAGTCTGTCAATAGGTAGTAAACCAGAACCACTGGCTACTGAGAGTCCTGGACGTGAGCCTGGAATGTTTACTTTAATTTTCTTTGAAGGATTTACAGGAGTGATACCTGCACTAGTTGAATCTCTTTTCAACTTATCCACAGGTGCTAAAATAATCAGTTATAATTAGCTAGAATAATTAGTTTTATTTATATAAACATACCTTTTCCGGAGCTTCCTGCAATGTGAGAACTAACTGAGGACTTTGGTAACGGAACTGTCCTTTTGGGGTCATCTCTTGGAGACGATTGCTTTGCTCCTAGAGCTATGAAGGAATCTGGTAGTTGTTGAGTAATTTTTGATTTGGGGCCCCTAGTGCCAGGACCACTTTTATTTCGCTCCATTTTGAGTTAATACGACGATTATAGTTAAATAAGTAGATAGTTTCACATCTGTAAATAAATGTTTACCGTTTTTTAAAATAACCTAAAAAATTAAATGTCAAAATTTTCTTCTTTTTTTATGTAGTTACAGACGTTTGTTTGAGTGTCCATTTATTTGAAAATAAATTTCTAAGCACAGAAAATTAATATAAGGGTGTCCTGAAGGTACTTATCGTAACTGGAAACTAGTAAATAAATACGGTTTATTATTAATTAAAATTTAAATTTTAAAAAGCCTCTAGCAGAAATATGAAAACTGGTCTTCATTAGTGAGAATGTACGACTATCATTTTAACTGTCAAATGACAGATTTGTCAGTTTGTCACTGTCAGCTGTAATCTGTCAACATGTCTGTTTATTGCATAGTTTAATCTATATCTTATTAGTTTTATCTTGAAAAATGATTTAAAACGATAACGATTTAAAATTTTATCAATAAAACTCAAATGAAAATTAGTACTGGAATAGTTTTGAGTTCGAACATGTCGCCCCATCCTCCTACGAGAGTGGTACTGCTTTCGTGTGGGTCATTTAATCCAATTACTCATATGCATTTGCGAATGTTCGGTAATATGTTTATATTTAATTTAAAGATTTGTGAAATATTTTCATTTAACGATTCTAATTATAAATCACTTTTTTAATTTATCAAAATTTAAATCATAGTTTTGTAACGTTGTGAAATGTTTATTTCATTTGTATCCAACTTTTAGAAATTGCGAAAGATTATCTTCACAAAATGGGCAATTGTACAGTTATTGGTGGTATAATATCGCCAGTACATGATGGATATGGTAAAAATGAGTTAATATCGTCCACTCATAGAGTAGAGATGGTCAAATTGGCATTACAAAATCATGACTGGGTCAAATTGTCTGACTGGGAATGCAGACAAGAATCTTGGTCCAAAACCAAACAAGTTATACAGTACCATCAAGTGAGTAATAAGTGGAATATTGTATAATATCTAAGAAAAGTAAAGTTAGAAATTCGGTTGAAATCTTATGAAAAATACATATACATTTATTTTAGAATCATTTAAACGCGTTATTTAATCAGTATTGTGAAAACGATCAATGCGATGTGAATGAAAATGAATTAAAATGGATACCAGATGTTAAATCTGATACAAGAACACCTATTAAAGTAAAATTACTGTGTGGAGCTGATCTGTTAGAGTCGTTTGGTACTCCAGGTCTATGGGCAGATGAAGATGTAAGTAATTAATACATAATTGATCACAGTGTTAAATAAACCCAACTATTTCAAATATTAATTTTTTTATTGACAAAAGAATGTTATTAAATTTCCAGCTAGAAGAAATTGTGGGTCGACAAGGTCTTGTAGTCGTCACAAGAATGAATTCCAATCCTTCTGAATTTGTTTACAATTCTGATCTACTTACTAAATATATGGTAAGCCAATTTTGGAAAATGGTTGTAGAATTATTATTTTTCAAATTTTTATAATTGTTTTAGGGCAATATAGCAATCATAACTGAATGGATAACAAACGAAATTAGTTCAACAAAAATTCGACGGGCGTTACGTAGAAGCGAATCAGTTAGATATCTACTGCCTGATAAAGTGTTGGAATACATTTATAAAAATTGTTTGTATGGTTCACAGCGGACGTAGTAAGTATTACTTTTATTTATCTTGATTTTTCGTTTCCAATACAGGATATTATTGAAATACATGTATATATAAATCATTTATTTAGTCTCAATTAATTATGTAGATATTAAGGTTGTGAAATTTTACTAAAAATAGCGGTCTGAAAGGAACAAAGTTTAATTGGTTTGTTAATATTGAAAGTTAACCTCATGTAGTTGATTATTTTTTTTACAGTGAATTCTTTTTTACCAACAATTTCTTTTTTAAGTTGGGACCATATCAACCAATTATACAGGGGTTTGATTTATTTGATACAAATACATTTCATACAATTAAAAATTAAATTAACATAGTAATCAAATTATAATTAAAGTTAAAGCACCTAGGTGCAAGCACCTGTATGTGCTAAAGTAAAGTAATAGCATAGTAATATACACATTTATACTTATAGTATACATACATAGTTTTAAAATATCTGTAATAAGAATACAAAGTTATCTAGAGTACATCTCTATATGCACCAATATTAGAAGTGATATACTGTTTTGATTTCTTCTAAAATAATTTTAAATTTTTTATGTTCCTCACATTGACAGGTGTTAAAGATTTTGGGAGCAACATAGGTTACAAATCTTTGACTTGCATCTCGCTGAATTGCTGGAGGTCTCAGATTCTCATTTAATCTGGATCTTTTAGAGACATTTAAAGAGAGTTTATGAAAATCAAGCCAGTTTTTAATAGTACTTATACCCATTTTGGCTTTTTCTTTGACTTCTTCCCAGCTACTATCCTTGAATACAATGACAGTATCATCTGCATATGAGATTATTGCACCATTTATTTGTAATTTTAACATAGTATTGATATAAATGATAAATACAATTGGACCAAGAACCGTTCCCTGGGGCACTCCCATTTGAACGATTTCCGGTTCGCTTAAGATATTTTTTATTCTCACCATTTGTTTTCTATTTAACAAATAGTTTTTTAAAAGATCTAATACAGTGCCCCTCACTCCATACTGTTGTAAAGTATTAAGGATAAATTGATGAGGGACTGTATCAAATGCCTTTGTTAAATCCAAGAACACTGCAATACATTTATCACCCTTATCCAAAGTAAGTTTGATTTGGTTAACAAGTTCAAACATTGCATCCTTAGTGCTAAACCCTGTTTTAAACCCAAACTACTTTTCACTGAGAATATTATTTTTGTGTAGATAGTCATACAAACGTACTTTAATGCATTTTTCAAAAATTTTAGCAAATGTGTTTATAAGACTAATAGGTCTGTAATTAGCTATGTTATTTTTATTTCCATTTTTATATATAGGTACAACTATTGAAATTTTAAACTGTTCAGGTATAATGCCGGTCAGAAATATTAGATTTATTATATGTGTAAGTGGGTATAAAAAATGATTATAGTTATTTTTAATCATTTTTGTTGTGATGTTATCAATTCCTGGTGAGCTATCGTTTTTAAACTTTTGATGTGTGACGCAATTTCGTTTTCATCAACTGGTTTTAGAAAGCAAGAGTCTTTGATAGACAAATAATTTATTTTAAACTTGTCTGATGGTTTCTCAATTGTTTCTGCCAATTTACTACCAACTTCAATATAGTATTTATTACAAAAATCAACCATTTCTTTAACACTGGTAAAAGTGTCATGGGTTTTGTGATTTTTAATAACAATTTCTTCATTATATTTATTAGTTTTTCATTTATAGCTTCTTTTACTGTACTGTATCTTTTGTGTTTTCAAAAATATTGGCATAATATTTAGTTTTAGCTGCAACTATAATTTTATTTAAATGATTTCTATAGTTATTTAAAATCTCCAAGTTTTGTTTGTTTTTAATAACTAGTTTTTTTAAGTTTATCTCTAACTTTAATTGAGTTTATTATACCATTATTTATCCAGGGTTTTAGTTTTTTGTATTCTTTTATTGTAATTGTTGAGGTGGTTGTGCACCGATTTATTAAGTTGGTAACTATTTCAGAAAACATTATAAACTTCTGCAGGGTTTTTGTTAGAAATGATTTTTGACCACTCAATAGTTGAAATTAAATATGAAAATTTGTTATCCTCAATTTTCTTAATATGTTTGTAGGTTAATTTACTGTCTGATGTTTTCTACTCTTTATGATTTATTGAGAAATAAATAGGAAAGTGATCAGTTAAGTTATAATTTACAACAGATGCTTTGTTTATGAATTTAGTGACTGTAGACCTTTTCCTTACAAAAATATGATCTAAGCATGATTCAGATGTTGAGGTCACTCTTGTATAAATATTTATATGAGATTCAAAACCATGGGATAGTAGCATTGCTATGTAATTATTACTGGACGCATCTGAGTAGTCTAATATATCATAATTTAAATCTTCAATTATTATATCGAAGTTATTTCTCTAAATCTTCGACAAATAGTTTTTCATTTGTGGCTGGCGATTTGTAACAAGCCATAATGTTAAGGCTGGTGTTATCTATATTTAATGTTAAAAGTGATATTGTTACCTGAGACTGATTAAGTTTAAGGTGGTTTATGTTAAAATTGAGGCTTCTATGTACAAAAATTAAGACACCATCACATTGTTAATGAGCTGCTATTAAAAATGGTATTAAAGCCTGGTATCATGAAGTTTGAATTTGAATGAATGAATCGTGTTTCTCCAAGTATTATCACGTCAATTTCATTCAGGTTGTAAGTTGTTAAAAATATTAAGAATTCATCAAAATTTTTGTATACACTTCTAATATATGCAAAATCATAAAAAAGGAAGAATGTTTAGAAATACTTACAATTTTAGTGAACTGTTCTATATTATCTAAATTCATGTTTTTTTCATCAACATTTTCTTTCTCAAGTTCCGTTAAAATGATATCCTCTCCAATTTCCATAAGTTTAAGAAGTTAAGATATGAGAAGCAAATAAATTGTTTAGAAAAGTTCACTTAAGAAAACATATATAACTATACAATCGTATAATCTGTTTATTCTCTAAGTCGCTGAACATGATAGTTAAGTGAAGGACACTGCCTTGAATTGAATATTTAAGCTTTTTTATGATGCATTATCTAATACACGTTTTCTGTGATAATCTCTGGTATTTCAATAACATCTTATATATGTATCTAATTGTTTCTAATACTTAATTATGTATCTAATTTATTTGCTTGCCTCGGATAAACAGTAAGTACTTGCACGTTCCTAATAACGCTTTCCTTACTCCTTCACCATCCGACATAACCATGGAGTCGCCCAGTCCAACGACTTGCAACATGTATATTTGCAACAACAATTTGTTCAATAGACCGCGTCTGTCCATAGACACGGTAGACGGCTTTTCCAAGACGAGTCTGAAACGTCCCGGTCAAGCTGTCAAGGTGATTACAGACAGCAAAATTATCGACAAGGAGGTACGTAAGGAAGATAAAACGTTGACTGTGTCTAAAAGTTTTTCGCATTTCAATCAGATCGAGGATAAGGTAGAGGGCGGCGGTGGAGTTAAACGGGCAGATAGTATTGCCAGCTTGAAGGAATGCAAAAGTTGCGATGAAAATCTTATTAAGTTTATTTTTACAAAACACGGTATTCAGGTTATAAGTGATGTAGAGACAATAGTGTAATGATTGTAATGGGGAACATTCTTTTTCAAAAATGTTTAAATAGGTATATTGAAAATGAGAAATATATCGAGATATATCGGGGGTTTTAATGCATGTAATAAAATACGATAAACTGAGTTAGGATCGAATCTAAAAACCCAAACTAACAACTAGGACCCTAGATACATGAGCTCAGGTGGTATATCAGTTCAATTTGTCTTTGGTTTGTTATCGCCCCCGATCTATCATGTCATTCATAATTTTTTTATTCAATTTGAAGAACAAAATTGTGATTTTTATTACTTAGCACATTGAGTTCCACCATGTTTATTTTGACTTACGAATATCAGTATTAATTTATGAAAAGACTACATTCATAAATAGTTGTAGTAATTGTGATAAAAATAATTCTCAGCAGTCTTGTGGGCAAACATTACTAGTATAATAACAATACGTAGACTAGGATTTTCCATCTATGGCTATAATACAAAACTAAAATATAAAATAGAGCTGTCATTTTAATTTTATAAATTATAAAAAATTTATTGAAAGCAGCGTGCTATAGCCATAGAAAAAGTAGTTTTCAACTCGTTAGGAATGTTCATTAAACAAAATACTATTAAATATGTTGCTTCCGTACAAATTTTACTGGTAACAATTTTTTAATCTTGAATATAATTTCAACAAATTTAATCAAAATCGATAATTTCGCCAGAAAGTATAAAGTTCTTCCATCAACTGTTAAGCTTTGTATTGTCAGTGTCTTTAACGATGATACTAAAATTTTATTTCTATTGTTCAAAATAATCTTATAGTATTTTTTTCGATAAGAAAGTAGTGATATATGATAAAAAACACGGAGTAGTCTGTAAAAGGAAAACATATTTTTTTATGGAAGAAATATCAGCAGTACTTTCAGTTTTTATAGAAGATATTTTGTTTTTCAAGTCGAAAAAAATTTCATCTTTTAAAGAAGAGTTATCAGAAGAAACTTTAGTTTCTAATGGAGAAATATCCGTAATTTTAGAAGACTTCATAAAATAAATAACGTTTCTGGATCCAAACCTGGTAGTATTATTAGAGATATAAAAAAAAACGCATTTACAAAACGGTATACACCATTAACTCCAAAATTTAAAATTATTTTCGAATATATAGGGTGTTTAACAACTTCAGTTTGGAAGAAACATAAGTTTGTTTTATATCTAGATTGATGTTATTGAACTAAATTTTAGTGTTTTCGTTAAAGATCTGATTTTTATTCTTTTTTACTAGGTTTTTAATGGTTCCAGTGCATTTGTAAAACTTTAGTATTGTTTCAATTTTTTCGACTTTGCATGACTTTTAAAGGGTATTAATTGTAGATATACGAATTGGCTGTGTATTAAATATAATGAATAAATTAGTATGTAGATAAAAAATATTCTGCATGATAAAAGTAGAAATAAATTCTAACATATTTATACGAGATAAATATACAAATTTTATAAATTAATTTAAATTTAAACTAAAGAATTACGAAAAATTGGGAAATCTTATGCATGTATTTTTTTGACAAAAATAAATAAATATACCTTTGTGTATAAAAATTTAATGAAGTAATTAGTGTACAGTATCGGCTACTGAACGTTTTCCAATACGCTTTGCACAAGTGCATGTGAAAACTGCAGAGAATTAGCATTAAAGTGAGCAGGAAACGAATAATATCAACGTTGCCAGTTTAAATGCTTTAATGTTAGGTCTCTGTAGTTTTGATATGCATTTGTGCAAAGCGTTCGATAGCTGATACTGTATGTCATTTGATAATGACAATTAATGTTTTTATTTTTTATTGGTATAGTTTTGAACACGGTCTGGCTAATAGGTGTTTTAACTCTCCAAAAAATGGCTAAAATTGTTCAAAGTACGAGTAAAAATCCAAAAAATTTTACCAGTCGGAAATACAATTTTTGCAAATCAGTTATTTTAGCATTTTATTGTTATTTTTTTTTGGGACACACTGTATAATAGATTGAAATAAAGTGTATTAAAATATTGTTAACGTCGCAATCTATTATACAGTGCGACTCAAAAATGTTATACACATGGGTAACGTTTTGTTTTTCATATGTATAAAACTTTTTGAAACACACTGTATGATGAATTGCGAATTAACAATCAAGTGTATTCAGATATTGTTGTTAACGACGTGCTCGAAGAGCACGTCGCAATCTATTATACAGTGTGTCCCAAAAAATGTATGCAAATGAGAAAAGTTTTGTTTTTTTCATGTGTATACATTTTTTTGGGACACCCTGTATAATATATTGCGACGTGCTCTTCAAGCACGCCATTAACAACAATATATAAACATACGTTATTGTTAACGACGTGCTCGAAGAGCATGTCGTAATTCATTATACAGTATGTTTAAAAAGTTTTATACAATTGAAAAAACAAAAGTTTTCTATGTGTATAACATTTTTTGAGACACACTGTATAATAGATTGCGACGTGCTCTTCAAGCACGTCATTAACAACAATATCTGAACACACTTTATTGTTAACACGTCGCAATTCATTATACAGTATGTTCCAAAAAGTTTTATACAATTGAAAAAACAAAACTTTTCTCATGTGTATAACATTTTTTGAGACACGCTGTATAATAGATTGTGACGTGCTCAAGCACGTCGTTAACAATAAAGTGTGTTCTCCCAAAAAATGTATACAAATGAGAAATGTTTTTTTCATATGTATACATTTTTTTGGAACACACTATATAATAGATTGTGACGTGATCTTCAACGTGCTCAACAGTATGTTCCAAAAAGTTTTATACAATTGAAAAAACAAAACTATTCTCAGGTGTATAACATTTTTTGGGACACACTGTATGATGAATTGCGACGTGTATAATAGATTGCGACGTGCTCGAAGAACACGTCGTTAACAATATCTGAATATATTTTATTACTATACAGTGTGTCTCAAACTTTTTAGAACATGCTGTATAATGAATTGCGACGTGCTTTTCAAGCACGTCGTTAACAATAAAGTTTGTTCAGATATTGTTGTTAACGACGTGCTCGAAGAGCACGTCGCAATCTATTATGCAGTGTGTCCGAATAAAATGTATACAAATAAGAAAAGTTTTGTTTTTTCATGTGTTTACATTTTTTTGGGACACTCTTCGAGCACGTCGTTAACAACAATATCTGAATACACTTTACTGTTAACGACGTGCTGGAAGAGCGCGTCGCGATCTATTATACAGTGTGTCCCAAAAATTGTATGCACATGAGAAAGTTTTTCGAGCACGTCACTGTCTTCTATATAGTGTGCCCTAAAAAAATTCTGATTTTACCAAAAAAGATCAATTTTACGACCTTGGTACGCAAATAACTATTTTTTGAAATTCATTTTAAAATTTTTCAAAATAAATACTTTTTGAAAATTCCAAGCTGTTCGGTTTGCTCTTAACCCTGATCAATTTTATCCAAGTTTTATTTTTAAATGAGAGTCGATTCACCTTATAGTCTGCCGATGTTTCGATAGACGATTGTGTGGCATGTCATTGTTTGTTTTCTGTTTCAGGCATCTTTATTACGACCTGCATGTCTGTAGTAGACCTTCATTGCTGTGGCTATGCTTGTATCCGTCGTAGTGATAAATTTCAAAAAATTATTTTCCTTTTAAAAACCACTACTTGTTTGTCGCTTCTAAATGAAACATTACAGAAAAGCGATAGAAATAGTTCCTATAAAGTTTAGAACGTATTATAGGGATTTATCGCGAGAGTGATAGAAGATCTTAATTTAAGATTCAATTATTTGTTATTTCTTGTTTTGTTTTTATATTTTTTTTATTGAATAGTACTTAAAATTTTTTATACAAATGTTAAATCGTTTTGTTTTTACATAATAAAACTATATGTTAGTTTTTGATGCAAGAGTTTTATTTTGAACAGACGCAAGATTCCATGTTGGAGGGCGAAAAAAAAAATATGAAAAGTAAGTAACTGATTTTATTTCGAAACTTGCATAGTAACAAAATGGTTAGAGTCCTAACATATTACTAAAAAAAGTTATAAACGACCTTTCAAACATCAATAACAGTGTCAAACGTCATTAATAATTCGAAAGATACTTAATTTGTCGATTCTCACCTTATCAAGGCAAACTCGTAGTATAAAAGAAACGATTTGATTTTGAACGAAAGACGATTAGAAGTATTAATATGATAAATTTTCAGGTTTGTGAAGCATTGGGATTACTTTTTGGCTAAACTAGGTAATCTTCATTGCCCCTGGTTTTTAACAATTCAGTTTTCTTTGTATCATTAAAGTTTTTTAACACTATTTAAATTATTTCTACTTCTTCCGGTTGTGTTTTGATAAAATATTGCCAAGTTTAAGTTAAACAATAATTATTCTTCCTGAATAACGTCATATAATTATGCAATGTCAAATATGTTGTCCTTTATAATATATTCTTTCAATCAGTAAATAAAGAATTTTAAAAAGTAAGTCTATCAACTCTGGAAAAAATTATGACGATAAAGAGACCAAGCATTACATAAGCTTAATACTATAATACCTTTTGAGGAAAACATTAAAACACTTTTTCATAATTACGAATTTATTAAATACAAATTAAATTTTACTTAAATAAGTGACTTTTGCATTCATAAATTGAACAATGATGTTTTTTGTAACATTTAACATTTTTAAGTGCCAAAAGTGAATCATAAATAATATTTTACAGTTTATTAGTGATTTCAATAAAAAAATCAACTATTCAGTGGAACTAGTTTTAAATTAAATAGTTCTGAAATAGAAGACTAGAAATTAGCAAACAACGTGGATGAGTTTTTACTAAAAATCTGCAATAAGAAATTATTTAAAAATATACTTTTTATATGTATAAACAGTTTGAATCATCCTACTACAAGATTTACTAATTTTCAAGGTTAATATATCAAGACCTTGTTAATAGTCAGCTATTTTTGTTGCGTCTAAATCTCAAGAATATTTTAATACCAAATTGTAAAATAATCGAGAAATTTAGCAATAGCAGAATATTAATCAAGGTCGTGTTATATTTAGGACGACTATTTCACTAAACCAAATATTGACTATTGGTCTAGGTAAATAGTCAATAATATAAACCTACCAACTCCATTTTAGAACAAAATAAAAATCTTGACTAGAATTATATTAAAATAGGAAAGCCTAATTTCTCACAAATCTCTTTGTGAAATGCGATATTTCCAGTCAATATATGACGTCACGCAGAACCTTTCGAATCTCATATCTTACCAGACTTTAAAACTGCTAAATAACTTAACTAAATTGAGTTTACCTTGAATATAATAAAAATACAAGTATTTAACACAAAACAGTAAACGAATTAAAGTCTCAAAAAAAAACTTAACAAGAGAATTATATAGGGACAACAAAGGCAAACAGCATGTTTAGGTTCTACGATGACGTCATACGCATAATTTCGTTTTCAAAATATATAAGAAATGGAACCAATCTATCCTGTTATAATAGTATATAATCTTTGAACTTATTTTATAAATGCGCTCCATTAGTGTGACGTCAGTGAGTTAAACAAAAACGAACCATTCTGGCATTGATTTTGACATAAAATTTTGTTGAGTTTTTTTGAATATATTTTGAAAGTCGTTTAAAGATTATATAATCTTAAAAATAATAGAATTTAAATTTGCACAACCTCTATTTTTATTTATTGTTTATATAGAATTAATTACTAAATTATTATTTAACTAAAGTTCTGTTTTTTCATGTGTATACATTTTTTGGGATACACTGTATAATAGATTGCGACGTGCTCTGTCGTTAACGATATCAGAATATATTTTACTATTATACAGTGTCTCAAAAACACATAATGAATTGCGACTGATTGTTAATTTTTTTACGTCGTCATCACTAATGCATAGCATTGATATTAATCATTTTAATCTTAGATTTAGTAAGTTGTATTGTTAATTTCTCAAAGGATAAGCCTAAAAATAAACAAAAACTACTTTATTTGCTATAATTTAAATATTCTTGAAGAAATACTATACTTACATATAAAAATACTAAACATAGAAGTTATTTATTTACTATTTAGACCCCAAAAAGAAACTAAAATTGAAAATGCAATATTGAGTTTAATCTAAATTAAAAAAAAAGGTTTAGAACACAACTTCGAAAAGTGTAAGTGTTGGTATCTCTATTATCCTATTTAGGAATAACAACAATCTAAAATAAACTAGGTAAATATACAATATCACAAAAAAAAGGATAATATGTACATAAAACAATTTAATTATTTCCTATACGTTTAGAGAAAAAAATGGAAACAACGAAAAATATAAATAACGTACTACATATAATCTTCACTATAAAAAATAAACAATATGTTAATACATTAAAAACTTAACGAAAATGGTATTAAAATTAAATCAAAAAATATTTGGAATGTTTCGAGAAATGTTTTAAATAATTATTCAATTTCATTGACCAATACTTCAAGGTATAGAGCAAATTTCAACGCAAATTTAATGAAAAAGAGCAAGATATAAACAAATAAAAATATGAATTTCCAAAGCAATAAAAATAGCAGATGTCTCTTCTCTTACTATACTATTTTTAAAGAGAGATCCAACAAAAAATGATCTTAAAGCAGCTAAAATTTTACACAACTTACGCGTATTGTTTCTACTCCAAATTAAGGTAGGATAAAATGTATTCAGCAGAAAGGTATAAAATTCTAATTTTTATACATTATAATAGTAAACAAACTTTACTTGCATTCACATATTTACCTAATAGTACGAGATCCGACCGTGTGATTACTGCATTGATCCGTTTTTTTATCTTTTCAATAAGTAAGTACTTTTAATTAAGAAATTTATTTTTCCAAACAATTTCGGTTACTGGTTTTGAAGAAAATGACTGGGATACTTTAATTCCTCTATTTCTGCTAGCTTACCGAAGCTCTGAACCAGTTATACTCAATCTATGATGATTACTGGAAGGGATAGGAAGCTTCCTAATGATCTTCTTTTCGAAGACCTTCTCCTGGTGAAGGAGAGGACCGTACACCTCCCACACACTGAACTTAAGGAGAAAGATTAGAAAAAGTCTACGAATTCCATCGGGAACGTTTGATTAATCAAATAATTGATTTTAAAGGGAATACAAAAAAAACTAGCCTTTTTTTCAACTCTAAAGAAAAAATTGTTGTGAGCAATAACTTTATTTGAAAATTATTTTAAAATTTAATCAATAATAATCGAATATAGGATTAACAATCAATTATAAATAATATCGAAAACTGCTAAACGTAGTCAGACTGATAAAACAACTGAAGTTGACTACTTGAGGGGTCAGATTCATTCACCCCTTCAATTGATTTTCTGGTGTCCGAGTTAAATTTCAATTAAAAGTACTTACGGTCATATTTTGACAGGCAACCTGACGAAACCGTATTTATATGTCAATAATTATCTATTAAAGTCTGATGTATCAAACACTTGACTTTCTATTTCTACAACCTTGTGTATCACCTTTGTAAATGTTTAGAGGATAAACTAAATATATATATACATGTTCCACATACATCTTTACTTGAAACCTTTTTTTTTATATTCATTACCAACGAAAATACTGAAAAATTGAAATTTTACTTTTTTCAAATTTTTCCATTACGGTCCATTTTAAAGAAATGTAAGAAACGAAAATTATAGAAAATAATTTTAGAAGTAACTTTTATTTGAAGAATTTTCTTCTCCAAACGTAAATAACAGATATATTCCATAAAATATCAAAAACCTTATAAAGTACCCCCCATGATGTTCCGTCTCTGCCAAAAATCTAATCAGTTCACCGCATGCAATAAGAAAGGTTAAGTTTAAAATTTGGTGTTTTTCTCTTTATCCGTTTTTGAGTTTTCTTCAAAATTCTAAATTTACACTTTTTCTCAAATATCTCGAATACGGTCCATTTTAGAGAAATTATGTATAGGACAAGAATTATAGAGAATAATATTATAAACAACTTTTATTTGAACAATTTTCTTAAAAATTTTAATTTTTTACATTTTGTCAAATTTCTCGAATACGGACCATTTTACGAAAATTTTCTATAAAACAAACATAGAGAATAATATTAGAAGTAACTTTTATTTGGAGAATTTTTTTCTCCATGCGTAAATAACATATATTCCATGAAATATTAAAAACGACCCGCTATAAGTACCCACCAGATGTTCCGACTCTGCCCAAAATCTAATCAGTTCACCTCAGGTCGGAAGAAAGCCTAATTTTAAAATTTGATGTTTTTCTCTTTATCCGTTTTTTAGTTTTCTTCAGAATTAAAAATTTACTTTTTCTCAAATATCTCGAATACGATCAATTTTAAAGAAATTTTATATTGAACAAAAATTATAGAGAATAATATTACAAACAATTTTTATTTGAACAATTTTCTTAAAAATTTTAATTTTTTACATTTTGTCAAATTTCTCGAATACGGACCATTTTAGGAAAATTTTGTATGAAACAAACATTATAGAGAATAATATTAGAAGTAACTTTTATTTAAAGAATTTTTCCCTCCAAGCGTAAATAACAGATATATTCCATAAAATATAAAAATGACCCCCTATAAAGTATCCCCTAGATGTTCCGACTCCGCCCAAAATCTAAATCGTTTCACCGCAAACCGGAATAAAGCTTAAATTTATAAAATTTTGTGTTTTCTCTGTATCCGTTTCATGAGTCATCGAGTATACAAACACATCATCGCAAAAATAGTCAAAACGGATTCAGGGGACCCCAAAACGTAAAAATCATGATTCCTATTAAATTATATTTTCATTAAAAAACAGACGAATGCTGTAATCATCACACGGTCAGCTCTTAAGACTATATTGAAATCTTTAAGCTGAACAGCTAGGTAAAAAAATAAGGAATTCATTCCTTTTCTCTATGCAAACTCGCTTTTTCTAATGACAATTTTTGTCATATTACACATCAGTCAAATCGCATCTCTAAAAATTCTAGTGCAATAACAATATTGTCTAAATAATTTTTTTTTGTATTAATATTGCCATGATGATGATGATATTTTGGGTAATTAAGTACAGTCAATAGAATAACCTTAAAATTCCCAAACCATAATCGCATTAGTTAGCGATAATACTTTTATTTCCATTAATAAGGCTCTTATTAATTACGTATCGCGATTTTTATCAATTTCAAATACCTTGAGATTTCTTAAAAAATCTAAAAACGGACACAACATGGCAACGCTGCAATTTTGGAGTGCGAACAAGTTGCAAACATATCGTAAAATCATTATTGGGATGCACAAAAATTAATATATGGGTAGTGAAATTAAAAATTGTACTTATTTTTCAATAAATAAATCAATTTTTATTCGCTTTACCCTGTTTGAATGCTTTTTAACAAATTTTAACTATTTTTTTATACAATTATTTTTCTCAAAACTGTAAAGCATCTATTTAAGAAAAACATCGCCTTCTCTTTCTGATTTAATATCTTCCTATACATAATATTTAAGCGATTACCATTTATACGTCATCGAAAAATCCCCTAGGCGATCCGCCCACTCTGTTCCTGTAAAAACCGTCTAATTGATAACTATCGGAAAATCTCGGATCCAATTCGTTGGTATTCGAGAAACGTTCGTTGATCCTGGTGCTGGCCCCGAAGCGCGCGTCTATCTCGTCCTCGTTAGGCGGAAACCTAGTGTCCACTTCCGAGGTGTATCTGGTACCGTTGTAGGAATCTAAACCGTGCGCGTCCCGTAAGGAAGTACGACTGTTTTCTAGGTTGTCCATTTGTCGATCTAAAACGAAAATTGATGGTAAAAAGTTCACTGTAACGTTACGTTTATTTGTTATTAATTAATTTATAAACACATTTAAAATTCTGGTGGATTCCAGAGGTCTCCCCGCCAAAACTACAAACATTCAATCATTCAAACGTTCAATCTTGAATGTACTCGCCTTTGCCATAGTCGTCACATGTTTGGCCTTAAGGGGTTTAATTATGTATGATAATCGAACAAGTTGGGCCTCAAAGGCCAAATAAGACAGAGAGGGACTTGGAGGATTAGAGCATGACTGAATAATGAAATGGATCGCATTACAGTAGGTTTATTAAAGCACTTCATAGATTCTGCTTTAATTAAAATATAAAATACAGTAAATGAAGACTTACCTTCAATGCTGCTTCGAGGTTGTCTAAATCTACCCGTTGATGGAAAACGCTCTTGGTATTCACGTCTTCTTGAAGACGATTCTTCAAGTCTTTGCTTCCTACGTTTCTCTAAAAGTTAAATCGAATCAACAAAACAAAAAATATGATGGAAGTGTTGTTTAGTGTTTATTTAGTATAGTATTTAGCCCAAGATGTCCTATTTCGTACCTCTCTTAATCAACTCTCGTCCCTCCTCCACTAAGTCGGTTGTCATTTCGTCATCGCCTATGAATTGATGGAAACCAATCATAGATAGTATTCTAGATCCCAAGCTAAAGTACGTGGCGAAGCAAAATACTAATATCGCCATTGGAAAGTAAATATTAAATCCATGGGATATTATACCTATCACGTCCATGTGGCCCATTATCTGAAAAACAGGAGTAAAGAAATATACAGCGTGTTTTCTAATTGGATGTCAATATTTAAGGGGCTAATTTTTGAATCCATTTTAAGAAGAAAACTACATATGAACGTATGTCTTAACTTTTGATATACAAGGGGGTAAAATTTTTAAAAATAAGTAATTTTTTAATAATATTTGTTAATTTTAATTTAGTTATGAAACTATTTTAGTAAATTTTCTTTGTTTGTTTTGATAGATAACTGTAAACAAAAAATAGATTTGCATTATCATGATATAAAATATTGGAAAAAAAAAAACATAAGTGGTTTGTTATAAATAATTTTTCTTTATATGTTTCTCGATTTCAAGTTTATTATAAAGTTATGCTTCGTGAATACGTATAAAAATATATTTAATTCGTAAATACCTGTGTATAAGATGTCTCCATGACTTGACTCTCGATCACGTGGCTGTCCATGTGGATTAGGCCGAGAAAATTTAGGCAAAGCGGAGGCGTCAGACGGCTCAACATCATTCCGGAAAATATTAAACTGTATTCGTTCGTTTGGTGATGCGGAGCCAAATAATATAAATTGAGTACTCTTATTTTAAGTACAGTTGAAAACGCGCAGTAGCAAAGGTACAGTATGATCATTGTGGAGAGTATCTGAAATAGATAATAGATTTATTACATCAATTTAAAAATTAAGCACAGTGAATTCTTCAATAATTAGAAATAATAGTAGATATTGTTATTAAATAGTCCATAGTATTGAATAATATCTATTTCATTTACTGGAGAATATTGGAAACAAAAATAAAAATCTGATGTGTCAAACACATTATTTTCCACAGCGCTAAATTAGTGATGAGGTAAAATTAAAGGTTAACTTTTTTTAATGAGAATTTATTTTGTCACATTCTATTTCTATATATATTACTTACCTCTATCGTAAAATAATCATAGTTGTGTTTAGCAGCGTTTACAATGACAGCAAATATAGACAACGGTGGGTGGACATTGAAAAAGGTCACCTCGGACCAAACGACGCACACCGAAAACACTCCTGCCATTATAGCCAATAATTTTTGCGTATAACAGTAAAGAACGCATTTCCAATACCATTCTATTCTCGATGTATAAATATATCTCTTAAACCAACTATGCCGTTTTTCGAATGTCCTCTTGAACACCCTATCCCTGGCGATTTGATTTTTTAAAGTGTCTTCCAACTCTAAAACTTTTTCTACCATCAAGTTCCACTGTGTTTCGGTTCTTTGAAGCACTTGCAAGGACTTTATGGTCTATAAACATTTTAATAAATACATAAACTGTTTTCTTGTACCCACTGATCTGTAATATTCACTGGATATGATGTAGCATTCCGAAAAATTAGTAGTTTTGGGCAAAAAATATGCCTAATCGCATTTCATATTACATAATCTCCTTGTGCCTTTTAATTATTTAAAATCTGAATGATTTTATGTAAATAGAGACAAACTACGATGTTAAAAACAAGGTAAACAAAATCAGTACTCTTCATAGTCTGACTATTTTGTTGAAAATTACTAATTTACCGTAATTTATATTGTTATTTAAGGTTTTCTACACAATTTGAAAGAGTTATCATGCTTATTATATCCAGTAAATATTATAGCTCACTGCCCATACTGATCTACATACTTGTTTGTGCAGCCTGATAAGAGCCTTTTCACTAGGAGCATCTGTAGGCGTATCGTCGGGTAACTGACGTCTCTTCATACGCTCTTGCAATTCGGTCGGAACTTTTTGCAATATCGTTTCTAAATATAGATAAAGCGGATGACCGGGTCTTACCGCTAAAGAAACCGCTTGTAAAGACTAAAAAATCAATTTAGATCAATCCCTGTACGATATTTTTTCCAGAAATATATAACTTACCTCTAGCACATCATCAACGGTCTCCTCTGCTTCGCATTTATCGCAGCTCAATTTGGCCGCTTTAAAATATGATTCTGTTAAAGTTAGACTGTGATTCGATTTGTTCCACAATCTTCGTGGTACTTCGACCAATGCGTACCCCAATAAAAGTACAAGTAAAAATAAACCCCATGTATTACTCGCAGATGAAGCTATAGCTTTTAATTTTGACCTAAAATGGTTTATTTAATAAGTAAATAAATATTATTTTTCAATAAAATTATTATTTAAAAACATAAATATTGTTTGATGGTATTTAATTTATTTAATAACAAAGTGCAAAATCAACAGAATTTGATTTAAAAATTATATTAAAAACAATAGCTTATATGGTAATTAATTTAAGATTCATAGTTTTGGCTGCGCGAAAATTAGTTATTACTGACTGGAATAGGGAAAAAAACAGCCTAATAAACTTTAAAAAATAACCTAGTTTATGTGTAATTCTAGGAAAGCTAATTAATAAGGAACGGACTATAAAAAACTTAAATTTTTTGTATAATAATTGTTAAAATGGCTTCATGTTTAACAGTCTTAATTTTAATCAAAGAATCTTCAGTTGTTCTGTGCCCATTTTTAATGAGACCTGGTACCTATAAATATTGAATATAATGTCTAATTGAAATATAAAAAAGTATTAGAGATATAAACAAAATAAAATTGAGGAAGAATACCCTATCAGTGGTCTAACCAAAAAAAGCTTTCAAATTTGTAGTATAAAAGCAGAAGAACTTTCAAATTTGTAGTCTAAAGGTGGTGCTAGTATATTTATGAAACCAAATATTGCTGCAACTTTTGAATCAATTAATTTACATAGGTGGTGTATAGAAGGTGAATTTGAAGTATGTGGTGGAAAAATAAAGATCGATTCTAAACTTGTTTTATTTATTATTACTGTGTATAAGTCACCTTGTACTAAGTTTAGCACTTTTATAAATCAGCTAGATCTATTAATTCATAATATTTATCAAAACGACAATCACTATTTTATCTGTGGTGATATTAACGTAGATTTTTTGATTGAAGGTAATCAAAAAACTGTTTTAATTGACTTATTGAAGGAATTTAATATTAAACATCATAATGTTGCAACGAGAACAACAAGTAGAACCTCAACTTGTTTAGATAATTTTTTTACCAATTTTGATGTAGATAAGGTGGGTGTATATGATACTTTTTTGTCTGATAATAACTACTTATTATGTTCGATTAAACTACCTAATTTTGAAAATAACGAATTTAAATACAGATATAAACGAGATTTAAGTGATCCTAACGCAATAACTTTTATAAATATTTTATCAGTTGAAAATTGGCGTGAAGTATACACATCTACTAATTTTCATAATAAATGTTCTATCTTTTATGAATCATTCCTATACCACTACAATATTGTATTTACGAAAACAAAGAAAGCGATAAAACCACAAAAATTAAAAAATCAGTTTCCACCTCATATTAAAGAGTTACATAATCTATTATGTGAAATGAACAGGTTAAAGAAATAAATAAATTCTACATATTATACAGAACGTTACAATAATTTAAAAAAAGAGTATCAAAAAATAACAAAACAATATTTGAGAAGAAAAAATAATGATCGTATTTTGAATCCTATTAAAGTTACAAATGATGACAAATTAACACCCTTAGAAAAAGTAAATTATATCAATGACTATTTTATGAATGTAAATAAAAATAATATTGTACCTAACTATACTATGCTATGAGTATTGATAAACATCATAAAAGTTTTTTCTTTTTCCAACAACTCCTAGTGCAATCATCACTATAATCAAAAAAACTACTTCTAAATAAACCCACTGAAGGTATTGACGAAATAAATGGTAAAATTCTGTTATCGGTTGCTCATTGTATTGCTGAACCCATATCACATTTGATTAATGAATCCTTTATTTCGGGATTATTCCCAAATATGAAGGAATCTAAAGGAATTCATGTTTATAAAAATAAGGGATCTGCATCTAATATAGAAAATTATCGTTTAATCTGTATATCTAGTCAAATAACTAAAATATTTGAGTCAGCATACTTTATTAGACTCACTAATTACCTTGAAAATTTTAATATGTTGCCAGATACTCAAAATGGATTTAGAAAAAATAAGTCAACATCTACTGCAATTGCAGCTTGCCTAGAGTTTATATATCAAGCACTCAATGATAAAAAAACATGTTTTGGGGCTCTTCTATGACCTTAGCTGTGGATCATAATCTTTTATTATTGAAGATGAATGGGTTAGGAATACGAGGAAAACCTTATGAATGGATACAGTCTTACCTAATAAATCGAACTCAAGTAATTGTAACAAATAGTCTAAAATCTGATCCTCTTCCATGTACAATAGGAGTTCCCCAAGATTCAATTTTGGGTCCACTTCTTTTTATAGTTTTTATAAGTGATATAAATAAGTTTTGTTTAAGCTCTCAACAAATAGTTCAATATGCTGATGATACCAATATTGTAATGGCAGATGATCAAATTGAACAGGTCACTCAAAGTAGCAACGAGGAATCTCGTGAGTTTAACCAGTATTGTAAAGATAACCGTCTGGCATTAAATATAACAAAAACAAACTTCATGCAATTTCTACCCAAAAACATATTACCAGATTACGAACCCTAATTGCACGTTGACGGAAAAACTATTCAAAGCGTTGATGACATAAAATTTTTAGGAATAATATTAGATCCCAAATTAAATTGGGAAGCTCATATAAAAATGGTAACTTCAAAATTAAGTACTTGTTATATCATCAAAAATTGAAGGGAAACACTATCTTTTGATACTTTAAAACTATGCTGTTTTGGTTTGGTTCATTCAATTCTACAATATGGGTTAATATTTTGGGGTTCTTCACCATACTTTGAAAGAGCTTTTGTATCTCAAAAGAAGGTTCTGAGAGCCAACAACATCATGTAAAGAACTTTTCAAGAAAACACAAATTTTAACACTACCTTCCCTTTTTATTTTTCAACTAATTTTATACATTAAAGATAATGAGCATATATTTAAGAAAAATAAAGACCTGCACTCATATGATACTAGATTAAAATTTAACATCCATCAACCTTTTTCATGACTACAAATAAGCCAGCATTCACCAAAATATATTGGGATTAAGTGTTACAATAAGTTCAGTAACATATTAGAAGATACTACAGGTTATCATCAAATTAGTCCTAATGATTTAAGAAAACATCTTAATGATTTTCTTGTAAATAATGTATTTTATAGTATAGAAGATTTTTTGAACTTTTAAACTAATCTTAACATGAATTGTCTATTATATATATTTAATTTTTTAATGTATTTTACTTAACACTTTTTTGACTAGTCTGATAATTCTCAAAGATGAATAAATTCTATTTCTATTAAAGTTAAAAAAAAATTCAATGACTTCAAAATAACTAATATATAAGTTATTAATGATTGTAGATAATCAAAGTTAAGTTATTTTGTAAGAGGAAATGCTAGAATCAATATTTTTTCAGTGTTATTCCAGTCATAATTTTAATATAATTTATTGAAATAATCTAATAAAACACCCACATTTCATATTTTTATAATTATCATGACCTTAAAGGACAATAAAAGTATTGTGTAAACTTTATGTACTTATTGTATTAAAAATTGATATGACTACATATTTTTAAAACTTGCATGCAATATGGAAATATTATCAAAAAATTATTAATTCACTGTTAAAAAATAAACATATTTTTGTAATTTTCTGAAGAAAATCTTACCAGTCAAGATCTATTCCTGGTTTGAGTGCCAAATAGACTAATAAAACTCCACATATCAATAAATAAGAACCATAATATATAGCATTATCAATTAATGCTGATTTTAGCTTTCCCTTTATTGAGAAATCTCCAGCTTTGATATACGACTGCATCATTGGCATAACTAACCTAAAGATTAAAAAGTTTTAAATACTTTTATGAATATCCAACAAATAAAATATAACTACCATGTTAAAAACTGTGTACTCCAATATACAGTCCTCCATAAATTCGTGAATACCCTTTCTGGTAAGTTAGTCCAAGGTGGTTCACAGGCAATTGTACCATTAGTGGATATCTCTAATGAATTAACATCATCTTCAGTATTTAAAATTGTAATGTTAGGTACAGAACATTGACGGTATACAGTCTAAAAACAATTCAACAAAATAATAAATGAAGTGAATATTCAGTCCAATAGGCTACAGAGCGAAGTCCTTCTGCCTAGAATTCAACAGTAGCATTAGATTTTCAAAAAGCATTACTGTTGACCCTCAGTAATCCAGCTGTGTATTGTGCTGTTTAATATACAAAGTTGATGTACAGTATAGATTTTATTTTACAATTTTCATAATTTGTCGGATTACAAGATACTTCTTTTTGAAAAGTTCCAGACCCCAAGGGGTCAGTGACAACATTCTATAATCCGAAAAATTTGATAATCCTACAATGCCTTACAAAAAATTTGTTGGGTTACCCCTGATCGACTGTATAAGTTTAAAAAATCCACTTACTGATATAACATCCAATGGAAGTGCAAATATGATCAAAAAACTACAATACCAAGCCAATAATACAGTCAATGTTACAAATATACGGTGTCTGAACCAATTTCCATAACGATACAAGACAGTAGCTGATAACAGAAAAGACAATAATATTGTTGATACTAATGGTGTATAACTCATGTTGGAATAATAATAACTTCAACTTTTATTGCTTTTTGATATCTTCTTGTACTTTTTGGGCTTCTTGCTGTATTTTCTCAAGTTTTTCTAAAGTATAGCTCTTAAGCGGTATCAATCTTGGTTTACAAAAAGTTAGACCAGGAACATCCTCGATTACTATTTGTCCATGTTTTTTTAACACAGGTCTGAATTCGCTTGGCTCAGACATCCTGAATTAGCCTACATATTCATTTTTTCTGTTTTCACACAGTATGTTAAAATCGTTAAATGGAAATACGTCACAACTCATATAAACACAACACCAACACAACTTTGGCCAGTTTTGAGTTTTGTCACTTTTGACAGGAGAATTTAATATTTTTATTTTTTATCAACAAGAAGTGGTGGAAGAGGTGGCAGCTACAAAGACCTTCTATTGCTAGACGTGCAATAGATTGCTCACCCAAGTTCACACTGAACAGAACCGTTCTGGCCCAAATTTTCTAAAATAAAATTTCAGCATTTTATAACAGATTTTGAACTACTAATGTCAATTAATAATTTGATTGGAGGATGTTTTTAATATCTATATAGGATAATGGGCTATTTGTAGCCTATTTGATTATTTCTGTTACGAAATAGTTTTTGAGTTTAATTTTGAGTTTTTAAATATTCCGATTCATTTTGATAAAATTATCAGTATAACTATTATATTGTTGAATATAATAGCGGATTCGACTCAAATGCTCTTGCTCGATGACAAAGCGCTTTCGGTTCTGAATTGATTTTGGGCAGCATTTTTATAATTCAAATTTATATCTAGCAGTGCACACAGCAAGCAAGAGCTAGAGTTCGACATTGGTGTAGCGCGTCTATATCGTTATTCGACTGGCACAGTTAGCACTTGACATTTCAGATTTCTAACAAATTTTTAAGGATATTTATTTATAGTTGCCAAATCAAAAATTATATCTCTATTAATTTCAAAGATTTTCCATTATCACTAATAATAAAGAGAAAGATGGTAATATATTTAAAAATATTAAATAATCCCTAACCTCCAAAATGACACTGGCACTGAAAAAAAGTACAGTTCCAAAAAATTCGAACTTTGAGCAAGAGCGACTGCCAGTCGAACAAAAATTTCACTATGCCTTGGTACCGAGCAATTTCAGTCGAATGCAATAATTGGCATTTAATTAATTAGGTTCTGTCAGTCGAACAAACACCACTTAAAAAAGTCGAATTAAATGCGCATTAATGCAGCCAGTCGAATCCGCTATTAGTATAATCTTCATATACTTTGTTTGTATAAATTTGACAATCATTTTCTAGTATGTAGTTTTGATATCAACAAAACTGGGTTGAAGAGCTTGTTTGTGCCTTATTAAATTTTTCAAGTAGAAATCGATTGAGAATGTTTTGCAATTTCTCAATAGATTTTAGGACATGTTATTTTGTTTCCTGAGGGTTTGGAAACGGGAGAAAATGGGAGTTTTGGAGTTGTTGTCGAAAACTTCCCCATTGGGAGATAAACAGAAGAGATATTTATCAAAATGACATACAAATGTCTAGTTATGTGTAGGTCTTTGTAAGAAAATTTGTTTGACATCTGAAAGTTGAGTGACGTATAGTTGACAGTGACAGCAGCTGGTAGGAGGCAAAATTCTTATAATAAATTTTATCTGCTAATATGAATTTCTGAAGAAAAATGAGTGAATTATTTAAATCCGCTTTCGAATACTTTAGCAGCCCTACAAACGGACAAAATGAAAACAGCTTCGTCGGACAAATAATAGAGATTTCTAATGTTAAATTAAAGATAAAAAAAGTTATAGCAGAAGGTCCTATTGAACTATCGATTTTTTTTGAACATTTTTAATAAATAAAATATATTTTAGGTGGTTTCGCTGTTGTTTTTGTAGCACAAGATGTAGCGACTGGAAAGGACTATGCTCTAAAAGTATTGTTTCTTCATTTTCCCTTCCAAAACTGTTTTTTAAATATTCTTTGTTTCAGAGGTTATTGGCTGCTGATGAAGAATCAAAGAACAATGTTATTAGAGAAATAAATATATTAAAAAAAATATCCGGGCATCCTCATATTATTCAGTATTTATCGGCTTCTTTTATTGATAAATCACAAACACAACATGGTCAGTCAGAATTTTTGCTTGTAACTGAACTTTGTCCAGGTATTTGAGTTTATTATCTATTTTAAATAATATTCTTTTAACCACTAATTATAATACTGCTCATTTTTTTAAAGAAAAATTTACGTACTGCTCCTTTTTTAAAAAAAATTACATACAATTCCTTATTTCCCATTCGTTCAAGAAATAATTTCTATCAAAAGTTAGTTCTAATGTAGATAAAGACTCCTTATACTATAAAGGACTGAAGCAATATAATCAGTTACCTGAATGTGTAAAAAACTGTGATAATCTAAAAAAATTTAAAAAAAGCCTGTATCGACTATATTAAGAGTTTATTGTAATGAAGACTTTTTGTATTTTGTTGGTATATGTTTAAAATTTCTTTGTATTTTCTTCCTTGCTAGCTACATGCAAATAAATAAAGATTAATATTATTAAAATGAAATAATTTTAGGTGGTTCTTTGGTAGAAATTTTACAATCACGCACTACAGCTTTCGACGTAGATATAATAACAAGAATTTTCTATCAAACATGTAAAGCTGTTGCTCATATGCACTCTCAAAATCCACCCATTATACACAGAGACTTAAAAATTGAAAATCTTCTAATCAGTGCAGATAGTACTATAAAATTATGTGACTTTGGATCATCTACAACTGATGTTTTTAATCCTGATATATCGTGGTCTGCCAACCAACATGCAAGTCTTGAAGAAAATGTAAATACATTAAATACTACAGGTGTTGGTTGAATTATAGTGATTATGATTTTTAGATGGCGAAGTTTACAACACCAATGTACAGGGCTCCCGAAATGGTAGATACATGGAATAACTATTTTGTAGGCACTCCAGTCGACATTTGGGCACTGGGGTGCATTTTATATACTTTGTGTTTCATGAGGCATCCGTTTGAAGATAGTGCAAAATTAAGAATAATGAATGCAAACTATAGTATTCCAGCTGATCCTAAGTTTGCTTGTTTTCATGAAATATTAAGTAAGTGTACATTGAAAATGCCAAATAAAACAATGTTACACTAAAATTTACTTATCTTAGAATTTATATCTTTTTTTTTTTAATAAAGTGTTTAAATTTAATTTTACCTTGTACAGTGATTGTATATCCTGTGGAATGCTTTCACATTCAGCAACATTTTTTTAGGAGGTTGCTTGCAAGCCAATCCTCAGCAAAGAATCAGCATCGCCGGCATTTTAGAAAGGCTCGCAGCAATCGCAGAAAGCAACGGATATGATCTTAAGGCGCCGCTTATTTTGTCCACGCCGCAGCACAAAGTAAACGAACCGCCAGCGCCCTCTAATATTTTCAACGAATCTGCCAACAATTGCGCTAAGCCGCCTCCATCTAGGCCTGCGCCGCCGATATTCGATGCTAGTAAAACACCGCAACAAGTAAGGTTTAGAGCTGTTTTTACTAGTATTATTAAAGATACCTTATATTGTTTGATTTCTATTTTTGTCTCTATACAATATCTTTATTTACCTGAGAAAATATTACATTTTATGGCTCGTCAAATTACAATTAAAACTAAATATATACATAATAAAATTTACCTAAATATAATAATATAAAATTGAAATTTACAAACATATACAACATAGTTCACTGAATCACTCAGAGGCCACTGTGACAGCCTCCATCCTCCTCCATCTGTATTGATTTAAATTCCTCTAAGCAATTATTGGATAACATTTGTTTTAATGGATGTTTAAATTTATCTACAGGCTGATTTCTAAAATTAAGTGGTAGTATATTGTATAGCTCAATATATTTCTTTATCCTTTCCAGTCTATACTGGATATGGACTAAGTTATCTTTGTGCCTTGTATTATAGTTATGGATATCTGAATGGGAAAAAATGTGTTAATATTATTTATTACGAATAGAAGGTTTTGATATATTATTACTGCATAGAGTGTCATAATTTTAAGTTCTGGGAATACTGGTCTACAACTGACTTGCCAAGAAGCACGTGTTATGGCTCTTATGGCTGATTTTTGCAAAATAAAGGCTCTTGAGATATGTGTGTCAGCAGTATTGCCCCAACGTATTGTCCCATATGTCAAATGACTATGAAATAGAGCATAGTAAGCAGTAATTGCTGCATCTTGACCACATATTTGGCGTATTTTCCTGATAGCAAAAACTGCTCCTGATAATTTGGAACAAAGTCTTTCAATATGATCTGTTCATCTGAGATGTGGATCAATTTGAATGCCAAGTGTTTTAACAGAATTGTTATTAAGTTGTTCACTATTTATTGTAAATAATTGGGAGATAGTTTTTGTGTCATTTAAAAACAGGTCGTTTACAGAAAACCACTTCTTTGCCTGAATCATGACATCAGAGTAAACTTAATCATGATTTGTTCCTCTTTTAGTATTAATACAAAAAGAAGTATCATCAGCAAATATACATGTGATAAGGTTTTCAAAATGCATATGGTTAGGAAGATCAGTAATGTATATCAAAAAGAGTAATGGACCTAAAATTGAGCCCTGAGGGACACCTCTCCTGATATGCATCAATGAACTTTTGCAATTTTCGATGATGACTGTTTGACATCTGTCAGTTAAATAAGATTCAAAAAGCTGTAAACAAATCCCTCGTACTCCATACCTCTCCAGTTTTGATAATAGAATTGAATGATCCACATAGTCAAAAGGAGAGCTTAGATCTATAAATACACCTAAACAGTTTTCAGCTTTTTCAAAACAATTTTCTATATATTGTACTACTCCTGCATCTATTGTTGATCGCCCCCTTCTAAAACCATACTGGAATGGCGTGAGTATGTTGGAAGAATTTAAATATGATATTAGATTATTATACATAATTTTTTCCAAGATTTTGGAGAATATGGAAAGTACAGCAACTTGTCTGAAGTTGCAAGGCTGAGAAGGGTCTCCATTTTTAAATATTATTCATGCATTGTTTTCGGTCGTACATGGTGGGCTTGAAATGGAGAAATTAGGTTTGAAAATGTAATTTCTTGTACAAACTTTTCTACTTTTTTCAATGATAAAAACTACATGTTTCTAACTTTTTTGAGAAATAGTGATTTAGTTGGATGATGTTGTTTTGCATCAAAAATATTAAATCGTTTGGTTTCGTTAACTTTCTCTATTGTATTTTGGTTCGAAATAAATGAATCAGTTTCTAAACATTTTAATATTTAATATTATTTTAATATTTATTTAATTTTTGCTACTTTTTATTATAAGTTTAGAAGAAAATTTAGCTATTTTTTAACTTTTTGAGGAACAAAATGTTCAAAAAATTTACCTTAGTTGTTTCTTTTTAAAAAAATTACAGGTTCCTCCTCGTCCAACTCCTCCACCGCAAAGACACGCCCCTCCACAAATCCAACAACCTCCTCAAAGACCAATCGAAAACAAGCAGGCCGGGTTGTTTTCTTCTCTCAAAGGTGGCGCCGGAAGTTTTTTGAAAAATCTTAAAGATACCAGTAGCAAAGTTATGGCTACAGTGCAGCAGTAAGTCTGCAAACAATATTTTTGAATCGCGGGATTATTTATTGCAATTATTTCTAGGAGCATGGCTAGAACCGACTTAGATATCCACTACATAAGTTCCAGAATAATAGTAATGCCGTATCCGTCAGAGGGCTTCGAAACCGCTTACAAAACTAATAATATAGAAGACGTGAGACTGTTTTTAGATTCTAGGCATCCGAATTTTAGATATTCCATATACAATTTATCTCATAAACCGTATCATTCGAAATTCGGCCAAGCGAGAATCGTGGATTGTTCGTTCGCTTACCCGGACACGTTTAGGGCGCCATTGTTGAATTCGATGTATCAACTGGCCGAGGATATTTATCAGTACTTAGCTGGAGACAGCCGAAACGTAGTTGTAATCCACTGTACGGTAAGTTTGCTAAAAATGTTACATAAATAGTTTTATTACTTCTCAAAATATTTCCTTGTATTTTTAGGACGGAAAAGCAACGTCCGCCACGTTGGTATGTGCTTTATTAATTTACGCCGGTCTATTCGAGGTGCCTGAAGACGCTTTGCAGATGTTCGCAGTGAAACGTTGTCCGCCGAATATGAGGCCATCCGAATTGCGGTATCTGTATTATTTAGTAGACATAGTTAGAAATCCACCAGTATATCCGCATTATAATCCTGTGACTTTGGTATCGTTGCAAATGCAACCTGTTCCTTTGTTTACCAAAGTTCGGTAAGTAATAATCATAATTATATAGGTATTTATTTCCATTAGTTAAAATAAAAATACATTCAATATAGTAAAAAAAAATGGGAAAAGGTCGTAGACATTAATCAGTTGGTTTTTTTATTTTAGAGATGGATGCAGACCTTATATAGAAGTTTTTAGTGAAAATAGATGTATTTTATCAACTTTGCAAGACTATGAAAGAATGAGACTGTTTTATTTAGCTGAGGGAAAGGTAATTACTTTGTATTTTAAAGAATAGAATATAGAAGCCATTTTTATGCCGAAATAGAGTTCTTTTATGTTATTTGACATGATATTCCCAAAAAAATTACTTTTAAATTTCAAATCGACTTATATAGGAGAATATGCATTATTTCCATGTCCAAAGGGAACCACATCGCTTTAAAGTGTTCGCGTTACCTGCGCATGAGTACCGCTGGCGCTTTAAAGCGCCCACGACTACTTGTTGGTAAATGCGTAGTAAGTAGGACTTCGGTACTTAGGTGACTTCAGGGTTAAACTCATCGGCAGTGAACGTGTTAAGATTGGGTGGTTTTAAACAATAAATTTATCAATTTTCAATAGTAAAACGACTTAAGTTAGACCTTTATCTTTAATTTGTTCAAAAATTAGATTTTTAAATGCTATATATTCGAAAATGTATAATCGACACATACAGAGATACCCCGTCTTTGAAGAGATTGTGATTTTCAGTGTTTGCTTCCTATCAACGCCACCGTTTGCGGAGACGTATGCGTAATAGTTTATCACGCCAGGAACATATTGGGCGGCGTTATGACCCAAGGTAAAGCTACAGGTATCAAAATCTTCCAAATTCAATTCCACACAGGGTACATTCCGGAAGAAGAGACCTGTTTGAGGTTCGCAAAGTAAGTCCCACTTTTTATTCAACATAAAAAGAAATTGTTAATAATAATATTCCATCAGTTACCTTTATAGACTTGAGTAAAGCATTTGATTGTGTTTAATCACTCAATTTTCTTAAGAGGTGATACATTGAACTTTTTTAAATAGATATCAATTATATTTATAAATATTTTTAGACATATTTGCTATTTTAATTGTTTTGTGTTAAATTAGTATATGTAAAATTGTTATTATTTATTGTTATCATTAAAAAACAATGTATTATATATCCATGGAAATTTCAGATCGGATTTGGACGACCTGTCCGAAGCCCATGATCATTTTCAAGATAGATTTACGGTGGCACTGAACGTGTTCGTGACGGATACCGAACGAAAGCCTACACAGCCCGCGCCGTGGCAAACCGATCAAACTAAACGTCTCATCGATACGATGTTTACGTCTCAAATAGAAAAAGAAGAAACTGTAGATAATTTCGGTGAGAATGACGCTAATGTTGGCTGCGTGGTGTATTTTAAATATATCGTTTTAAATTTTAGTTAGTGCACCAAGTAGGAAATCCGAAGAACAACAACAGAAGCAACCGGAAAGGCCAGAAAGACCTGTCAGACCACCTCCTCCTCCGCCTTTAGCTGTTATTCTAACAGACAATGAAGATTCTTCCTCTGATGCAGAACAAAGTGTAAGTTTATACAGTAGGACATACACATGAGTTTCCCATTTCAAATCTAAAGATATAACAACATCAAAAAAATTTTGGACTATAAATATTATGAATTGTTCGGACCTATGTGTAGTACTGTCTCTACTTTTGTGAGGTTTGCTACATTTATAGGGGTATTAGACAAATAACTAGTGTATAGGATTAATAAAAGTGGGTACTTTTACAGATTCCTCAACCGGCCGTACCCACAGAACCGCTGATCGAGTCCTTGGACCTTTTGAATCTGAATTCCGCGCCGGTGGTCGACAACACGTCGGCGAAAAAGTCGCCGGGCTCGAACTTCGATCTGCTGTCACAGCTGGGCGGCGACGGAGCTAACGATAATTTTACCGCCTTCAATAGCGCCCCCGCTCCGCCCAAAACCGAGGATATATTCGATCCGTTCGCCTCGTATGGAGGCGGAGGAGACGGAAACAATTTATTGGGAGGATGGGATAATTTTTCATCGGCCGCAGCTCAAAACGCGATGCCGCAAAATGCAGCTAACGAACAAAAACCCAGTGATCCTTTCGCAGATTTCGGTAAGAGAAACGTTTTCTTAACAATTATTCGAGTTTTAATGGGATTCAAAATCAAATAGGAAACATCGGTGGCGGGTTGAACTTCGCACCATCCCACGGACCATCTACCACGCCGACCAGCGGTTCCCAATCGCCGAACGCGCCTGCGCCGACCACTCCGCAACACGTAGGCACGAATATCCCGCATTCCCACTCTGCGAACGCCACCCCGAAGCACCAAGCGAGATCTCCTGTCGGCGCCGACTACAATAGATCGCACTTTGACCTGTTGAACAAGAACCAACAACCGAACGAGCCGCAAAAGAAGGTGCAAAGCGACGACGTGTTCGGCGATTTGCTGGGATCGCAGGGATACAGTTTTACCGGGAAGAGGGAAAATATGCCGAGGACGATGAACGCCATGAGGAAGGAAGAGATGGCGACTTATATGGATCCGGAGAAGATGAAGGTTATGGAATGGGTGAGTAAAGACCTAGAATAAAGATTATTACAATTTACTTCGATTTATTGCGATTCCTTATGATTTATTATATGAAAAGCTTTTATAAGACGTAAAAATTTGCGTATTTAAAATAATAATAGTTTGTATTATTTTTTCTTGCATAGAAAGAAGGGAAGAAGAATAATATCCGCGCCCTTCTCTGTTCGATGCACACGATTTTGTGGGACGGAGCGAAATGGAATAAATGCGAAATGCATCAGCTCGTAACTCCGGCAGATGTCAAAAAAGCTTACAGAAGAGCTTGTCTAGCTGTCCATCCGGACAAGGTAGGTCATCAACTTTTACATAAAATAAGGCATTTCATAACTGGCTGTATAAATAGCTATTATTTTGTTATTATACAAGGAGTATGATATTTTGTTTTTGCAGCAAGCTGGTACTGACAACGAGAATTTGGCGAAGCTCATTTTCATGGAACTGAATACCGCGTGGAGTGATTTTGAGGAAGACGCTGCCCAACAGAACATGTTCACTTAACCGTTATTATTTTGTAGTTGTATTGCTATGTTAAATTTTTCCCATCATTCCAGTACTAATACTTTAAAATGTTTACTACGAAATTATTTATTTTAGATGTAGGTTGCCGTTCTTTCCTGATTACTCATAAATAACTATTTTTAACGTAGCTCTAAAGTCGCAAAGGGGTCCCGCACTGTTTTAATCATATTTTTTTGTCTCCCGATTTTAACGATTTTTTGCTCCACTTCTATCTGATGAGTTGCAATATTTTTTTTTATTATTAAAAAAAAAACAACTGCGGGACTCCTTTATTAAAAAGCAATTTAATTTAGTTTTTATCAAATTTTTGGCGTAGACAAATATTTTGCAAAAATACTTTAGAGGTTGGAATTGTTAAAAATAAAAAAAAGATTTATGATATTAACCCTGCGTTAATTATAAACATTTTGTGTTTAATATATTCTATTTTTATATTGTGACTGTGTTCATATATTATTGTTTAGGTAAAAATTTTAAAAAATATATTTATTTTTTGTTGACACATTTATCAAAAATTCCAGTTTCCATTGGATGTTGCAATATCTAAAATATAAACTTGTTTGTCTCATTTATTTGCATTTTAATTGATTAGCTAATACCAAAAACCCTAGCAACTCCTTGAAAATTACAATTTTTTTTTAATGATAAAGAAACTACAGTAAGAGGTCAATAAATTCAATGGAGTAGATAAACATTTCAGTTCAGAATAAAAAGAAGAAAGTTGGTTAGATTACCAGTGGAAAGGTTTGATATATCTAAGGGTTGCGACATACGAAGTATTCTATCTACAATACGTAAAATCATGAATAAAGGATTACATTTAAATATTTTAGGTCGAACACAATAAAAATATTATTTAAAAAAAATCGCTTTTTCATATTTTCATAAATTGATAGGCTTGTGCGACACTATTTTGAATAAAAGATGCAAGGCTATGTCGCTACCCCCTTAGATATACGAATCCTTCCCGATTCCGGCCTTTTACTATTTTCGTATATAGTAAAAATATGGGTTTTTGACGTTTGTGATATTTGATATTTCTGTCAAACTCTAACCTACTAAATAATAATTTCAAATAAGTATAAAATATTTATTAATCTATATTTAACAGAGAATTAGAGAAAATGGCAAGTAGTGCTTCTGCCGTTTTAGATGTAGTAGCAGAAAACAAGGAAATCCCTTCCGTTTTAAAAGAGAAAGAAGTCGATCCACCTAGTGTTTGTAGTGATTCAACTTACGATAATTCACTGGTAAGTCATCGTAAAATACTACAAGCACCAATTATATAGTTGTATATATTTAGTAAAAAGTAAATATAGCAAAAAGTTTATTTTTCAGCTTGATAAAAATTTTTTTAGGGCATATCTGAATCTTTTATTATTTAAGTTTTTAGGTACTCTAAAATAACATATTAAAAGCCTATGTATAAAATGAAGTTGTTTTTTGATATTATTTCCAAAAATCGCTTTCTATTTAAAATTTTTACTCCAGTATTTACATTTTTTATATAAAGGTGCAATCTCCGAGTATAGAAAGCTTTTCAACTATACAAGACATAGAAAATCTAGCCGAATTAAACATGGATGAAAACTCGGACTTGTGTGTGAAAATTGACAATCCTCAGAAGCATTTAGAAACCTTAGAAACTTACATTACATTTAGAATTACAACGAAGGTAGCTAGAATTGAATTTTCAGATAATGAATATATTGTACATAGAAGATATAATGATTTCCTATGGTTAAGGCAAAAGCTAGTGGAATGCCATCCATTTTGTATTGTACCTGTAAGTAGTTTCACAAAAATAATACTAGTTGTTGTGTCTAGGTTTATGGCACCAAAATACCTAACCTGTACAGCCTGAAGCCATGTTTCCTTTACTTTAATTATGGCCTATGTGCATATAATGTTCATAAGCCTAGGCACAGTAAAAAACACACTATTTAAACTACAAATTTACAATTTTTTGAAGCTGTTTTACTAGCTGCAGTTTTTTGTTTTAGCCATTACCTGGTAAACATTCGTTAATAGGTCAGTTAGATAGATATTCCAAAGATTTTATATTACTTAGAATGAAGGCGTTAAATGTTTTTATTACAAGAGTAACCAAGCATCCAATATTGAGTTGCAATGAACATTTTAAATTTTTTTTAACAGCCAAATCTGCAGTAAGTATTAAATTTTTATGAATGTAACTCCTTAACATATCAATAAATAAGGAGGTTATTATTTGGTGAATTTTATAATAAAATATTGTAGCAGAAGCAGACATGTATTTATTTATGTATTACTGAGAATAAAGTATTTCTATTTTTAACCTACTTCAAAAAAGGAGGAGGTTCTCAATTCTTCTGTATATTTTTTATTTATAATTCTTTATCGGTGTTTGATTTCAATGATTATTTTTTTGTTAGAAGAGGGGGTACTTCAGGGGTGGTCCCATATAAATTTGGACAAAATTTAATAATTGGGTCCATGAGAAAATCTTCAAACTTCATTTTTTATGTATGTTTAGCGATAATTCTTTACTACCTTGTCTGATTTCTATGATACTTTTTTATTAGTAAGGGGGTACCTCAGGGGTGGTCCCATATAAATTTAGTCAAAATTAAATAATTGGGTCAATGAGAAAATCCTCAAACTTCATTTTTTATGTTTGTTAAGCGATAATTCTTTACCACCTTGTCCAATTTCTATAATTCTTTTTTGTTAGAAAGGGGGTACTTCAGGGGTGGTCCCATATAAATTTAGTCAAAATTAAATAATTGGGTCAATGAAAAAATCCTCAAACTTCATTTTTGATGTATGTTTAGCAATAATTCTTTACCACCTTGTCTGATTTCTAGATTCTCTTTTATTAGTAAGGGGGTACCTCAGGGGTGGTCCCATATAAATTTGGTTAAGATGTGGTGATGGCATCTGCACGATTTTGAACTCAGTTTTTTTTAAATTACTTTTAATACTTGTTATTTAAAAAAATAACTAATAAAAATAGAAAAATCCATTATTTTAGGACTTTACATTGCACAGGAGACAAAGACATCCGATCCAACAAAAAATAAGAACCTTCAATCACGGAACGTCGACTCATAGCGTGTTAAAAAACAAACACATTGAATTCGACAAAACCAAAGCGTATTTAACGACATTATCGGAAAAGCTATTGTCGATAGAAAAAATATCTAGTCGTATCAACAAAGAAAGAAGCGAATATGTAACAGAATTGAACAGTTATCATCCTGTATTTACCACGTGGGCTACTTCCGAACCCGAATTATCGGAATTGTTGCAGAACGTCGGCGGTGCAATGGAGAGAAGTTCTGCAGCGCAACACTCTTTAGTACAAAGTTATAGTAATACTGTCGGTAATCCCATAAAGGATTTCTTAGCTTATATCGATGTGGCTCAAGAAACGCTCAGGAAACGGGAATCGTATCAGTATTCATATGAAATATCCATGGATGAACTAAATAAAAAACATACAGAAAAAGACAAGGTGAGCATCTCGTCTTTATTTATTGAACAACGTATGGGGAATCGCTATTAAAATATTAAAAAGATATTACATTCATTTGAAATTTTCATTTTAAAAACAAATACCACCAGAAGTAGTTGCTACAGTAATTTTCTATAGCCATATTCTCTTTAAATTCTGTGTTATAATTTGTTTATTTTTAATTTAGTTTTCGTTTGTACATTGCTCTACAATTTGATAATTTCTTTGTGTTATTTCCACTCAATGTGTCCAAGATATTGTCAATTCGGAGCAGAAGATAACTAACTATCTTTCTTGGTAACATTGTTCAACTGACAATAGTCTACACTTTTTATAAATATTTGGAAGTTGAAAAATTTATTAATTTGGAAATAGTGACGAAACAAAGGCTTCAATATCAACTTTAAACAAATAGGAATTCAACTTTGGTGCTCTCTATCTCTAACAGCTGTTAAAATTTGAAAATGTTGTTTGCAGAATAATGTTTCTACACTTTTTATAAATATTTACTGAAATTTTGAAGTTTATTAATCTATTAGTTGAAATAGTGACGAAACAAAGGCTCCAATATCAACTTTAACAAATAGGAATTCAACTTTGATACCCTCTAGGACTAGGACTACCAAAGAGACCCATGGGTTGGTAGGAGCTTCTATCTTCCTCTATTTCCTGAAAAATCCTTGCAGCTTCCTCTTTCTTGGCATTTGGTAATCTTTTATGTTTTACAACAGAAGTTCTTCCTGTTTTTCCTCCCTTTGGTAAAAAAATGTCATATTGTCGAAGATATTCCTTTATTTTCCTTTCCAGTGATTCAGGGATTGACCAAAAACTGCAACCTTTTGTTCAAATTTATCCTTGGAATTATCAGAAGTTGTTGTCTGACGAATTATTGAAGTTACTGATACATAGATTCCGATTTTGGTCTTTTTGATGATAATTTGGTGATCATTAACCTTTATAAGATGTACTGGAATCTCTTTAGCAGCCATGACTAACCCCTTTCATCATTTTTAATTTGGTTTTCGTTTGTTCATTACTTTGTTTAACAAATATGTGATCCAAACAACTCTATCATTTCGAGTAATATATGATATATGAAGTAAACCCAAGTTCAGACAAAGTAGAGATATAATTAATTTTTTTATTATCTACTGTACCTAGTATATTAAAATTTGTATTACCCATTAGTAGTTCTAAATTATACGATTTTCCCAACTACATTAAACCATTTTTTAAATTTTTTAGTTGGTAGCTATTCAACAAAATCCGTCCCATGCAGCTACGGGCTTTTCATTATGGAAGCAATCCAGCTGTGATGATAAACTAGAAAAATTAGGCACTTACATTCCTCAGCTCATCAAAAAAGTGGAATCGAATCAAGATAACCTCGAATGCGCGAACGAATCTTTAAGAAGCGATCTGCAACGTTGGCAATCTGAGAAGCAGCAATGCTTGAAGAAAATATTGTTAGATTTTGTTAACAAGCAAATAAATTATTACCAAGCGACGTGTAATGCCTGGGAGTACGTAGCGAACGAAATAAATCAACAAAATGCTTCGTTGCGGAGTAACGCGAAATAATAATCAAATTTGCTAGCAGGGGAAGTACAGTACTTCCTATATTTCGCTACCTCACTTCAAAAATAAGATATTTCTACATTCAAAAGAGAAGCAACAACAATCTGGTCCTTTGGAATGTCATTTCTCACAAAATCTAATGATAATAAACAAATTTAGCTTTAAAAATTCATAAATAATATATGAACAAACAAACCCCGTTGTATGGCTTTGATTTGCTCAAATCAATCATGATTTAATTTTTTTTTATTGCTTTTGCATCACACGTTTTTTGCTATATTGAATTTCAAAAGAATAATTATCAAAACGTACAAAAATATGATTCAATCGTTCATAAATATTCAATAATCTGCATATTACCATTTTGTAGCTTTACCATTTACCTCTTAAAATATCAGATTAACAAAAGAAATAGATTAAGGGCCCTGTTTAACATACATTTTGTTTGAAGTCAATAAACGTTTGACAGTTTGGTTTTCCATTGACGTATCAATTAGTTTTGTTCATGTGGAATTAAATAAAAATGCCATTCAAATATTACATTTTGTTTTAGAACAAACAAAACATTTAATGGTGATGAAATTAAGCTAGCAATGTCAAATTGTGTAAAAACCCAAATTCAACTTTGGCATCCTATAACTTCAAAACCTGTTAACATTTAAAAAAGTAGTCTTCAAAATTATGTTTCTATACCTTTTGTTAATATTTTTTCAAAATTTGAAGTCTATAAATCTATTAGTTTGGAAATGGTGATGAAATAAAGCTAACAATGTCAAATTGTTAAAAAATCCAAATTCAACTTTGGCGTCCTATAACTTCAAAACCTGTTAAGATTTAAATATGTGGTCTTCAAAATTATGTTTCTACACTTTTTGTAAATATTTTTTTAAATCTTGAAGTTTATAAATCTATTAGTTTGGAAATGGTGATAAAAAGAAGCTAACAATGTCAAATTGTTAAAAAAAAAAACCCAAATTCAACTTTGGTATCTTATAGCTTCAAAACCTGTTAAAATTTTAAAATCTGGTCTTTAAAATTATGTTACTATACTTTCTGTATATAATTTTTCAAAATTTGAAGTCTATAAATCTATTAGTTTGGAATTGGATATGAAATAAAGCTAACAATGTCAAATTGTTAAAAAAAACCCAAATTCAACTTTGGCATCTTATAGCTTCAAAACCTGTTAAAATTTTAAAAGCTGGTCTTCAAAATTATGTTACTACACTTATTGTAAATATTTTTTCAAATTTTGAAGTTTATAAATCTATTAGTTTGGAAATGGTGATGAAATAAAGCTAACAATGTCAAATTGTTAAAAAATCCAAATTCAACTTTGGCATCCTATAACTTCAAAACCTGTTAAGATTTAAATACGTGGTCTTCAAAATTATGTTTCTACACTTTTTGGAAATATTTTTTTCAAATTTTGAAGTTTATAAATCTATTAGTTTGGAAATTGTGATGAAATAAAGCTAACAATGTCAAATTGTTAAAAAAAAACCAAATTCAACTTTGACATCCTATAACTTCAAAACCTGTCAAAATTTTAAAATCTGGTCTTCAAAATTATGTTACTACATTTTTTGTAAATATTTTTTCAACTAAAAACTTTAAAATAAAAATACAAACAAAATTGTTTAACAGTTTTGACTAAATTATCCGTTGCAATTTTGGCTAAAAAAAAAGTTACCAATCTATATTTCATTTGTTTATCTGATAACAAAACCTTTATTTACCCAATTTTTAAACATTCCAAATAAATGTTATATTTTTATGTTTAATTTTAAAACATCACATTTTTTTATTATTATATCGTTATTTTTATTTTTTTGTTAAATATTTATTATAAAGTTTATTCCACTGCCTATTATATAAATAAAAATCGCAATGTATTTGAGTGTGTATATTAAAAACAAATCTACAATTCGATAATTATGATTACTTTTTATAAATGTCACACCTAAATACGCCAAAAAAATTTTTGAATAATTTAATAAATAGCGAACATGTATATAGAAATAATCCACTACAATAAAAATTGTGCTAATTATAATATATATAATATATTTTTTCCTGCGAAGATGGTAACCTAAAAATCTGACCGTTTGTCCCTGTTCCTGGCCCTCGATAGAGTTCTTGCTTTGAAATTGGCCGCATTCACCAAACGCTGTAACAATTATAATTTTTATTATTACAAAATACTCTATTAAAGGTACTTAATTAACCCTTTTTGTTATACAATTCGTTTCATTATTGAATAAAAATTACATAAACCATTTTGCATTTTCATTTCACCAAAGATTTAAGAATTCATAAAAATTTCATAGAAAAACCAGTAATAGTAATAGATATATAAAGTGGAAAGTTTAATTGGAACAAAATATGTAATTTAATAAATAAAAATTTCCTAAACATGTCAATATTCATTTTTAGTAGGGTATAATACAAAGAGATTTGTTTTTTTTTTTTTTTAATTTAATTTTTTAGTATATGTAAGTTTTTTCAATGTTCAACACTTATTATATAACTGAGTGTACTTACTTTTCTGTACCGTTCCATCTGGTGTTGTTGATGGGCGGGCATCTCGGCCATCTGTGGAGGTAGTATGATTTCGAAAATATCTCTGAGCAAATCGTTGTCAGTGAGATGAACGTTAATGCTGGGCCCTAAAACGTTGCACAGCGTCTCGTATTGCTTCCTTCGACTCCAAGAGTCTAGCACCAACGTTTCTCTTCCAAATTTTATTGATAGTTCTGGCACAATATCATTCTATAACAAATTATATATTATCAAAATAAAAAGACATTAAAATCAACAACAACCACCAGTGGAATGTATCAAATTTACGGACACTTCAAATTCAAATAATAAAAAAGGTGGAGTGTGTTCTGAATTTAAATGTTTTTTTAGTAACTTTATTGGTATCAAAATCTATTATAAATGCATTAGTATCAAACGAATGCTAATATTTTCTATTTATTAAACTTAAGAAAATAGTTGTTCAAAATATGTTTGTTATGAAATGTACGCAGTGGTGTTGGCTGTTTACATGGACTGATTTAAAATGATTTGAATCATTAAAATTAAGTAAATTAGTATATTAGCATTATCTAGAACCATGGTGTCAATAACTTACCTCAAAAAACTGCAAGATATCCCTAAACGTAGCCCTCTGTTGCTTCCTGTCTTTTTTGGCTCTATATTTATGAGAATCGGTCGCTAAATGTTTCAAATTTTCCGTAATATCCAGCGCGAAATCTTCCTCGAAATCGTCGTTTTCCTCCCTGCCCAGTTCATAAACCAAAGCCAAGGCTTCGCCTGCTGCCATTCTGACATCCAAATGAGGTGATTCTAGCAACTCTGACAGTTTTTCCAATGTTCTAAAAAAATGAATATTGTAAACAATTACCTAATTCATCTTTTAGATACTTACGGCAGGGCTTTGGAATTGTTCATCATCGTCCCGATATTTCCTGGTGAAAGCAAAGTAAATAGCAAGTTCCAAGCTTGGATAGCGGCGGCATGCAAAATGGCTGTGTCGGCGGAAACGTTTGCAACGTTCCCGTCGCCTTTTAAATAACTACCCGAATAAATTGATTCAAATTGCTGCATAAGAATAATGACATCGCCGATTTCACCGCCAGATAAAAATGTCATAGTACCTAAAGCTGCGCAACACTAAAAAAAAAAACAGATATAGTTGAAACTACACTTTAAACAACCGTGTACGTGAAGATATTTATTGTAGACAGTAATAAAAATAAAAATTGTATAAACTATAAAATTGCCCGCCACTGGAGTGACAGATATTTACATTCCTGACATTTTTTTACTGTCTACAATTGATATATTTTACAATAATCTTACTTTAGCTCTGACAGGTGCAGAAACTGTATTATCGCAAACTATCGAAAGTAACATAGGTTTCAAATTTCTAGAAATTTCTTCACAGGCGTCTTCACCGCCCATCTGAACGCAAATAATCGTAGCCAATTCAGCGGCAGCCATTTTTTCCGGACCACCACCCTTTTTTAAACTTCTTTCGATACTATCGCAAATTGTAAAGTATCTAAACATAAAAAAAAAAATTAGCAGTTAAAACCAAAAATTCCAACCTTAATATTTACCTTTCTCTAATGAAATTAGGCATGTATTTCTTGACGAAGCCTTTAGTTAAATTTTCGAAACAGTTGGTTCGGCCTTGAGATGATTTTTGAGTGAGGCCATCGAGAATTTCACATAACTTTTCTTCGAGCTGTTCCTGCGCAACCAAGTCGGCGTCTTCTGCTTCTTCGCCGTCCTTGTTTTCTGAAAAATTGCTGACAACGCTTGCATTGTCAAAAGACTCATCGTCAGAAGAATTCAGGGAACCATCGTTTCGCCCGCGATCTGAAAATAACAAAAATAATGACATAAGACTTGGTAAAATTTAAAAATATCTTCAAAATTATGTTTCTACACTCTTTGTAAATATTTTTTCAAAATTTGGAGTCCATAAATCCATTAGTATGGAAATGGATATGAAATAAAGCTAACAATGTCAAATTGTTAAAAAAACCAAATTCAACTTTAGCATCATATAACTTCAAAACCTGGCAAAATTTAAAAATCTAGTCTTCAAAATTATGTTTCTACATTTTTTGTAAATATTTTTTCAAACTTTGAAATCTATAAATGTATTAGTTTAGAAATGGTGATGAAATTAAGCTAGCAATGTCAAATTGTTTAAAAACCTGAATTCAACTTTGGCATCCTATAACTTCAAAACCTGTTAAAATTTTAAAATCTGGTCTTCACAATTATGTTTCTACATTTTTTGTAAATATTTTTTCAAACTTTGAAATCTATAAATGTATTAGTTTAGAAATGGTGATGAAATTAAACTAGCAATGTCAAATTGTTTAAAAACCTGAATTCAACTTTGGCATCCTATAACTTCAAAACCTGTTAAAATTTTAAAATCTGGTCTTCACAATTATGTTTCTACACTTTTTGTAAATAATTTTTCAAAATTTGAGGTCTATAAATCTATTAGTTTGAAAATGGTGATGAAATAAAGCTAACAATGTCAAATTGTTTAAAAACCTGAATTCAACTTTGGCATCCTATAACTTCAAAACCTGTTAAAATTCAAAAATCTGGTCTTCACAATTATGTTTCTACACTTTTTGCAAATATTTGTTCAAAATTTGAAGTCTATAAATCTATTAGTTTGGAAATAGGGATGAAATAAAGCTAACAATGTCAAATTGTTTAAAAACCTGAATTCAACTTTGGCATCCTATAACTTCAAAACCTGTTAAAATTCAAAAATCTGGTCTTCAAAATTATGTTTCTACACTTTTTGCAAATATTTGTTCAAAATTTGAAGTCTATAAATCTAATAGTTTGGAAATGGCGATGAAATTAAGCTGGCAATGTCAAATTGTTTAAAAAACAAAATTCAATTTTGACATCCTATAACTTCAAAACCGGTCAAAATTTTAAAATCTGCTTTTCACAATTATGTTTCTACACTTTTTGTAAATATTTTTTCAAAATTTGAAGTCTATAAATCTATCAGTTTGGAAATGTTGATGAAATTAAGCTAGCAAAGTCAAATTGTTTAAAAACCCAAATTCAAATTTGGCATCCTATAACTTCAAAACCTGTTAAAATTCAAAAATCTGATCTTCAAAATTATGTTTCTACATTTTTTGTAAATATTTTTTCAAACTTTGAAATCTATAAATGTATTAGTTTAGAAATGGTGATGAAATTAAGCTAGCAATGTCAAATTGTTTAAAAACCTGAATTCAACTTTGGCATCCTATAACTTCAAAACCTGTTAAAATTTTAAAATCTGGTCTTCACAATTATGTTTCTACACTTTTTGTAAATAATTTTTCAAAATTTGAGGTCTATAAATCTATTAGTTTGAAAATGGTGATGAAATAAAGCTAACAATGTCAAATTGTTTAAAAACCTGAATTCAACTTTGGCATCCTATAACTTCAAAACCTGTTAAAATTCAAAAATCTGGTCTTCACAATTATGTTTCTACACTTTTTGTAAATAATTTTTCAAAATTTGAGGTCTATAAATCTATTAGTTTGAAAATGGTGATGAAATTAAGCTGCAATGTCAAATTGTTTAAAAACCAAAGTTCAACTTTGACATCCTATAACTTCAAAACCTGTAAAAATATAAAAATGTGGTTTTCAAAATTATGTTTCTACACTTGTTGTTAATATTTTTTCATACTTTGAAATATACAAATCCATTAGTATGGAAATGGGGATGAAATAAAGCTAACAATGTCAACTTGTTTAAAAGCCTGAATTCAACTTTGGCATCCTATAACTTCAAAACCTGTTAAAATTCAAAAATCTGGTCTTCAAAATTATGTTTCTACACTTTTTGTAAATATTTTTTCAAACTTTGAAATCTATAAATCTATTAGTTTGTAAATGGTGGTGAAATAAAGCTAACAATGTCAAATTGTTAAAAACCCAAATTCAACTTTAGCATCCTATAACTTCAAAACCTGTTAACATTTAAAAATGTCATCTTCAAAATTATGTTTTTACATTTTTTGTAAATATTTTTTCAAACTTTGAAATCTATAAGTCTATTAGTTTGGAAATGGGGATGATTATTATTTGCCGTGACGCTCTAGGGCGACTTAAAGATTAATGGCGCCATTTAACTTACAGGTGAGGAAAACTCGAAAAACCCCACCCACCATCATCTCTACAACTTTTCAAGTGAAATCTAACACACTTTGAGACAACATAGGAGTGATATTTCTCTTTCTTACTTCCCTCTTGGTATTACTGCAAATTAATTTTAAAGAATTGAATGTTATGTTGAGAATGGGGTGTTAATACACTGCGACCTAAAAGATCTATTGTGTCCCCTTCTGTCGCCAATGCACTAAGGAAATATCTCAATGCCTATAACGACCCTTCCAATCCTATTTTCTTAAGGAAGTGTAGGATTTGAAGTGAATTCAAGTTAGGTAAATCTCCCTCTTCTATTTGATATCCTCCTAGATATAGTGCCCTTGGATTCTGGAGTGCTACACATTCAGTTAGGATGTGAATGTGAAAGAATTGAATATATACACATCTTTTTAAGATATATCATCAAAATGTAATCAAATTTGTCATGTTTTGCAAAAAAACAGGAATGTGTATATAGGCATCTATATAGAAAACATCACTAATGGCTAATACCTCAAAATTATTCCATATTCAAATTAGATATAAAGAAGTTTACCTTAAAACAAAACAGCTGTTTTGTTTGATTTCCTTCCTTGTGTTTGTACATCAAGGTCATGTAAATGTTTATCTAATAAATTTAAAATATATAGAACACATTTTGAACTATTTCCAATGCATAATTATTTAAAATTATGCAATATAAAACTCTTTATATAAGATATACACTTTCTTTTTGTTACTTATTACTTAAAGTTTATAAATAAGGAATTTAGTTAATGATCAATAATAATTCCATTATCATATTGTGCAATGTTTTGGTAGCAAAATTATTAAATAAATATGTGCAATACCTATGCCCTTTTTGTAGAGTAATCTTTATTTATATTCTTTGCTTATTTACAGTACCCAGTAGAACTTGTTAAAAATTGATGATAACATCTATTTCGCTTCAATAAGCTTATAATCCACTGTTTTATTGACATGATTTAGCAAAAAATTTCCTTTTACAGAAATAAAAAAAAAATGTTTATATAATTACAGAAATTCCTGACTATAAATAACAAGCATCTGGGTTTACCAGCCTTACTAGACTTCAATAAATAATGGTGATTAATGCACTAATTTTTAAACGTATGACACAAAAACGTAAGTTATTGAAATAGAGACTCAACCTGAAAATATTTATTTAACCTTGATATTTTTTGTGGTAAATCATAGTTATATCATCCTTTATCATAATAAAAACCTTTGTTATTTACAATGTCACATCGTGTATACATGCAATGCAATCAATCACATTTACTAATAGATATTTTCAATATCCAAAAATGTATTGATTTTGAATCATCATTGAATATTTTAGAACAATGTTGCAGCAAATGTGCTCGTGATCTGTAGAATTATAACAAAAAAAATCGATTGCCATCTTTAAAGATTCATATTAAATATCAAAATAATATCTCAATATTGTGCAATAAATCTATTTTAACAATGAATTAGGATCCATATGCCACCAAATTCGTAAAATGTTTATAGATAAGCAGAATTTGACGTAAAGCATTTAAAATCTTCGAGTCATATCGCACATGTACATAAGGACGCATTTCTATTGTACTCACCAGACCTTCCCTTTCGTTTTCCTTTCGGCATGGTCACAAAAATTAAATAAACTTATTCTTAAATTTACTAAATAAAACAACTAATTTAGCACTTGATCAAGACGGTTGACTGTTTTTTAAAGTTTTTTGACCACTTATACTCTGCACTTGACATTTAACTTTAGATAAAACTGTTATGAAACCAAATAACATGTTTTCAGTTGAACAGAATGTGATCAACTTTCCCTTCTTTTTGACAACGAACGTGTTTTATAGGGCCTCGTTCGATTTCGGAGAACTTCGAGTTTCGTATAGTTGCGCAACGCAATGGATTCGGAAAAAAAAATCAATATTTAATTAAAAAAAATATTCACTGGTAATTTAAAACTGAAATTATTGATCTATAATTAAAAGCGTTTGTTATTTTTAATTATATCTTTTGAAATATGTATAAAAATAGTATTTTTAATTTTCTACGTTGGTAGACCTGTTTTGAATTTAACCAAAGACCTTCTACAGCTAGAAAAAATGAAGCAGGAAAACTGAATGTAAGATAAAGATGTAAAACATAAAGGGTTGGATGAAATTATTTCGTATAGAAAATACACTGATAAAATATACACTTCCCAAACTATAGTCTAGAGTAGAACGCATTGCAGCAATTTAATTTGCACAACGTAGTACAGGTTCAAGAGGTAGACATTTTATAAAATCGAAGTATGTGTGTGTTTCCATGATTTTTACTGTAATAAACCTTAGTCGTATCGTATGTATTTTAATTTATTCGGAACTTTGTATTAGTATATATTTTAATTTTACATTTAACAATGATACGAAAATAACAAAATTGTAATTCAGCACTTTCAAATACCCACATCGCCAAAATTCTTGGACCTCCTGATGGTAAATATTAAAACGAAATATTTATCATAGCTGCTTTTTTGTACATTTAATCTTTATTTATTTCACCGTTGATACGCATCTAAAAATCTTTACAAAAACAATTTCCCACAATTTTACGAACCAATGTTTAAAAAGTGGTTCTTATCGATTTTGCGTGTTTAGGGTCGATTCCACCGTTGTGTTAAACGGAGATTAAAATGACATTGTTAATGTAAAAATGTCACTTTAAACTTTGTTTAACACAACGGTGGAATCGGCCCTAAGTGATTGTTGAGTTTTTCTTTGCAATCCAAGAATTTTGCCGATGTGTGTATTAACAAAAATGATCCTCCAATTTGAGTTAGGGTCGATTCCACCGCTGTGTTAAACGGAGATTAAAATGACATTGTTAATGTAAAAATATCATTTTAAACTTTGTTTAACACTGGAATCGGTCCTTACTATTTTAACCATTTAATCTGTAAGAAAATATAAAGACTGTCTTTATTATGAGTACCCTCTGTATATTGAAAATCGTTTCTTAGAATTCGCCCTTGATTCAGAAGACCTATTGAACGTGTATATAAATTATCAAGATTGAATCATTAAATATTTTTATAAAAATATAAATAAACCCCGCCAAAACAGAACGTCACTGTGTGTAGTACCCGACACCTTCTCTTATCAGATTTATGATGTATACAAAACGGAGTATTTTTAGGTGGGTCTATGGATTGAAAGGTGAAAGAGAAAAGGAAAAGAAGAAAATGTGTGGTTGGAATTGGCGTAGTTCAAGTAAAAAAATAAATAATGAAAAATGAAACAATACAAATAGAAAATAAAAAACAAACAACATGAAAACGCATTTTCTTGAAAATTTAACATGAAGGACTATATTAAAAAAATACGTTTGTAAAATGCGAATTTCTCGCGTTAAAACTTTACGTCTTTCATATCCATATTATTTGACCATTCTCCTGTGTATAATGTTTGTTTTCTCAGCGAGTTTAAGTTACTATATTTTAATAAATGGTAATGTTTCTTTAACCCCAACGATTTATATATTTACATTACTTTTTTTTGTTTGGATTACATACATTTACACAATATTGTTTTCAGATCAATGCAACTGCTCTGGGCCTGTGAATCAAATAAAATATACAACGCCCAGTAGGAAGAAATTAATAAGTACTAAACATAAATTAGCAATCTTAGTTCCTTATAGAAACCGCTTCGAAGAATTGTTAGATTTTGTGCCATATATGAATAATTTTTTGTCTAATCAAAGAATAAATTTTGATATTATAGTTTTAAATCAAATAGACCAATACAGATTTAACAGGGCTTCGCTTTTAAATGCTGGCTTCCTAGAAACCAGAGATAATTATGATTATATAGCTATGCATGACGTCGACTTATTACCTTTAAATATGAATTTGTCTTATAAATATCCAGAACAGCCTTTTCATGTAGCGGCGCCTACTCTACATCCTAGATATCATTACGATAAGTTCATAGGGGGAATTTTATTGATTAATAGGTAAATGCACATCTATTTGATATCAAATTTGTTACTTTTTGAGGTCCATTCAAATTTATAATGATTATTTTATTTTTAAGAAAGCATTTTGAACTAGTAAACGGCCTATCAAATCGTTATTGGGGTTGGGGGCTTGAAGATGATGAATTCTATGTTCGTTTAAAAGATGCTCATCTAAATATTACTAGACCAGTGAATATTACTACAGGAACCAATGATACTTTTAGGTATGTAGTTTTATTACATATTGTTATGATGATAAGTTTTTTTAATTTATTGCACACAATACAATTGAAACAAATGGTGAAATAAAGAAAAAATTATAATGTGCAATAAATGTATTGTTTTATAATTTTGTGCAATACCTCATTATTGGTAATAAATTATTTATTGTCGATCTATATTAAAATTTTGTATGTTCCAAATGCTAAATGAACTTTGTAGATTTTAGTAATAATAATTTTAATATATTAGCTACAGTAGATGATAAAAATTTTAATTATATATGTACTTTATCAGAACTTTATATAAAAACACTATTACTCAAAATGATATGAAGAGTTGTTTGGATCACATATTTGTTAAACAAGTCCAAAAGACAGATTTATTTGATTATCAAACTTTTACTTTAGATTATCATATAAGAGATAACCCACTGATCAAACAGAATATAGAACTAAACATACACTGAATAATCAAAATTATAACAAATGTTATAATCCAAAAACTGTTACTAATAAATTTATTTTGGTATTTAATAAAGCTACAGATGAGGCAAAATATTATATACAGGGTGTTTCATAATATATGCGCAGGACTTCAGGACGTGATAGCTCGTCCAAAAATATGAAAAAACGTTCCTATTAACTTACTCTCTAAAATGCACCATTTTCGAGATACAGGGTGTTGAAATTAAAAAAAAAATCTACGCCACTGGAAAAAGTACGGTTTTGATACGCCCATTTGAACCGCCAATGTTTTCTACACAAAAAAGGTACTCTTGGTCATACGCTCTAAAGTCGACCGTTTTCGAGAAAAATGAAATTTTGTTTCATCAAGTATGTATGACCATGTATTTCAACATTAAAATTTGATTTTTCTCGAAAACGGTCGACTTTAGAGCGTATGACCAAGAGTACCTTTTTTGTGTAGAAAAAATTGACGGTTCAAACCCATACTTTTTCCAGTGGCGTAGAATTTTTTTTTTTTTTTCAATTTCAACATCCTGTATCTCGAAAACGGTGCATTTTAGAGGGTAAGTTAATAGAAACGTTTTTTCATATTTTTGGACGAGCTATCACGTCCTGAAGTCCTGCGCATATATTATGAAACACCCTGTATTTGGTCTCAAATCAATATCTCGTAATTGTATCCTTTCACTATTTAGGGGTATTACATAAATTATATTTAATGTAGAAATAAAATTGCTGTTCTGTTTGCAGACACATTCACGGCAAAGACAGAAAACGAGACACAGCGAAATGTTTCAATCAACGTGAGGTAACGAGACGCAGAGACAGACAAACCGGTCTGCATGATGTCAAATATGAAATTTTCGGTCGTAAACGAATGGAAATCGAAGATTCGCCCGTAATCGTGATCAATGTAAAGTTGCATTGCGATCTCACCGCCACGCCGTGGTGCAATTGCGACAAAAAGGCTGAAACGAATAATTCTGCTAACAAGAAAAAAACGTGACAAATGTACGGAAGTAGCTGTACGTTCTCGGTAGATACTTACGTTAATTCTATGACTCCTATACACTATTATTGATGACGTAATTGGAAATACTTGTTCCACTAACAATGAGAATATGTTATTACATTTTATTTCTGTTATTTTCAAGATTGTCTTCATTTAAGCATTAAAAATTGTTAGGTTACATACCTTTAACACGTTCACTGCGCATGTCATGGATCGGTGACCTAACCCTACCTTTGTCAAGGTTCCATGACATGATAGTCTGTCTCAATCTAAGATTAAAATAAATGATAGTTATTAGATAGGGGCTCAACAATAAACATTGTTAAACTACTTTTTTACAACCTAGAAACAATATTTTAACGTATTTATGTCAAACTCTGACAGAATGGTTTTTCTTAAAAGTTAACTGTCAATGGAACACAAATTATGTCACACCAATATTGGAAAATGTCATCAAGAAGTTTAATAAGGATATAAAATCACTTTTTGGTATTATCCTCGTTTTTTATCTTTATTTAATTAGCTTTATAATATATTTATTATATGATTGTTTCTGTATACATTAAACTTTTTTTTACAATTTTCAATGTCTTTTATTTGGTAATCTTTATAAATAGAAAGATAGAAAATAACCCATCGCACATACCTTTCGGCTTCAAGTCTGTTGGAAATATATCCAACATATTTTACTGATATATCAAGCCAACCCTATCTTAAATTTAGGATTTCTGAGATTGATAAATCGCTATATCCGTCATTCTCTCGCTTACGTAAGTTACAAACGGTTTAATTTTGATGGAGTCTATGACACCAACAATGTATAAAGGTAGTTTTTGAAGGATAAAAAAACCTAAAATGGCAAAAAAATGGTTTTACTTTGTTCATATTTATTAAATAACATGCATTAAAATTTAACAGTTTTTCATAAAATTTACAGCCCTTAAAAAATATTACACAATAAATATATAATTAATTAACAATTAATGGCAATGAAGCAGTCTTCATTTGATAACAAAAACATATTCGACTTTTATAAGCGCGCTTTACTTCTATAAATTTCTTCATGAACTTTGAGAAATATTTAAGTTCCAAGTCGAAATAATCCATTGTTCTAAGTGAAAATATTCCATTTTTCCGAGTTCTAAATCATAAAAATAAATTTTTCCGTGCTCGAAATGGAAATAACCAATTTTTCGGAGTTCTTAGTCGGACAAATCAATTTTTCCGAATTCTAATCCGGAATAATCCAGTTTTCCGAGTTCTAACTGGGAATAATCTACTATTCCGTGTTCTTACTCGGAATAATCGATTATTTTTTCGAGTTCGGACTCGAAATAATTGATTTTTCCGAGTTCTAACTCGGAATAATCCACTATTCCGAGTTCTAACTTGGAATAATTACTTTATCCGAGTTCTAAGTCGGACAAATCAATTTTTTTGAATTCTATGTCGAAATAATCCATTTTTCCAAGTTCTAACTTGGAATAATCTACTTTTCCGAGCTCTAACTCAAAACAATCGATTTTTCAATGTTCTAAGTCGGAGAAATCAATTCTTTCAAGTTTTAAATGGGAATAATCTATTTTTCCGAGTTTTATGTCCGAATAATCTATTTTTCCGAGTTTCAAATCAGAAAAAAATCCATTTTTCTGAATTCTAAGTCAAAATATGTTTTTTTCCGAGTTCTATGTAACGACAAATGGATTTTTCCGAGTTCCAAATTAGAAAAAAAAAATCTAGTTTTCTGAGTTTTTAATCGGAATAAACTATTTTTTCAACTTCTAGGTCTGAAAAATCGATTTTTCCGAGTTCTAATTAGGAATAATCTATTTTTCCAAGTTCCGAGTCTGACAAATCAATTTTTTCGAATTCTAAGTTTGAATAATCAATTTTTCGGCATTCTTAGTTAGAGGAAAATCTATTTTTCCGAGTTCAAGTCGGACAAATCGATTTTTTTCGAATTCTAAGTTGGAATAATCTATTTTTTTCGAGTTGTAAACCAAAAATCTGGTTTTCCTAGTTTTAAATCGGAAAAAACAATTTTTTCAAGTTCTAGGTTCAACAAATCGATTTTTATGAGTTCTAAGTCGGAACAACCTATTTTTTCGAGTTCCATGACAGAAAAAAATCCAGTTTTTTGAGTTTTAAATCGGAATAATCTATTTTTTTCAACTTCTAGGTCTGACAAATCGATTTTTGTCAAGTTCTAGGTCGAAATAATCTATTTTTCCGAATTCTAAGTGGGAATAATCTATTTTTCCGAGATTCAAGTCAGAAAAAAATCGATTTTTCTGAGTTCTAAGTAGGAAAAAATATGTTGTGGCCTTTCTGTGCTTTCGTAGAACAATTGGATAATAAATAGAACATGTTCTATATTATATCGTAAGAAAATTCATGAAGTTTGGCTTTACATTTATCAATTTTTTCATGAAGAAATTATCATATTTAAAGCGCGCACAAACATAACAATTTTAAATCAGACGATATACCGAATATTTATAATTAAACAGTGTTCGTCCAGATTACGGAAGCACAATAGAATTTTTGATCACTTTTGATTAAAACTCTTATTTATCTAGGGGAATAAATATAAAAAATGTGTCTATATATAGTTTTACCCGTGATACGTCAGGAAAATGTGTATAGAATTCAGAAAACACTTCCAATTGAAGTGTATCGCAAAGCTAAGTGGTTTAAGCAAATGTGGGAGAGGTAAATTTGAAAAAATATAAACCAACAGCTTTTTTTTAAAAAACCGACTTCATTTTCTCTTCAAACGAAGTATAGTAAAGTTTACAGTAAATACAAACTGAAAAAAGTGACCAAAGCCAAAGCGAAAAAAGCCAAAACGTACACAATAGTTATGCGTACGATCTTTTTATGCTCCGACTGGCTGATTTTAAATTGTTGCGCTCGTCTTTGGTTCAATTCCAACGACAGAGGATCCAGAAGTAGTTCGTTCCTCTCGTAACGCGTTTCAATTAGATTATCGGCTTCTTGTATCGAATCGGTTTCGGCATTTCGACAAAATTCCTCGCCGATCAACTGAATTTCGTCTAAATTCCGAATATTCCGTTTTTTCTTTTTACAACCCAATGAGATACGAGTTATATAATTATCAAAAGATTTTTCAATGGTATTAGATAGTAAATAATCGAATATAGGAACATAGTTGCTAAAATGTTCGTTATTGTATGATATTGAATGATTTCGTTGTGCTCGAAGATAAAAAGGTACGAAATTAGTTGAATAAAAATTGTCATTGCTTACTAACAAATTCCGTTCAGTCTGTACGAATTTCTTTAAGTCGATGATTCGACTAGGTAAAGTTTGATTATGTTTAAAGTACTTATCGCTATAATAAGGATCGTTTTTAACGATATCGTTAAACATTGAGGAAGAATAAGTTAAATTTTGTATGGAAGCACCGCTCTCGTCTATCAATAAACGTTTTGCATCGACCCCGTAATCCACGATTTTTATTTCTTCCATTTCCGTGTAGATCTTCTGCCTTCTTAAAATCCTGCAGAATTGCGGAGACGTTTTCTTGATTTCTACGGATTCACTTCGAAGGTTTTTAGTGTTGATTTGCTTTTGGATCACGGTACATTTCTTAAACTCTAAGTTGCTGGTAAGTCAGTTACCTGCAAAATTAATAATTAATAATTTGCATAATTTTTGAAAAACGTCTAATCGAACTATCAAAAGTCACTCCCTGTATAATAGTATGCACTATTTACTAAGGATTAAAACACCTATATTTATTAAATATATATATAAAAAAAAACTATTTTACAAACTTAACAAATATGAAACCGATACACCACTGACTACGACAACAATTTCTAATGAACTATACTACTCTACACCACTGATCATCTACAAATCTACATCGTAGCGTCGTTACTTACCAGATAAATCCAAATTGGCCTCGATATTTTGCAAGTCGTACAGGACTTCGAGCATGCAAGACATGCTCCACGCTTGCGTCCTAGAACTATCCCTGCAGTACGCGCCGTCGCTGTTCGTCAATTCGGGAAGACCGCGCCAATCGGACGTTTGCAATTCGACGAAATGTTTCGACAGCGCGACTTTCGTGCTCGCCAACGTTTCTTTCAGGGCCCCGTTTTGCGCCGCGAACATCAGTTTGGCTCGCAGGAAGAAGCCGACGGGCCACACCCATTCCTAAAAAAAAAAAAGAAATAGTGAAGTCATGAGATTAATCAATGACCCAAGCCAGTGACTAAACTGTGCTTTTTTTAAACCAGCGTGTTTTACTTTCAATTTCCATTCCAGAAAAGTAATAAATTACTACTATACTAATATTTAAATTTGTACTTACAGGTCCTTGATGATAGTTGAACCCATGAGCCACTGAAGCATCATCCGATTGGTTAGAATTATCATAATCTCCTCTATAAGCCCAATCTTCGGGATCTAACGTTTTCATGCCGAGAGGTCCTAATAGATGCTTTTCCGCTACGTTTAACGCTTCCCAAGCGTGCTTCGGAGTGAACAGTTCGGGTGCCTGAAATACAATATAAAAATTAAATCATTTTATATAAATTGTTCCGATTTAGATAACTTACGGCGACCATGGCGATGGGGAAGTTGCATCTCAATTGGAAATCGGTGTATTCGTTTGTGGATCCGTAGGAATCCTTGTAAATACCTCGTTTGTTTACTAAATCAGGACGAATTTCACCTTCTGTTGGGACGGAATTGACCCAAAAGTACTTTTCGAAATTGACTTGGATCTTTTGAGCCCATTCCTTGAAGGTCCAAGATGTTATTGTACCACTCTTATGCACTCTTTCGACGCCTGTAAATTAGAAAATAGTAAAAACAATTCAAATCAAATAATAATGTCAATTCATCCAAATAATATACAATAATTAAAAATATAATATTAATTAGATTAACAATAAAATAAGGAAAAAAGATTAAAAAAAACGATAGACATTTTACACTTCTTTCGGTAAAATAAATATACTATAAAACATTTTTAAAATGAAAATATAATAATAGAAAAAATAAAAAAAGTAAAAACAAAAATATACAAAAATAAAAACTAATATAAAAATAGAAATAAATATAGAAATAAATATGTAAATAATATAGAAATACTAGAGTAATAATATAGAAATAATATAAAAATAAAATAGCAATAATATGGAATATAAAAATATAGAAATAAAATAGCAATAATAAAGAAATAATATGTAAATAATATAGAATATAGAAATAATGTAGAAATAAAATAGCGAAAATAAAGAAATAATATGGAAATAATATAGAAATAATATATAAAAAAGATATATAAGTGATATAGAAATACAAAAATTATATAAAAATATATAGAAATATATTAATGTTTAAATTACTTAATATGGTACCTTTGTAAGGATATTTATTCTCATCGTTGAGTTTGGCCAACCAGGAAATCACCGATTTCGACAGACCTATCAATTCGATGGCCGAGCCGTCTCGCGGCGTTGCCGGTTTTCCGCGGTTACCAGCTTTATCAGACGATCCCATTTTATCCATCCACGTGCCGCAGTTCCACTTATTGCCGCCGAACACGAAACCTATACAAACGAATAATTATGAAATCGGGATTGAAAATAGAGAATTCTGCCATTATTTTTAAAGAGATAAATATAAGTTTCATTTATATAAAAAAATACATATTTTAGTCATGATTTTCAAATTTCGAAATGTTCTGTTTCTAATTTGATATGTGGCAACGTTATTATAATTGACGAGATGATGAAGTGTTTTACGTTGGTACATGTTATTCCTGTCGATCTGTAAATCCCTAAACATTTTTACACCGTTGCCAGTTGTCACATATCATATCAAAGCGGAAATGAAACATTTTAAAAGTTAAATACTTGATTTTTTCTCAGTTTTAACTACCAAAAATTTTTATTTGTTAATATTTTTGATATTTTTCATTATTCATTCCACAATGAGGGTATTTTACCTGTTTCTGGATGTACACCTATCTGATTATTGAAACCTTGGTCGGTCATGTGTTCGTCGATCTGTCGACCGGCGTTCCTCTCTCTAAAAGCCAAACCTTGGAAGTGAATTTTCAATGCTTCTTGTATCACCTCTTGCAATGGTTGATCTACGGCACCAGCAGGTTGATTTTCAGATTCGTCCGTTGGAAATATCCTCGATACTTTATCGGAGAGAATTTTAATACCGTCCGGGGCTTCGCTCGCGTATTCTTTGATGCAATACAGCCACCACCAGATGGCGTCGCGACAATTGAACCTGAGAATTATTTAAGATATACACAAGTCCGTTATATATTAAGACAGTTACATGTTATTCAAAATAAAATTAATATATAAAGAGATAGATTGTATCCCACTATATTATTATATAATGAAAAAATATTTCCAATGATACATGTTCATACAGTGTGTTCAATTAAGTCGGCACCGTATGGGAAACTTCTTTATTATTAGATTTATGGAAAAAATTTATTCTTTATAAAAAGTTTTGCATGCTCTAAAAGTTACAATACAACCCGTAGATATTAAATTATTTGAGCTGTATACGAAGTGCGTCAAAAAATATGAGTACATTAAGTTTATTTTTGACAAACCTCGTATACATCTGATAAAATTTGATATCAGATGGTTGGATATTTGTTTTTAGACTACGACAATTTTCTATGAAGAATAACTTTTTTCCTATATTAATATTAAGAAAGTTTTTCATATGCTGCCAATTTGCGTATTTTATTGACGTTGTCATAAATTTTGTTATTACACAATAAGAAAGATTTCAAACTTTTCCACAAGATTGGAATATCAGCGCACCTATAACTGTTTTTCTTTCTTTGATTAAATTTATTATTAAAAAAGAGCTTGCAAACCTTGAATTTCGACCTCCATCCAACAAGTTGGGGATCAAGCCGTGCCGCAAGCAAGCAGCATATCCCAGAATGTGTTCTCGAGCTTCTTGATAGCGGCCGGTCAAAATGAAGAGCCCTCTTAGAGCGATAAACGTATCTCTTCCCCAGTTTCTCATATATCCGACGGAAAAGTGCGGTAAACCTAAAGACAATAATTGAAACAAAAATTATTGTAAAAGTAATTAAATGCTTCATCAAAATCGTCAATTTGATAAAGAAATGTCCAGTGAATATTTTGTATTTGATTGAAAAATTTATTGAAATGAATCTCACTGAAGTTTCTTTTCAATTGAAAAGCATTTTTATTTTTCTGACTACACAGCGACGATAATTCAACCATAACCGTTCTATGGTCAGAAAATTGAACACAGCAAGTGCTTTCCTCATCCCAACTAACAAAAATTTGGTCAATAATGGTACAAGTAGTATCCGTCACTCGAGTAGGCCATTTTACAATAGGTATAAGATTGAATCCAATTTAAATTTTGTATTTTTATACACTTCAAAATTAAAATCAATTGCATTTTCCTCCTTTTTGGATACATTTGTGCTTAAATTAATAATTGTATTCATCTTATCCCTTTGAACTTCCTGCAGACTTGGTGAAGAATTATTTTTAAATTTGCTATAATTTTTTTGGAAGTCATTACCCGTATTTGAAACACTCGAAATTATTAAATTAGGCTGATTTGGTTTTTGTGCTTTAGCACTATCGGACCACTTTTTGTTTGGTTTTATCTCATCGACCGTATTCGAATTTGTCGGATAAATTGATTGAATTCTCTTCAGTAGAACAATTTGTTCGTTTAAAATATTTATTAACTCGTCTTTTTGGTTGACAATATACCTTACAAAATTAATATCTACCTTATTATCGTCGCCTGCAAATACTTCTACAGCATCAAAAAATGCTTTGATCGACTTTTTCACAACAAATAACCAAATTATCATCAACAACTTTCAAATTTTTAATTTTTGCACAACTGGGATGGAAACAGTTATCACAATACATTTAATGCCCGAAACAACTTTGCTCTTACATTTTTTACAGAGCGAATTAATAGGTGTACCGTTCGATCCGGCCATTCCGAATGAACTGTGTGTGTATTTAAATATATCGAGCTACTTACCGGCTGATAACGTTACACATGCTTGAACAGTTTCGTTATTGTTATTTTTTCTTGTCGGCGGCTTTGGAGGTGCTAAATTCGGCGATAACGTTGGTAGATCGGCGGATTTAATGTAAGCAGCGAATTGTACTGATCCCAAGGCAAGACCTCTTACAAAAGTAGAACCGCATTTGACGAAACTAAAAATAATTTTTTTTTTCACAATATTATACAATTTATTGATTAAGCAGAACTTACTTGGACATCAAATTATGAGACCTTTCGATGAGAACGATATAAACACCTGTCGCTAACATGTCAAAGTAGCAAGGTACTAAATATCGAGGGATATTCGAAAAACTTTTGGTGTTTTCTTCGATCCATTCGCCGACTTCTTTGGTGCCGGGATCTAGTTTCAATCTTTTCCAAATATAATCTAAAAATGCCATCGATTAGAACGTTAAAGAAAATAATTTGTATCAAAATTAAAAAAAATTACCTATCATCCAATTACCGTCTCTTAAATTTGCACACATCGGATGTCCAAGATCATTATTGGGTCTGATATTGGCTAATAATGACATTACTCCTACAAACAAAGTACAAATTCGTGAAATATTAGATTATAAGTGTGTAGATTAGACACGAGTAGGAAATATTGTTGTTCGAGGCATAAGCCGAGTGCAGCAATCATAAAAAATAATTTTTACACAATAATTTTCCTACGACTACAAAATAATTTCATTAAAAAAAAGTAAAATCATGAAATGAGGCTATAAAGGTTCAATCAAGATGTGGCTGGTTTTAGATTTGATTTTTTTTAATGCCTTATTGAATAATTTTTAAAATGTTTTAACGATTGCGTTTAGTTGAAATTTACAAACAATTTCATAGGACGAAAAAGGTCATACGAGATATTTGAGAAAAAGTGTAAATTTCGAAATTTGAAGATAAATTAAAAATGCATAAAAATGAAAACGCCAAATTTTAAATTTAAGCTCTAATCCATCCTGCGGTGAGCTGATTAAATTTTAAGCATGGTCGGAACATCTGGGGGGTACTTTATAGGGGGTCGTTTTTCTACTTTATGGAATATATCTGTAATTGACGCTTGGAGAAGAAAATTCTTCAAATAAAAGTTGCTTGCAATATATAATTTTCCTAAAATGGTCCGTATTCGAGAAATTTGACAAAAAGTAAAAAATTTAAATTTTTACTTGTGTAAAAATGTCACTATCCACACAGTAATGTGAAAATAAAAAAAAAATACTCTCAACATTACCTTGAAATCCAGCATACACCATTGGTCCGAAATTCGGAATGTTGTAAGTGTCAAAACCGAAACCTTCGTCTCGTTCCTCTTGATCGCACCTGTACAAAGCTCTGTTCAAGTCCGCCAACGTCATTTTATTGACGATTTTCGACAATTCGTTGGGTTTGCTGATCGATATATTACTAATAAGATTCCTCACCGTTTTTATAGCCACGCTCATATTTTCGGGCAAAGAAGAACTAAAAATAAATATCCTGTCAGTCGAAAGGAATCAACTATCAATGAAACGTAATAGTTTGACGTCATTTTTTCTAAACAAAGCAAAGAAATCATAACAACAAATGTCATAGTTGCCAAAGCTAATGCTATCATAATTGTCAAAAGCCAATGCTGTCATAATTGTCAAAAGTCAGTACTGTCAGAGTTGTCAAAAGCCAATGGTGTCATAGTTGTCAAAACTTTGTGTGGTTAGGATTGTATTTTGTTTATGTTGAATTTGTTTTAAGTTAACCTATAATTTGTCGAACTTCCTTTAGGCTGTTTTGATGTAAATACTGTCATAGTTAAAACCAATGCTGTTAAAGTTGTCAAAAGCCAATGGTGTTGCAGTTGTCAAAACTTTGTGTGGTTAAGTTTGTATTTTGTTAATGTTGAATTTGTTTTAAGTTAACCTATAATTTGTTGAAATCCCTTCAGGTTGTTTTGACGTAAATACTGTCATAGTTGTCAAAAAACAATGCTGTCATAGTTGTCAAAACTTAAAGTGTGGTTGGGTTTGCATTTTATTTACTAATAATTTATTGAGCTCACTTTAGCTTGTTTTGACGTAAATACTGTCACATTTGTCAAAAACCAAAGCTGTCATAGTTGTCCAATATTTAAATATGGCTAGGTTTGTACTTTGTTTACATTGAATTTATTTTAAATAAACCTATAATTTGTTTAAATTGTTTTGACGTCTCGATTATCGCACGGTACTTAATCAAACATTATATTTACCGTACTACTACGATGGATCCGGGTTTGAAATTTTTAAAATTGAGTTGAGTCACGTTCTCGGTTCCCGAATCGACTTTTTCGAAAATATCGGAATCGGATACTTGAATGTGTTCCTTGACGCCAACTTGATATTCTGAAAGACCATTTATCCATTTCGAATCCTTTTTGAACTTGTGCGATTTAATGAATTTTGAGCCGCCATTGCTGTAAGAAAAAGCTGTGAGTTCAATTCATACGTAATTGTATATATATGTATATCTTTTTTGAGGTTAATTTATGACAAAAAACGTCAAATGTTTGCTGAATAAACTTACTAGTGATTTAAATGGTTCAAAGAAGCTTCTAATACGATCTCCTCCAATACTCCCTCGAAACGTAACGGTTTAATGTTGCGTTGATGGTCTCCAGCATCTTCGTTCGGGTGATTGAACGCCGTGAACGCCACCAGAATGTAACTTCGATGAGTTATCGGACAATGTCTCGTAACAGCTACTATATCTGGATCCATTTGATCCACATAAACCTAAATAAACGATCCGATATACGAAATTCTTATTCCATGCCACCTTCCAAACGTACCTGACTAAATCCTTCTTTCCCCAAGCGAAAATGCAACTCGTTCAACGCCTTCTTAGCGCCGATTATACCAGATTTGTTCGTAACGTATCTGGCGTTTCCCAAGGATAAACTGTCGTCTTCCGCCCACTCCGCGTACTCTCTATCTTCGTCGACGACGTGAATGTGATGCGGTACCAACTCGTCGTACCCTCTGTTCGACCCGCTGGCGCAATACGCCATGTTTACCAAAGCGGTACTGGGCAACAGATCGTAGACTGATCTCTTCTCCACCGGACTGGGATTGTCGTGGGTTTGATCGAGGAACAAAGCGTGCGCTATCGACGGTACCAACGGACGTATATTGGGTTGGTAAAACGACCCGACAGGAGATCCGCCGAAGCGGTGAACCAAACGGCCCTGTTCGTGGGAATCCCACGCGTTTAGCGCCTCGCGTATCAGTGATGTAATGCCTAACCTATCGACAAATTATTTAAAATATAAATGTGTGTTTTAAAAGGTTTATGCGGGGTGCTTTATTGGATTGAATTGAACTTAATTCGATTTATTTAAATTTAATTCGTTTTAATTCGATGTAATTCAATTTAATTCGGTTTAATTCAATATTAAATTCGATTTAATACGATTTAATCTGATTTAATTAGATTTAGGTCAAATTAATTCTACTTAATTCAATTTAATTCGTTTTAATTCGATGTAATTCAATTTAATTCAGTTTAATTTAATTCTATTTAATACCATATAATTCTATTTAATTCAATTCCATTTAATACGATTTAATTCGATTTAAGTCGATTTAAGTCAAACTAATTCAGTTTAATTCTATTTAATTCTATTTATTTTTATTTAATTAGTTCGATTCAATTCAATTTTATTTGATTTATTTAACTTAATTAATTGAATTATATGAATTAATTGAATTAAATCGAATTAAATCGAATTAAATTGAATTAAATTGTATTAAATTGAATTATATCGAATTAAATTAAATTAATCTAAGAGTTTATTTCTTTCTCACATTAAACCCAATGATGTCCGTGAAACAATTAAACATAAAAGAAATACGCCCATTTCCTCTCTACGATTTTTAGAACAGTGACATATGTCAACATTCCATTACAGATCCCAGACATTTTTTGTTACTGTCTGCAATAGACGTATTTATCTATAAATGGCGGTACTTACCTATTAACGAAAATATTATCGGTCATATCGGAGTTGGTAAACAGTTCGGCTACGACGTAGAGATCAGGCCTGACTCTTCTAGCGCAATCTAATAAATATTCCGCGACCGGTATCGGCGTCGAATGGCAATTGTCCAATCTAACGCCGTCGAAGATTTTAGCCGTTTGCTCGACGTACTTTCTCATGTGATCCCAAAGATAGGGACAATCTTCGGGCTTGTCTCCGTATCGGAGTTTCACGCTGTCGCCCCAGGCGATTAGTTCTCTTCTTAAATACACCTAGAAAACAAAATAGTTCGTCACATGAATAATATTTAAACTTTCAAAGTTAAATTGTCATTTTTAGACAAAGCTGTGCAGTTTTTGCAATTTATTTTTATCTAGAATAGTAATATAACGTTCCTAAGACATATTTACTCGAATCTTTTAACTGGTCTAGTTAAAACTTTTCTCTAGGTGTAAATATTATTAAACGTCTACGTACCTTGGTATCTGGAGCTGCGAAATTTTTCAACGGGTCCGAACTCATCACCCAACCGTTATGCGCCATCAAAAATCTACCCTTATCGCTATACATCGTGTCTTCGTAATCCTTTAGGGACATCGGTGTACCGTGATCGGTGAAATAACGATAAACTAACGGAGTTTTTATGGTTATATCTGTAAATTTAGGACCGTCGTCTTGGACCCTGAAAACAAAATGGATCAAATCAATGTTTAAAACTATTCCAGGGATAATAAATATTATTAGCATCCGTGATCTAGCTGAGAGTATACAAGATAAAAGCTTATTGCAAAATGGAAATGAATTTAAGGTACAGAAAAAATAATTAACATAATTTCAAGAAATCACTGTTAATTTGAGTAGCAATTATTTAAGTCCAAAACTTCTTAAATACCTATTTTGTGTCGTTGAACATCCATATCCTTACCTGAAATATCTAATACCGGCTATGACATTCTCGATAGCAGCGCTCAAATGACCGTTAACTTCTTCGATTGCGGCGTTATTGAGCGCGTCCAGTTTGTTCTTGAATTGTTCCGAACATTTCTTTAGTCTGGAATCCTCATCGAATGTATCCGTCCAGTAAACGTTGTACAATTTCAATGCCAGTTTCATATCTACGGTCGATGACGATCTTTTAAATTCCGGATCTTGAATGAGTTCAAGTTCTTCGGAGTCCGGTCGGGAATTGGGACTTATTGGGGTTACAGTACGTGCCTGCAAATCAAATTTTAATAATAATAAAGTTAAAAGATGTCCAAATCCTGTAGGTTAAATGATTTTGTTATTTACAATAAAAAATAGTTTAATGATATTTTTTTATAAATATGAACAGTAATTATTGAGCTGTATGTAAATCTGTCAATTAGAAATAATATTAATGATGATTTCCTTATAATTCACCCCAAAAGCAGAGCTTGTACTAGGTAGAAACAAATTACATCCATAAACAAATTAATTCTTATAAACATTAAACTCACCAAACTAAGAAATTCCGCTACATATTTGTTTGTATCGCAAGTAAACAGTTCGTAGATTTTGAGCGGATCCAAGATGCTGGCTCGGAAATGGTACCGGATAGCGTTCAAGTGATCCTCGTTATTGACTTCGGGGGGAATTCCCCTATCTTCGAAAGCGCCCTTTTTCACTTCGGTCGAGAAGAAATCTAAAGCGGCATCGAGCAAGTACGCTGGTCTCATGTACGGGCAGTTCACGCAATTGTACGTAACTTCCGGATGTTCTACAAGCCATTTACTCTCGTTAGCCGTATGGTTGAGGACTATATCGCAAATGGAACTAACCTACAAAATATAATATACACGTATTTTTAAATAGTTGGATAATTAGTTAAATGGAATACCACCAATTAATTAATATAGGGCATTTCATTTAAAAAAATTGAGAAAATCGTAACTTCATGTTTTGACACACCCTATATACAACATAGCAAATGAATGAAGTCAATTAAAATTGTTTGGCGATGTAAAAACAATCAAATATGTATAACTACCTGCAGGAGGGTGTTTTGATTTAAAAAAGTATAGATTTGGTCAGCACCTCATTTATGGACCACCCTGTATATTTAAGAATAATTGTTACTTTTATACTAAAAATTTCTTCGTATTTCTAATAATAAAACAGCTATTGATCAATTACGTACTGATGGGACACCCTGTATATGTCTTATTATCTAACATATTGGTATCGTTGTATGGGCAAATTTTTAAGGAATTTTATGCTAAGATAATATACAGGGGGTTGCATTTGAAAAAATTAAGTAAATTGAACTTAAAATTAGCCATATTTAAGACCTACCTAAATTATGATAATTTAATTTTAATAGGACACCCTGTATAATTAGATAGATAAATAGATATAATTAACTAAATAGATAGATAATTAGATATGTATTAGATAAATAATCAGATAGATAATTAATTTTTTAACTGTTTTACGTGCCTATAACACTAGTTGAAATATTGAACAATTACGCACTAATGGGACACCCTAATTAAATATAAAATTAGATATATAATAAATAGATAATTAAATAAATAGCTAATTAATTAGATATATAATTAGAAAGATTATTTTTTATTTTTTTAGACAGGTAAAAAGATATATAATTAGTCAGATAATTATATAGATAATCAGATAGATAATTAATTAGATACATAGATATATAATCGAATATAAAATTAGATATATTTAGTTTTAATTAGAACACGACCTCTACCTTTTCAGATATATTGGATATATAATTAGAGAGATAATTAGATAGATAATCACAGATAATTAATTAGATATATAATTAGAAAGATAATTAATTAGATAAATAATTAACTAGATTAGGTAGATTAATAGATAGATAATTAGATAGACATTAAAAAGATAATTATATAATTAATAAATGGTAATTAATTAATAAAAGATAGATAATTAGACAGATAATTAGATAGATAATTAATTAGATACATAGATATATAATCGAATATAAAATTAGATATATTTAGATTTAATTAGGACTGCGATCTCCCCGCCTCGACTTTTTCAGATCTATTGTCGATTAATTGGATATATAATTAGAGAGATAATTAGATGGATAATTGTAATAAAATTACCTTCCATTCGGTTCTCATCTTCGATATGAACTGTTCCACTTCTTGGATGGTTGGCATAGATCCGTCGCTCTTTTTAAAAACCGGATTCAATTTCAGCTGTTCGCTCAGGCTGTAAGAAGAATTTGATTCGCCCAATTCCTGTAAAATGAAAATGTTTAACTGAATTTCGGAGATGTTTTAATTAAAAATACCTGAATAGGCGTAAAATGAACCAGGTTGTATCCGGATTGTTTGGAAACCTCTAATTTCTTCTCCCACGTAGAAAACGAACCCAAACTCTTCGCCAGAACTGTCTGGCATTGTATACAATCTAGTGGCAGGTCTTCGTTGTTGCCATATTTGAGAATAGGATCGACGAGAAAGTAACCGGAGCCTTGTCTTTCGAAATTTTCTCTGTAATTGAAAGAAAAAGAGATGATGTTGGGTAATAAAGAAATGAACAATGCCAACATTGCAGTAAAGCTAACCAAAGAAAATATATAAAATAAATTGCAATCTGAAGTTCTTACCCTTTTTCATAGGTGAAATAATAATGAAAACTGCCCGCGTTTTCAGCCTTGATCTGAGTGTAAACGGCGGTATCGTCGGCATTTTCGCAACCTTCCTCAGTCACCCAATCCAACAACTGATACCGACTCCGATCGAACGCATTCAGTTTGTTGTTCGTTTTCGTGGGATAATTGCAATACAAAAAGATTTTTCTACCGAACAACGATGGTCCTATTCTAAATTGAATCGCCCAGTTCTTTTCGATTCTGTATAAAGTGCTTTCTTGGTGTTCGTGATTATTGAGAGTCAAAACTCTGATTTGTTGCATTTTATCGATACTCATGTTAGTCGTGTGGTTTTCTGGAAGAATCGAAGTTTTTTGAGAAGATTCCTCAATTTGGTTCACAAAATTTTCGTCTCGAGATCCTGAAATTGACGGTAAAAGTTCTAAAAAAAAAAAAACGGAATTATTAGTAATAAAATAAATGAGATAAAAAAAATTTAAAAGATCTTACCTTGTGTTTCACTAATAATCTCCGGTATAAATTCTTCTTCTGTTAAATCATTTCGACGTAACGAATCTGTTGTATCAAACTTTTCTGTATTTATGATATTTTGTTCTTGATTAAAAACGAACGTAGGTTCTATATTAGTTAATTCAGATGGTAGTTCGGAGTTCGTTATAAATGTATCGTCGTCTATGACACGAAAATTTGCGCCGTGCGTTGTAGCTAGTTCTTTATTATCTAAAACGATTCAAGACATATTGATAATTGTAATTCATTTTAGTTTATAAAATAAATGACATTCCAGGTTTGTTTATTAAAAATATTAGGTACGTACATACATTTAAGGTACACAGACTAGTATATTAATAGGTAGAGCTCGATTTTTTGTGAAGAGCACACTTCGTCATATGTGCAGAAACTGTCGAACTACCACCCCTACAAATTTGGACGCCAAGTTCGGAAACACCCTGTATTATTTATTTAAACTTTTAGTTTTTTTATTAATTTAAAGTTCATCAGCAATTTAACTAACGAATAGTTAAAATTTAAAATTAACTCATTAATACGTTCGATTTAAAATATTTTATTAATGTACACACGGCACTGCTAAGATATCAGGTACCCCTACCGCAGCAGATTTCAGCCCAGCGCCATCAACTAAAGCTCCACAAAGTTATGACGTACTGCGCGAACTGTGGCATAGCTATGACGAAATGTGCTCTTCACAAAAAAACCGAGCACAAATCAGTGATATATCTAAATGTGCAGCAAAGTTAAATTTGGGTGGGATAGAAATAATGTTGATATAATCTAGGCTTGAGCTGAGGGAACATTTTTGAATGTACTGTTCCTCAAGAAGTAGAAAAGGATGTTGATTTTTTTATAAGTATCTCTTATGTATTTGACATTTTCGAATCCACAATTAACATTTTAAATCTTCCCCCAATATATACACGGAGTTTCGCACCAAGTACCCCTAAAGTGGAGCCATAAATTTAGAAAATAGTTATATATATATCTGCAACCGTTCATCTATATTTGGCACATTAACGGATATCAACAATTTTGAATAAGAAATTAATAATTATACACTTGTTAGATGTGATTCAGATTCTAGATACACTGGAGGTGTTGTTATTGTCGCGCAAAAGCCTACCCTGTGCTTTGTTTACTCCTTGCCCGCGGTATGAAGTCTAGCAATAGAGAGACAAACGCACCGCTTCTCGAAATTACCGGATTGATCTCTTTGCGGCGTATGAGTCATAGAAAGATAGTTTTTGAGCGTTCTGGAAAACCTAGAGAGTCCTAGTACAGAGTTGGCTTTATATAAATAGCGCGAGTTGTCGACGGACGGCAGATTGAATTTAAGTGTTGGATAGAAAAGATAAACTGTAATAAATAAATTGTAAATAGTCTGTTTTAAATAAATAAATTAAACAAACCTTACATTATTTATACAAGAAAAGGAATTCAATTGTCAAATTATAAAACATTTATTATTGGTGTAAGTTTGTCTTAATTACATATTATGGTATAAAATGGGTAATAGAAAGTTATTCTACATTCTTGAATCATTTGAAAAATATTTGTGAAGAAATGTTTTATAAAAAATTTCGCAGTGATTTTAATTTAAATTTTTTATCAAAAAAATGTCTTCCTCTATAAAAAAATGATATTTCTTCTTTAGAAACTGAAGTTTCTTCCGACATTTCTTCCTTAGAAAATAAAGTTCTTTCTGATATTTCTTATAATAAAGTTTCTTCAGACATTTCTTCCTTAGATAGTAAAATATCTTCCTTAGAAGATTGAAATATCTTCTATGGAAATTAAAGTCTCCTCTGATATCTCTGATATATAAAAAATGAAATTTCTTCCGTTGAGGACAAAATAAAAGAGATAGAAGAAATGGGACATACAGGACAGGCCAAGGACGGCGATATAAAGTGCCATGAGGTGGGGTCGAAGTTGAAATTGGAATGAGCTGTAAATTCTGTTCGTGTTAAAGTCCCAACTTTCGACGACCAACTACCTTAAACAGTTCAAAACAGCTGCCAGAGCAAACGAATGGTCTGAACGAGAGAAGACAGTAACCCCTTTGAGGAGACACTTTAGATGTCCTTGAAACTATACCTGTGGAAGAGACTTTGAACAACTTAAAAAGCGACTAAACATGCAATATTGTCATGAACACTTGGAGCATACCAATCATAGTTAAAGGATCGCAAACAGAAACGAGAATATGAAGTAGATATTGCCAGGTTGGTGCGATTTGGCTACCCATTAGCTCCAGAAAACATGATGGAATGTTTGGCAGTCCAAACATTTTTGTTGAATTACTCCGTGTGACCACGAGATGCAGAAAACACTCCGCTTAGCCCGTCACAAAACACTGATCGATGTCTTGTCCGCTACTCTAGAGTATGAGGCAGACGTAGGCTTCTGGAGGATACAATAAAGTGAGGCCTGTAAAAAAAGAAAAACTCGACCAACTGGTTAACATAATGAAGAGTTTTACTGAAAAGAAGATAAAAATAAAGACCATCAGGTGATGGAATTGTGGTGAACTGGGACATGGGACTGCTAAAGAAATCGCAGTCTTATAAACGTTAATGATCACCCAATTACCGTCAAGAAAGACACCATAATCGGAACCTGTGTACTAGTAACTTCCATAATTCGTCAGACAACAACTTCTGATAATTCCAATGAGAAATTTGAGCAAATTATTACAGTTGTTGGTCAACCTCTAAATCAATTAGAGAAAAAAAATAAATGAATTTCTTCTACCAAAAGGAGGAAAAACTTACCACCAATTAAACAATGTTATCTATAAAACAGTTATCCTTTGCCTCGAATCGATGATACCTTGGACACACTGGCCAGAAGTAAACTATTTTCTCCTTTAGACTTGAAGTCTGGATATTGGCAGTAAATGGGAATGTATAGTAAATGAAGAAAAGACAGCTTTAACCACTGAATCTGGATTGTGGCGATTCAATGTCATGTCATTTGGACTATGTAATGCTCCCGCGACATTTGAAAGACTTATGGAAAATGTATTGAGAGGGTTATCCTGGAAAAAATGCTTGCTTGGTGTATTTAGACGACATTATAGTATTGGGGAAGACATTTGATGAACATTTAAAGAACTTAAAAGATGTTTTTAAAAGACCAATCTGCCCAACTGAGGCTAAATCCAAAATAAAGTTAATTACCTGGGTCATATAGTCAGTAAGCTGTAGATAAGGAAAAAGTCGCTTTTATTAAATAATAGACACATCCAACTGATAAACATTAAATAAGAAGTTTTCTTGGGCTGTGTACGTACTACCGAAGATACATAAGGAAGTTCGCAGGTATTATCAAGCAGTTAACACGATTCACAAAATAAGTGGGAGAATTAAGCTGGGATAAGACTGCCAAATTGCCTTTGAAACATTAAAGAAGGCATTTAACAACAGCGCCAATACTAGGCTACCCACTACCAGATGGACAATTTATTCCGGAAACTCATGCCTTATAGAATCAATTTTACTCAAAAAAAAAAAATAATAATAAATTAAAATTTAAAAAATTCTCCGATAGACAAAAGATTCTGTATGGTTATAAGAATGGGTTAACCCCAAACAATCCCTTAAAATGGTTTAATTATTCATGTCCAAATTATGACTCATGAAGAGTCTAAATTATGTACCAAATATACATTTTCGTAACTCCTAAAGGGTACAACTTGGTATAGACGTAAATTGCGTTAAATCATCATATATTTAAAGGTACCCAACCGGCTATTCTATGTAGGTACTTACACGAAACACCCTATATATTTAAACCCATGCATAACTCTCACAAGGTTTGACAAAAAAAGGATATAAAAACTGATCCATAAAAAATATTTATAAAGTTGCCCATGACAGTGATAGCTACGCACGGCTCTGAATTACATTCAAACTCGTTCGTTTTGAAATGAATTTTTCCAGGATTTACTTTAAAAACATTTTTTATGGCCGACTCCATGTTTAAAAAACATATCCCATATAACTTGACACAACATTTAAATTGATACTTACGCGTCCCAGAGCACCAATTGCCCATTTTGCGATTTTAAACTAAAATATAATATTTCAACTCAATAATCTAGTATTTAGGAAGCACGCACGCTTTTTTACAAATATCAAAATCGCGTCTCAATAGGAAACGATTTTTTTTAGTATCGTTAATTTTAATTTCCCTCCAATAAAAAAAAATCTTAAACAAGTAATACAATGGATTGTTATACAGTAGTAAGATCATCAAACAACAACAGATAACAGAAGATTTAAAAGTCTAGTTATTATGTAATCACGATCATATTATTTACGTACTGGATTAAAAATTAATTTCAATTTTTTTATGTAGTTTGAAACTGTTTTATTAATTTTGGAATCCAATTAAAGTTTCACTTTCATATCTGATATTTAAAGAATTTGAATTCAGAAAAAACGGGAACCAATTTCTCAATGATCCAAAAAGTATGAATTATAGTAAGTATCATTACGATATTCTAATATTTAGATAATATATCAGACATACGTGAATATTTTTTTACATAATTTCATAATGTATATAAAATATTACTGTTAAATTATTGTCGTAGAGTTTCCTAGAGAGAACTCGCTTGGATTTTGATCGGATGAACGCAATCAAGTAGGCATTTATGCCCGTTAAAGACATTATTTTGTTCCCTAATTAGATTTTGAGCATTTTGCAAAATTATGTTTCTATAATATAAATAAAGGCTCTAAACCAATGTCAAATTTATAACAAGTAAGAATTCAACGTTGATACTCTCTTAACTTCAACACTTTTTCTAAAAATTTTCTGAAATTTTGAAGTTCATAAATCTATTAGTTTGGACATAGTGACAAAATAAAGGCTACAATGTCAATTTTAAACAAGTAAGAATTCAACTTTAATACTCTCTAACTTCAACACCTCTTAAAATTTGAAAATGTTGTTTGCAAAATTACATTTCTACACTTTTTATAAATATTTTCTGAAATTTTGAAGTTTAAAAATCCATTAGTTTGGAAATAGTGACGAAATAAAGGTCCAATGTCAAATTTATAACAAGCAAGAATTCAACTTTGATACTCTATAACATCAACACCCGTTAAAATTTGAAAATATTGATTGCAAAATTACATTTCTACACTTTTTATAAATATTTTCTGAAATTTTGAAGTTTAAAAATCTATTAGTTTGGACATAGTGACGAAATAAAGGCTACAATGTCAAATTTATAACATGTAAGAATTCAACTTTGATACTCTCTAACTTCAACATATGTTAAAATTTGAAAATGTTGTTTGCAAAATTACGTTTATAAACTTTTTATAAATATTTTCTGAAATTTTGAAGTTTATAAATCTATTACTTTGGAAATAGTAACGAAATAAAGGCTCCAATGTTAAATTTATAACAAGTAAGAATTCAACTTTTATACTTTACAACTTCTCAAATTTGAAAATGTTGTTTGCAAAATTATGTTTCTACACTTCTTTAGTTGAATAAAACATTATAAAACCATGTTAAGACGTGTTTTGTGAAGCGGCTATACAAGGTGTTACAGTATACAGAGTGATAAATCATTTAAAAACAATAATTTCGAAATTATTTCGTTTAAATTCTCAATAATATTAAACGGAGGCTTTGATAATTAGATAGTTGTTTTTAAATAGCCTGCTGTAGCTTTCTTTATAAATTACTGCTCAATAAAAAACCAATAACTTGGAATTTTTCGTATGATGTCAATGAGCAATACAAATATTTTTACTCAGATATTATAAATTGAATTAGTAAAGAAAATAAAATATTTAGGTGTTATTGTTGACCACACATTAAATTTTAAAGATCATGCCAACTAATTTATTAAAACTTTTTATATAAAACTTCAAGCTTCCTCGATCAGTGCGCCAAACAATTTTGTACAACACACTGATGCTTCCACATTTGACGTATTGCTCATCAATAGTATACTTGTTAAATCAAAATGAATTAAGTAGAATTCAAAAATTACAAAATAGGGCTATGAGAATCATTCTAACTTGCAGTAAATACACCTCCATTCAGGAAATGATCATTGAGATGGCTTTCAGTCAAAGATTATTTTTTATTTCAAACTCTAGTTTTAATTTTTAAAATAAAAAAAAGGATAGCGCTTACATACTTGGTAAATAAAACTAAATACACTTGTAATACAAGACACCATAATGAATTATATTTTATTTTTTAATCGCTGTTGTTTTCATGTATTTTTATTACTGAATGTATTAGTAAATTGCTAAATATAGGACTTATATAAGATAGGTACATACTGTATGAATAAACTGTACTTACAGGATAATGTAAATTATAAAATAAATTTAAAAAAAAATGTTACCTTCAACTTTAACGATGTTTTCTATCTGACGAAATGGTTTTTGCTCTTCTAAAATAGTTGATTCAGATTTTAAAACGGGATCATCAGTGATTGATTCCAAGTATTCTGTAGAATTTTCCGAATTTTTTAACGAATTTAGACGATTTTCATTCAAATAGTTATCTACAGACGTATTACTTTTATCGAACTTATTCAAATTGTGAATATTGGGATCTTCAGTGTTTTTGAAACTAACGAAACAAGTTGAATCGGTGCTTTCTTCTATTAGATTATTTCCAATACTTTCCTGAGATGCAGTATCAACGGATTCTTGACCAAATCTTACATCAATTAATGGATAATTAGTAGAATCTTTGTTCGCTTGCAAACTCTCGATATTTTCAAAATCGCCTGGTATGTCTATAATATAAACAAAAAACAGTAACATTATAACCTGTCCCTTAATAGCAAGGAACTCTATCAGGAAAGCTCCCTGGTGGAATGATGGCCTTGTCATACTAAGGAAATAGGTGAGACAAAAATTTAATAAGGCTAAAATAATCGGCGAATGGGAATTATATAGAATCATACGCACCTGTTACAACATAGTCTTACGAAAAGTCAAGAGAAAGTCTTAAAGAAGGCACTGTGAGGAGATAGCAGGCACTCAAGAATGTGCCAGGCTCCAAAAAATTATCTCAAAAGACACACAACACACAATAAACACCCTTAAGAATGAACTGGGGGAGTACACAATCACAGGGAAGGAAACAAGGGAAGGAAACAGTAAGGGAATTCTTCAGGGTTCACTTCCCTGGTGCACAAACCATAGCACACACACATACACACCGGCTAACCGGAATCTAAACGGACTGGAAGCTCATAATAGAGCCAACAGGGAAGATTGGAGGATAGCCAAACAAGTGGTGAACTATGGTAAACTGAAATGGGCAATAAGCTCATTGGAACCATATAAATCACCGGGCATGGACGGGATTTATCTAATAATGTTACAAAGATGTCCTGATATTTTATACAGCAGACTCTGTAACATACTCAGAAGTAGCTTAGCCTTTGGACACATACCAAAAGCTTGGAGAAATATTAGGGTAACTTTTATACCAAAACCTGGGAAAATAGGACAGGAAACGGCAAAGTCCCTAAGACCAATAAGTCTTATGTCCTTTGTACTGCTAGATAGGCATATTAGAGAGGGGATATTGGTTCAGAGGCCAATATACCAAGACCAATACACCTCTAGTGCAGGGAAATCAACTAAAACAGCTCTCCATCAATTAATAAAAGGGGTGGAGAACACACTGGAAAACAAGGAGGTAATGCTGGGAGCATTCTTGGATATCGAGGGTGCATTTGACAATACCTCCGTTGAATCGATCAGTAGATCTCTCAAACACAGAGGAATCGAAGACATATGCGTGTCCTGGATCGACTCTATGTTAAGGGAGAGAACTAAGCACACAACCCTTATAGGAGCGACAATAGCGACACGGGTAGCGAAAGGATGTTCGCAGGGTCCACTCCTGTGGAACCTTGTAGTGGACGGGCTGCCTAGGGCTCTCAAAGATAAGGGACATAGAACCCTGGGATATGCCGATGATCTAGTGATCATGGCACAGGGAAAATACAACACTATAGTAAGAGATCGATTGCAAGAGGCTCTAAATATATTAACAAAATGGACAGAGGCGGAAGGACTAAACATTAGCCCAAACAAATCTGACATAATTGCATTCACCTGCAGGAGGAAATTTGAGGGACTATGGCCTCTAAACCTAAGAGGTGCAAGCATCCAGCTTAAGGGGGAAGTAAAATATATCGGGGTTATGATTGACTCGAGACTTACCTGGAACCAGCATCTACAAAAAACCACAAGGAGAGCGGAAACCTCGTTAATGATGGCAAGGCGATCCTTTGGAAAAAAATGGGGGTTAAAATCAGACATGGTATATTGGCTTTATACCATGGTGGTGAGACCGATAATAACATACGCAGCTTTGGTGTGGTGGCCAAAGATACAGCAAAGAAAAGCAACAACGAGGCTAAGCAAGGTACAAAGACTTGCCTGCCTCGGAATAACGGGAGCAATGAAAACAATCCCCACAGCTGCAATGGAAGCACTAATAGGACTCCCACCTCTTCACTATATGATAAAAGGGGGGACAAGATTAGGTGCTTACAGATTAGGGAATACACTTATGCTTTATTCCGACCTGGAAGTCGATTCTCGACTTGTAGGAAAAGGTTCCTATAAGTCGAGAATCTGCCTCTTGAGGTGAACTGATTAGATTATAGGCAGAGTCGGAACATCTGGGGGGTACTTTATAGGGAGTCGTCAAATTTTTTTTTCTAAATTAAATAAATGAATAACGCAGGCGATGAACTTACTTTCAACAAATTCAAAATTTGAAGATTGCTCAAAATTTTCAGTCTCTAGATTGTTTTGGTTCAGTACTTCTATAGAACTCGAATTTGAATCGGCTGAAGAGCGCGACAATCGATTAAAATTACTTTGATTTACGTTGATATCGGATTCCGATTTTGATTCTTCGATTTGATTGGTATTTATTTCGTCTACAGCATTCACAACTACACTAGCATATGATATAGTCGGTGATACTTTTTTACTCTCTTTATATTCGGATTTATTTTGGTTTTCAAAACAATCGTTATTTTTATCTACACGTTCTTGTACCTCTATTTGTGTTTTTTGACCTCGCTTTTGGTTTTGATAATGATCGATTATCGCAGGTTTTGATATATCCGTTTTCTGTTTTCTCACAGTCTGCTCTACAACCGCGTTTAAAGTTAATTCTTTGGTTTCGACGCCTCTTTTGTGTTTGTATTTCTTTCCCTTCTCTTTGACCGGTAGAAACGAAAAGCCTATATCGTCCGAAGGCGTACGTTCGTGGTTTGAGTCGACTTTCGAAGGTCGTTTGTCTGGCTTATCGGCGACAACTCCACGAACTGTTTTTAGATTGAAAAAGGAATAACCGATATCGTCTACGGGACTGTCGGCTGTTTTCGATGACGATTGTTCACCTGAAAAAAAAAGTGAATACCCATGTTTATTATTTAATATAGAAATAATCAATTATTAATATATTTATTGTCAAAGCTACAACAATGTATAAACAAACATACAACGCTATATACCACAAAGAGCTCTCGTTAAGTGTTGAATTTTGATATAGGGACATGAATCCTTATTAAAGGGTCTCAAGTAAACTATAAAACGTATTCAGATTCAATTACAACAAGCAGTAAATGTACAAATTTGTTTCACAGGAATTAAAATGATCTGTCTATCATAATTTCAGGCGGGTGTTCCACAAGAATCTAATCTTGGCCCCTTTTACTTTGTACGTGTTGTAAATGATCTGCCTATGGTTTTAATATATTCAGATTGTTTATTGTACAAACTGTAAGGAAAAGTCTGACTTTTTTTTACTTTTTTGTAGAATTATTCGATTTTAACATTGTTCTAAACTAATTAACTTATAATATTTTCTCCTTTTCTGCTTTTTTAATTAGGTCATGTCGGAGCTTTATTCCTTTTAATTGAATATTAGTATAAACTAAATGAATGGACTGTATTAACTGTACCCAGTTTACGTAAATATAATCATTGAAGTGAAGTAAATATTCCTGTTTTTTTTAAACTGTACCTGTTACCTTTGATGTAATTACTTTGTATTTTTATTAATATAATTAGGCCTGTTTGATTAAGAAAATAAATAAATAAGTAAAATAAATAAACTAATTAGTAAATTTAATAAATTAATCAATTAATTAGTGAAATAAATAAATTAATTCGTGAAATAAATTAATTAATTAATTAGTGAAATAAATAAATACATTAGTCAAATAAATTAATTATTAGTTAAATAAATTAATTAATGAATTAAATTAAATAAATAGTGAAATAAATTAATTAACTAGTGAAATTAATTAATTAATTAATTAGTGAAATTAATTAATTGATTAGTGAAATAAATTAATGAATTAGGGAAATAAATAAATGTTTTATCAAAGTTTGCGTTTCTATTTCTATCAAACCTACTTTATAAACAACTATACCTCTAGCAGGATTCTTGACGATTTTTTCTCTTTTCTTCACAATCTCTTCTTTATCACTATTCGCGCCGTTACTTTCATTAATTGTTTCCTCGATGATATCTTCGATAGGCGTTTTCAGACTGGTGTTAAACGTCGGATCCTCATTAGATTTTTTAAATCTCTGGCGAACTTTGACCCCTTTCTGTTGCAACTTATTTTTATTAGAACTATTTGTCGTCGATTGTTTCTTCGATACAGGGTTATTGGTGACGTCTTCGCCACTTTTTTTGGTTATACTCTGAAAATAATAATAAATAATAATATAATTACGCGCGTAAACATGCGTTGCGTTCGTATCGATTCGATTTTGTAATTTGTTTATTACAAACAATATTTTATCTAAAAAATAACAATCATTTTATATTTTGGGCGAAAAATATTTAAACGTGAACCTAGATATGAAATTAAAGTGAAAAAAACACGTAAAGAAAAAACGGGAAGAGTTGGGCATTAAATATAAATTACATTGGTATGGTTCTTGTTTTCCAATACGAATACTGCATGACTGAGACGATCGTAGGTCAAGAAATTTTGAGAAATTAAAAGTAATAGGTTGTTGTACCGACCAAGGGCGGCTCCAGGGTGGGCCAAAGGGGCCAAGCCCACCGAGAACATTCTTACGATTTATGAGTATTTTATTCAAAAAAATATGCTAAAAAGGGAATATCTAAAGCAGCGTTACTGAAAGTGTGGTCTGCGGATCCCTGGGGCTCCGTAAAGCCTTTGTGGGGGCACCGCGACAGAAATTTATAGTCATAACAAAAAAAAAGGAATACCTATTGCTACAACGGGACTTGGCTTGAGGATCTATTATTTTTTTAGAATTCAGAAGAGGAAGGAGTATACGATTTTGGTATTTTAGTTGGAGGAACTTTTTTTTTAGAGGCCAGAAGAAGGATAATATGATTTTGAGGAGCATTTTGTTGTAGGGGCTCCGCAAAGAAACGGGAGGGACTAGAGCTAGGAGGATTTGCTCGGAGGACTTACTAACATTGAACCTATATACAATCTCATGAACAACCTAACAAACCATGCAACATACAAGAAATATTAAGATATTTGCATCTGAGATGAGAATCTTTGTTCACGTGATTCAATATGCGTAAATATAGTAGGACAGATGTGTCCGATGTAGTTAAACAAACGCTTAAGATGTAAATACATCATCAGATGTGAATATTCAAACGCAGTAAGGAAATGAATCCAACTCCACTCCAAATCCCAACACTCAAGACAAACGATATTAGAGAAGATGCGTAATATACAATGAATATCTATAAAAATGCAAATTATTATTATTATTTCAGTTCAATATTGACACCTTGTAACTACAAAGATTGTTGAAATTTTAAACTGTGGTTTTCAAAATTATATTTCTACACTTTTTCTAAATATTTTATTGAAATTTTGAAGCCTATAGATCAATTAGTTTGGAAATAGTGATGAAATAAAGGCAACACAATAAATTGTTAAAAAATCCCAGTTTAACATTGACACCTTGTAACTTCAAAACTTGTTGAAATTTCAAAATGTTGTTTTCAAAATTATATTTCTACACTTTATGTTAATACTTTTTCAAATTTTGAAGCCTATAGATCATTAGTTTGGAAAAGGTGATGAAATAAAGGCAACAATGTAAATTGTTAAAAATTCCAAGTTCAACTTTGACATCTTGTAACTTCAAAACTTCTTGAAATGTCAAACTGTGATTTTCAAAATTATATTTCTACACTTTTTGTTAATACTTTTTCAAATTTTGAAGCCTATAGATCAATTAGTTTGGAAAAGATGATGAAATAAAGGCAACAATGTAAATTGTTAAAAATTCCAAGTTCAACTTTGACATCTTGTAACTTCAGAACTTCTTGAAATTTCAAACTGTGGTTTTCAAAATTATATTTCTACACTTTTTGTAAATATTTTTTTCAAATTTTGAAGCCTATAGATCGATTAGTTTGGAAAAGGTGATGAAATAAAGGCAACAGTGTAAATTGTTAAAAAATCCAAGTTCAACTTTGACATCTTGTAACTTCAAAACTTCTTGAAATTTCAAACTGTGATTTTCAAAATTATATTTCTACACTTTTTGTAAATATTTTTTCAAATTTTGAAGTCTATAGATCAATTAGTTTGGAAATGGTGATGAAATAAAGGCAACAATGTAAATTGTTAAAAATTCCAAGTTCAACTTTGACATCTTGTAACTTCAAAACTTGTTGAAATTTCAAACTTTGGTTTTCAAAATTATATTTTTACACTTTTTGTAAATTATTTTTCAAATTTTAAAGTCTATAAATCAATTAGTTTGGAAATGGTGACGAAATAAAAGTAACAGTGTAAATTGTTAAAAAATCCAAGTTAAACTTTGACACCTTGTAACTCCAAAACTTGTTGAAATTTCAAAATGTAGTTTTCAAAATTATATTTCTACACTTTTTGTAAATATTTTTTTTAAATTTTGAAGTCTATAGATTATTTAGTTTAAATCCAAAACTTTGACATCTTGTAACTTCAAAACTTGTTCAAATTTCAAAATGTTGATTTTCAAAATTATATTTAGAGCAAGCAGGAAGCGAATAATATCAGCGTTACCAGTTTGTATGGCTTGACCACGCATTGTAAAGTTGTCTGGGACCATATAAACTAATATTATTTATTTCTTGCTCACTATAATTCTAACTCTCTGTTGTTTTCACACTCACTTGTGCAAAGCGTATTAGAAAGAGTTCGATAGATGATACTGTATGAATTTTCTTTATGGTTCATGCATGATTATTAATAGCCATAAAATTGTACAAATTTGGGTTCCAAAAGAGCTTGGGGCCCATATTATTCACTAGTTAACAACAAATTTATCTTAGCTATGTTATACAATCTTCTGCTCTTGTGAGCACTCAAGCTTATTCTTTTTGGTGGTTCAAAGCCTTGATTTAGAGTCTATATAGTGTCTAAAACATTCTAACAATCTGTCTAAATTGATATAGAAGATTTATATGCTGATGACACTGTTATTAGGAAGGTGTACGAAAATCAAAAATATTAGAAATTGAGCAAATCCAAAAAGGATTGCACCATTAAATAATAATACACATTTTCTAAAAACACTTGCTGGCTTCATTTCACAGGCATTTCTGACTGTGATCATTGCCAAGTACAGAAGTATCTCCATATCAAGGGGCTGTCAGAATCAGCACTCTGCAAGGGGTGCAGACAAGTAGATGAGACCATCAAACATATCCTCTATGATTGCCTGAAGCTCTCATTAGATTTATATTTGGCGAGTATCAGCGACGTTGTCAACTACATTAAATCTGTAGGCTGGCTCATGAGCTAGGAGGTGCCTATTAATTTAGGACAATGCAGAAGGCTGTGGGTAACCCACCCTCCACACATTACAGATTCTGACATATTACACAGTTCCTTTATAAAGATGTTACTAGAGACATAAAGCATAAAATAGAAAAAAGAACATAAATGGTGCAAAATAGTATTACACAAGCCCTTTGGAACCTGTCTTATTAAACACGTTCTTCAATATATACTAATTGTTTCTATCTAGTTCATATTCAACGAAAAATAATGGTCTATATTTACCTATTCACTGTTAAAAATGTAAGACTGGACATGAAGAATTATAAAATTAACTTTTTACTTACAAGAGGCAATACAACACTTAACTAACTTGTAACAATTAATCTGATTAATGTTTTTAATCTAGACATCTCAAATATGTGCTTAGGTATCTAATTACACAATTTTGCTCGTTGATTTTACGTTTATAACAAAAGGAAATATAATATAGCTTACACGGTCGATGAATCTTGTAACACTCAACAATTTGAAAATACCCCATAGAGTTACCAAGCGAATCACTTCTATGGATAAATAATAACATAAACATACAACAAATAAAACACAATGAATTAGAAACTTTAGAAAAATAAACATACTGGCCAGGGCGATACTTTGGATATCGGCTTTTTCAATTTTCTGGATTTTGTTTATTATTTTCGATTTTTAAATTGGTGGCATAGGTCAAAATATCAGATAACATCTAATAGTACGTAAATCTAATCGACAGCAACTTTTAACCAAATCTACAACTACAAAACAAGAAATTAATTTATATTCATCTATGATCTAAATTCTAACGTAAATATTAAAAAACTACCTCTTTAAAATTTAAATTACTTAATTCAAGGTGACATTGTCAAGGACGTTCGATGTTTCAAATCATACAACGACGTTGCCGAGTGCAAAAAAAGTTTTATCATCTTAACCTAACCTAAAAAAATATATTTTTAGCACGGATACTAGTCAAGTATCCTTGATTTTTTAGAGTATTATTTTCAATTTTGTAGATATAATTATATATGAATTAATTAATTAAGCAGTGAATATTTAATATTAAATTCTGTGCGAGGCTTTACTTTATATTGAGAATTCAAAAAACAATTTTGAAAATAAATTTGGCAACAGTGGTGTGTTACAGCTGAGATAAATTTGACAGTAAAATGATTAGATATAGTGTCTACTCAAACATCGTTCGGTATTTTATTCGAGTCTAAAATTGGATTATTTTGGAATATGTTTTATAAAAATAAATTTCTACATTGAAGAAGCTTGATAAATGCCAATTTAATTCTTTTTTTAATTTATATTTACTCTACAACTGTTTATTTTATTTCAGTAATGGTAAATCGCTAAATATTTTATTTCAGTAATGGTAAATCGCTAAAAAATGCCTAAAATATAAAACACAACTGCATGTATTTTAGATTTTTAAAAGCTTTTATTGTTTATTATTTAGCAAAATGGTTTCATTCAATCGTTTATCATAAAATATACACGACAAAACAATAAAACTATAATCAAATTATTTTCAAAATAGACGCAAATATAAAAACGAAAATTACATAATAAACAGTGTTACCAACTGAAGCATTTAAAACAGCTGTTGACTTTTGGAATGGCAACAAATATAAAATATGTCTAAAAAAGTTTCCAAAAAATATTTGAAAAAAAATGTTAGTAATATAAAATAAATAATGAGTAGAGATGTGTGTAATACCAGTAAAAGTTTAGATAGTGAAAGTGTAGATATTTCCGATGTAGAAAAAGAAGTAACAAATGTGATATTAAGTGGTAAAGACGAAATAGAGCCAATTGAAAATGAAGAAAATATTTGGATAAACGATCCAGATAATGCCGATGTCGACGATGATCTTGAGAACCTTAACATAGCAAATTTTTTTCATAGAGTTGATAGTGATCAAATCATATACCAGAAGAAAAAACGAAAATTAAAGCTGGTTGGGAAATATGTAATGGGTGATTTGCTTGGGGAGGGGTCCTATGGGAAGGTAAAAGACATGCTAGATTCGGAGACTTTGTGTAGAAGGGCTGTTAAAATTCTAAAACAAAGGAAATTGAGGAGGATACCAAATGGTGAACAAAATGTAGAAAGGTAAATTTATAAACAATTCATATAAAAACTTATTAGACCTTAATTACACATTACTTACCTCCTGTTTCTGGAAAGGTCCTAGTATCCATGTTAAAAGTGATGCCATTTTACCTCTGTATCTGAAAATAAAGTATTTATCAAAGCCACAAGTATCTGCATTTTTTTTTAAATCAATATTTAAATAAAGTTTAAAAATACCCAAGTAGAAAACTCTACTAGTAAATTGTTCTTTTCAGGGAAATAAAACTGCTCAGAAAACTGAAACACAAAAACCTGATAAACCTCGTAGATGAATTGTACAATCATGAAAAGCAAAAGATGTATTTGATAATGGAGTTCTGCGTCGGATCTCTTCAAGGCATGTTGGAATCGACTCCTAATAATAAGTTTCCCCAGTATCAGGCGCACGGGTATTTTATTCAACTCATTGATGGACTTGAGTATCTGCACAGCATGAGAGTTGTACATAAAGATATTAAACCGGGAAATCTTCTGCTTACACTGGATGGGGAACTGAAGATAACCGATTTGGGGGTGGCAGAGGTGAGTTTCTTTATTATTTCTTTATTTAACCTTAATGGGCACATATTCTGGAGTTACACACTTACTATTCTTATGGGAATAATAGTGGGTGTGGTTCTTCTTTTGATATCAAGTTCACTGCAAGATATTGGTGGAAATGTGTGTTGTCTGCTAAGTTATAGATCAGTGGTGCCCAGAAAATCAATCACAATTGACAGGTCGATTGTGAGAAGCCTTTAGGTTGACCACTGAAGAACATATTCATTTATAGTTGAGTTGTCATTTGCAAACACTACAAGTTGGGCAAAATAATATCAGTACTAGAAAATGAGACTCATTATAGTTGTTTTAAAGAAATATAGAGGTTGCTTAATCATTTGTCAGTGTTTATGGTTCTTATTTATAAAATGGTATCTTTCTTAATATTATTGAGGAATTACAAGCTTTTGGTATAAGTGTCGATCTACCAGTTATATATTTTTGGTTGGTAGATTTTCATAGAAAAAAGTATGTGCACCACTGCTATAGATGAAAGAAGAAAAAAAATTGATGGTAAAAATATCAAGAAAGGTATATAATATTGGTAGGAATGGTCTGTTTTTCAAGGAGGTTTCAATCTGATAACATTTTAATTTGGTTGCTACATTATCATCAAGATCCAAGACTAAACAATTTAACTTAAAAAGCAGTTCACATTCAGTTTGTTAAATGAATTTTTGTTATTGTTTTCCCACATGAAGCATTGTTCTTATTTGTAATAGATAGTTTTGAAATTGGTTTACAAATACCTATAAATATTATAGAGATAAAATATAATAAATATTCTTTTAAAATGGTTGGTAAAAATAAAAATGAGTTCAATGCTGTGATAATATCAAAGCAAACACAAAAGACAACATTATGATATTGACTAATTAACTTTATGGTATCATAATATTTGATGTACTCATACAATTTATCATTAAGAAAATATTTTCCTATAAACTACCAAAACTGTTTAATAATATAAGTTACAAAATTACAAACACCTTTGATTGGTTGGTAAACAAAAAATAAAATTAAAATTACATAACTAGAAGTTATAAAATTATTTTTTAATTAGTGCTTTGAAAAGAGCATATTTGCAGATTTGTGGAAAATATCTATTGGGAATCCTCTCCTAAAACTAATAATCCCTGTAGCTTTGCAGATCTAGGGGTAATAAATATTTTGCCATGTATCTCAAAAAATCTTTAAAAATGTCTTATATGTTCAAATATCTTAATCTTAATCACAGTGACGTTTTCGTATGGAACTCGATACAGTATCTGCTTTTTCTCAAGTTTTTGGATGAAATTATTGAGGGTATTGATGAAAAAGAAGTAACCTATTTTAATGCTTTTAGAGTTCTCAAAAGCGTTCGATACAATTAATCACAAATTGTTATTGGCTAAACTAAAATATTACAGGTTTGATTTTGAGTCATTGATATTCAGTGATAATTTATTCATGTCTAACCAATTTTTGATAATTCTCATCCTTTTGGTATTCCTTTTAACAGAATCCCAGGTGTTGCTGTTACACCCTCAATATCTAAAATAATATCGGACCCAGGACTGTTCCCTGTGGAACTTTATTTTAACTCTAACCATATCACTATGTTCATTCCTTATTTATATTACTTGTTTTCTTTCATTTAAATAGTTTTCAATGACTCTTAACACTGCTACCCTTATTTTTGGAAACATTGTTTTATAATCAGAATGTACCTATGCTTTTTTTAAATACTCATATAGATCATTTTTTAAGCATTCAAAAATGTATCATAAATCAATAACTCTTCTAAATATTTTTTTTCAAATGTGGTGACTATTATGCTTTTTAAGAAAGTAATATTTTGACATAAAGTAACTTTTGAAAAATTTAGTAGCGCGCTATTAGGGTTAGTGCCAATTTTATAGGGGGTTGTTTTTATATTTTATGGAATATATCCCTTATTTTCGTTTAGAGAAGAAAATTGTTCAAATAAAAGTTACTTCTTAAATTATTCTCTATAATTTTTGTCTTATGCTAAATTTTCCTAAAATGGACCGTATTCGAGATATTTGAGAAAAAATGTAAATTTCGAATTTTGAAGAAACCTCAAAAACGGATAAAGAGAAAAACATTAAATTTTAAACTTAAGCTCTATTTCGGCTTGCGGTGAACTGATTAGATTTTGGGCAGAGTCGGAACATCTGGGGGTACTTTGTAGGGGGTCGTTTTTATATTTTATGGGATATATCCGTTATTTACGTTTTGAGAAGAAAATTGTTCAAATAAAAGTTACTTCCTATATTATTCTCTATAATTTTTGCCCCATACAAAATTTTCCTAAAATGGTCCTTATTCGAGAAATTTGACAAAATGTAAAAAAAATTAATTTTTTTTTTGAAAATTGTTTAAATAAAAGTTGTTTGTGATATAATTCTCTATAATTTTTTTCCATACATAATTTCTCTAAAATGGACCGTATTCGAGATATTTGAAAAAAGTGTAAATTTCGAATTTTGAAGAAAACTCAAAAACGGATAAAGAGAAAAACAATAAATTTTAAACTTAAGCTTTATTCCGGCTTGCGGTGAACTGATTAGATTTTGGGCAGAGTCTAAACATCTGGGGAGGTACTTTATAGGGGGTCATTTTTATATTTTATGAAATATATCTGTTATTTACGCTTGAAGTAGAAAATTCTTTAAATAAAAGTTACTTGTAATAATATTCTCTATAATTTTTGTTCTATACAAAATTTTCCTAAAATGGTCCGTACTCGAGAAATTTAACAAAATGTAAAAAAAATAAATTTTTATGAAAATTGTTTAAATAAAAGTTGTTTGTGATATAATTCTCTATAATTTTTGTTCCATACATAATTTCTCTAAAATGGACCGTATTCGAGATATTTGAAAAAAGTGTAAATTTCGAATTTTGAAGAAAACTCATAAAGAGAAAAACAATAAATTTTAAACTTAAGCTTTATTCCGGCTTGCGGTGAACTGATTAGATTTTGGGCAGAGTCTAAACATCTGGGGAGGTACTTTATAGGGAGTCATTTTTATATTTTATAGAATATATCTGTTATTTACGCTTGGAGAAGAAAATTTTTTAAATAAAAGTTACTTCTAATATTCTCTATAATTTTTGTTTTATACAAAATGTTCCTAAAATGGCCCGTATTCGAGAAATTTTACAAAATGTACAAAATTCTGATTTTTAAGTAAAAAAGTTGTTTGCGATATCGATCTCTATAATTTTAGTTAGTTAGTGTGTGGAAAATGTATATATTTAGTTTATTATTCTGTATGAACTTTTGTAATTTGTAATGACTCAATATTTCTAAATTCTAATCTAGTGTAAACACGTGTCAAATTTTGAACAATATATCTAATTTAAAAAAAAAATATTTACAATCTTTTTGATTTATGGTAAATTTAAAACTTTTAACACCCTATATCTCTGTAATTAAGCCCTTTAAGAGTTCATGCTCCTATATAAAAATTTATCAATTAACGAGAGCTCTCTGTGGTAGAGCGTTGTCTGTCGAATATACTAACATCCTGTATATAAACAATACAATACAAAAACAATCCAGGTAAGGCTACAAACAATTTTTTAATAAAAAACGAGTGTTGTAACATCGAAATGAAAGGTTGTTTGAATTTTTTAAAGGTCAAATCTTCAATCCTATATTTAGTAAGTAAAAACAAGTCGTTAAAGTTGCGAAATGAAGATAGGTATATCATAATAGATAAAATTAAATTGACGCTGAGTACCTTATGCACAAAAATACAACTGCGGAAGAAATCACACCACCACTGACTATCTTGATCATAGTTTCACTCAAGACACTGACACTCTCATTAGACATTCTTGGATGATTAAAACTAAATCATATCAAGGGTCACTATTTTTCAGGAAATCACACAAAGTCGTAGTAATTGCTCGTTCTATTTAAAACTGAAATACACAATAAAATATTCGTTATTAGGTACCTTCAGGCAATTTTTTGATATAACCATATTGTAAACACGGATTGACCTTTTATCAGTATTAATCACAAAACTGATAGTATACAGTGTGTGCTAAGCAAAAATGAATGCAAGCCGGTAGAGAATATTATGCTTTTTTTTTTTAATTATTGAAGTCATTTGCATTGACAAGCGTACGTTTCATCATTTACGAATTTTTAAATGTTGGTGTTATTAAAAAAATGCATAGAATGATGATAAATAAAGCTTGACATTCTATATTATTCTCTTTACAGTTTATTTGACCCCCTCCTCCCGTTATAAAGTTTGATTTTTCCTGAAGATTTTTAATTCTTAGGTTTTTTCCAACCCTGATCGCGAATTATGTGTTTAAATCAATATTTTCTATATTTTTTTGTAATAAACGGTGCTGCGCTTGAGATCATTGACGGCCCGCCTAGAGGAAAGTTTCCAACGTACCTACTTTACAGGGTGTGCTACCTCAAATTTTGAAGTCTATAGATCAATTAATTTGGAAATGGCGATGAAATAAAGGCAACAATATCAAATTATTAAAAAGTCCAAGATTTACCTCTAATTTTAAAACACCTTGAATAAGAATTGTGTATAAATTCGTATTAGTTACATTACTGTTATTAATTGTATCAAATTGGAACATTTTAAATCAATAAATTCCTACAAATTAATCTTCTAGGGCAGCACAATCTGAAACGTATGAATTTATTTGACACCTCTAAAAGAATTCCCAATATTTTCGTCATTAAACGTGTTTCTTACCATATCTGAAATTCCCATACAATAATTAACTCATTCTTATCTCGAACACACTTTGTATTTAAAAAAAAAATTAATTGTTATTGTAAACCGTGGGAGCAAAGAACGTCAAGATTTTTAATTCACAGAAGAAAATGATAAGGTCAATGCGTTTTTGAATTATTGTGAATTGACTTCTTTTATTTTGTTAACGATATGATAGACCGAGTCAAAATTAGAAGACAAAAAATATCGGGTTGCCTTCATTCATGAAGTAAAAAGTATTTATAATATTAGTGCTTTTATTTAAACATTGTATTGTTTTTTTTTTAATAATATCTAATGTTTAGTTGCAAAATGTAAAAACTTGCTAGTGGTGGTCATTGTTGTGCGTTCATAAATGTTGATATAAATAAGTAATATAAAAATATGTTTTTTATGCAATACCTCTGATAAAAATAGTGACAAAGTTGGCTAAGAACTATTGAACTTACGAACACAAAAGACATTAATATCGAAAGCATTAATTTATTGCAGAAAAATTGAATATATCATAATGGAAAATTTTACAAACAACTACCAATCATATTATTACACAATGTCCTCATTTTATTAAATACGGGTTACTGAAGGCAAATTTATGTTTTGTTCCGACGGCAGTCGATTATTCTGGAACTTATCTAAACACATAAATATACAGGGTGCAACAAAAATATTTACAGTAAATTTAATCAGTTTATGGGGTCGAAAATAAGTCAATTCAAGCCACTGAACTCCCCACCATTGGAACGCTACATGATCTTTGCCAAGCTAATCAAAAATGGCACAGTTTTGCGATGTTTAGCGGCATTACAACGCATGTGCATTATGGAGTTTTCGGAAAAAATTCAATGTTTGCATTATTGGTTGCCTAAATATATCCCTAAATAAAAATCAAAAGAGTCTGGACCTGTCTAAAGCCTTTGATAGTGTTGATCACAACTTTCTATACAGGAAACTGGAGTTCCAGCTTGTGTCCCTGCTATATTTTAAGGGGGCATTAGAAGTGCGGATATATAAAAGTTATAACTGAAGGTGGAGTGTAAATACAAAACTAATTCCGAAAATAAAATAATATTCATCATTATTTTAAGGATAGCATGTATGACCTTGAAAATGTAGTTTCTAACAAGTAACAAAAACGCAAAATACCTACATACATTTTTATAAAAATAGAAAGATTTTATTCTCAGTAAACATGTTTACATAGTCGTCAGTACACATAAATGGTAAAATACACCACATTTTACATACTTTAACATACAGCATACTCGTATAAAATTTAAAATAGGATTTTAAAAGATCATGGTTGGTAATAGTAATAAATATATAAAAAAATACAATATTAAAAATGTTAAGTGACATATTTCACTCTTACAAAATAATCGTTTATCTTAGCATTTTTGATAACTATGTCAGATGTGTTATTGCAGTGATATGAGAACTTGATATCATCTGCATACATGGTAGTTAGTAATTCGGCATTATTTGAATTCATATGTGATGGGAGATCATTGGTATATATTAAAAATAATAGAGGGCCTAGTACGGATCCTTGTGGAACACCTCTTTTCATTAATAAAGGTTTACTAAGTTTATTTCTGTAATATACACTTTGTTGTCTGTTTTGCAAATAAAAAGCAATCATCTTATTTGCAATGCCTCTAATGCCATATTTATCTAGCTTGTTGATTAACAATGTGTGTAAGTCCCACAGTCAAATGATTTTCAACATTTTTAATCGTTGGTAGACATTTTCTTAATCTAGCTCAGATACTTTTCGTCAGAGGTAGTAACTGGGATGTACTTTTTTAAAATTATTTTCAGTTTGCTGCAACAAAAAGTGTCGTTTAAACACATTATAAAACTAAATTCGTACTAAAAATTGTGCTTCACGATAAAAATGTGGGTTTTCGTTTGCCCAGAAATGACATTTGACTCGTCTGAACACAAAATTGTATTTAAAATTTAAGGATCTTGAATTCGCACTGGTAACCATTCGCATTATTCAATTCGTATTTGATCACCATCTCGCAACTCATGAACTTTTCTTTGTGCCATTTATTTTGTTCCAAAATTCGTTCGACTAATATTTAAATTATCTTGAGCCATTCTAATGGAGACGTGAGGATACGCAGTGTAATACCCTTATATAGTTGGAGACACCTTGTATAAAGCTGTAATTATTCCAAAATAATTAAATAGATGCAACAGATTGATTTAGTGTGTTGCAAAATGGAATAGATTTTCTAACAAATAAAAATGGTGAATGTAGATCATAATTTTGAATATTTATATCAACGAATGTCTTTCAGTATCTCTTTAAAAAAAATGGGTAAAAATCTAGAACAAAGCCCAGCCTATAATAATTTCATTCGTTTGAAACGTGCAGCTTGCATGCAGATGAGATGTAATAATTTATATTTCCAATATTATTGAACCTTTAAGTTATTAATATTATGTTATTTACGATATTGTAACGAGTATAAAGACTCCTAAATTTAGATAAGAATATCTACAATAAACTAAGTCCGAATTATCATTTCGGCGGTTATTTTTAGATATATCAATTATCTCCTTTTCACGCTGCTGATCATCAATAAATCATATCCAAAATTAGTGTTACTACTATTTTACAGGGTGTCTTATAATAATATTCCTATATATGTATATTATTTCTAAAAAGATAATTTTAAATAACGACATTAGTTATAACGATTTCTTTAGGATTTTTTTGAAAAATAAAAAGATATTGATCTTAAAGTAAATATTATAATTATTTCATAATTTGGAACTCTAGATATAATACGAGTATTATTAGATCCCGATTTCGTTTCATAATTAGTTATTTTAGAATTAACATTTTTAGTATTACCTTCTTATATTTTTTCTGGAGATACTCTAAATTGGTATCCAGTAATATTTAAAATAGTAAGTCTTATGTCACCAGAATACTTTCAGTAATATATTCATATTTAAGTGGTACAAATAGGAACTAAATATCAAAGTTCTATGAATTCTTTAAAGATTTCAAAAAATGCAAGCAGAAAACTTCAACTTACCAAAAGTGGCTCCACGAAGAGGGCCATAAGAACCATGTCTCCCTCCTCAAGATTTAAGAATTTATTTATTAAAATAAAGATTTGCTAAAAAATGACACCAACGATGCACAAAATACTTATTCATGGTGCAGTTATAATAAAAACTGCATTGTTACCTATTGGGCAGCTGTCTGAAGAAGCCGCGGAAGTACGTAACAAGCATTTCCGCTCATACCGCCAAGACTTCGCGCGAAAATTCTCTAGAGAAAATTGTAACAGGGATATTTTTAATCGCCTGTTTCTAAGTTCAGACCGCCTCTTAAGTAGCATGAGGAACGTTAAAAGAAGAAAAATTAAGTCTTTTTTGCCAGAAACAATTAATTTACTAATGTCTGCAAAGCCGCTTGAAGCTGGTAATTTTTCAGAAAGCGAAGATGAAAATTTATACGAATAATGTTAGATAAAATTGTATATCTATATTTTTTATTAATAAATATAGGTTAATTAAACATTAAAACCTTTGTTTTATTTATTAATATCGTTTAGATTCGATATAGACCAAAATATAATTTTAATGGTTATTTAAGTAACTTTTATATGTATATTAGAATTCCTAATTCATCTATGTGATCGGTTTTTTCTATCTTTTATTATCAGTCTCAGTGACCCGGCAAATTAGCTGTTAAGCATCAGTCTAGTATCTGAAATAAACTTTTTTACAGACCATAGACCTGTTCGCCAAAGACGATACTTGCTATATAGGACAAGGATCCCCAGCATTTCAACCTCCCGAAATCGCGAACGGTTTGGAGTCTTTTCCAGGGTTCAAAGTAGATATTTGGAGTAGCGGGGTTACACTGTAAGAAATATTTTACTTTCAATGTAAATCACAAGTTGTATACCAAATAAATAAGGGCTTAATTTTTTAGGTACAATATAACAACCGGTCTGTATCCTTTCGAAGGCGGTACGATTTTTAGGCTCTTCGAAACAATAGGCAAAGGCGAATTCACCATTCCCGATGAGATTGATGAACCGCTCAGAAGTTTGATCGTTGGAATGCTACAAAAAGAACCCGAAATTAGGTTTAATCTTCGACAAATAAGACAGCATTCGTAAGTACTCAACGTATAGAAGGCATAATAATATTTTAATCGATTTTTTTTTTAATATTTAGATGGTTCAGCAGAAGACCGCCATATTCTAGTCCTCCAGTGCCCATTCCGCCGCTACGCGAAGACAGGTTTCACAAAATGACTGTGCTGCCTTATTTGGTCGATCACTACTACAATGATCCCAATGATAATTCAAACGATGTACAATTTTTAACCGAACACGAACTAAATGGTAATAATCAATTGCTTGCATAATTAATGTTATTACACAGTCCAGTTGTATCACATTTGTGTAGAATTTACGTAAGTGTGTGTATGTGTGTTACGAATTGACGATTTTGCTAACGAACTACAGATCGACAGAAATAGAAAATAAGTTGTTGCATTTGAAAAAAAAAAATGAGTAAATTGAACTTAAAATGAACTATATTTATAATATAATGCCCTGTATATAAGTATTTCTTTTTAAAATCCATATAATTCACTCATAATGCACTTTTATTTGAAATGCACAACTATAATGTATTAAGATCAAAATGATCACCTCGAAAAACCTTGACGGCTTCAGCTATATCTGTCGTACTGTAACTAACAGTTGTTTTGTTTTGAGCAATTTTAACAATAACATAACTAGTGATTGTATATCGAAAAACATTGGTCTTTACCACGATGAATTACAACAGTTATTATAACTGTTTCAACTCCCATTTAAAAACAAAAGAAAACGTGATTAAATATTGATAGGAGTATGAGTATCCGATTTTTGAGTATTCTTACCCCAAGATGATATACTAAGAGAAGGATCGCTTAACTAGATCATGTCAGACTATCAATGACGTCATGAAATACTACACATAACTTTAAACTTACCTTCGAAATACACTGACAAAGTTATACAACGTGAACTTGATTTCGTTTTTAGATTGATAATAACGATTTTAAACTATAGTTTAGGCAAATATATTTTTATTCGCCCTTTCAGGCATTCCTCTGTTCCCTCCTGAGACATTCCGGTAGCCAATGACACTCCCCTTAAATCTGACTTGATTCTAGTTTGTTTTTACCTCCTCTGGGGTACTGCATCTCAAATAGTTTGACGGCTTCAGCTATATCTGTCGTATTCTAACTAACAGTTTTTTGTTTTGCGTAATATTTAACAGAAACATAACTACTGTTGTATATTGGAAAACATTGGTCTTTACCACCATGGATTACAGTTATTATAACTGTTTCAACTCCCATTTAAAAACAAAATAAAACGTGACTAAATATTGATAGGAGTATAAGTATCCGATTTTTAGGTATTCTTATCCCAAGGATGATATACTAAAAGAAGGATGGATCACTTATCTAGAAAATGTCAGACTATCAATGACGTCATGAAATACTAAACATAACTTTAAACTTACCTTCGAAATTGAGTGACAAAGTCATACATAGTGAACTTGATTTCATTTTTAGATTGATAATGACGATTTTAAACTATAGTTTAGGCAAATATATTTTTATTCGCGCTTTTAGGCATCTTATGTTCCCTTCTGTATATTCCAGCAGCCAATGGCACTCCCCACAAATCAGACTTGGGTTCCAATTTGTTTTTCCTCCTCAAATGGTTTATTACAAAAGCATTTGAATGCCTCACTCTTTCCCATTTATTCATTTCATGCATTCTACCCATCCATAGGCAAATATAATGATAGAGAACTTCATTGTCGAACAAAATAAACTTCTCTTTATCAGACAATTATTTAAAATACAATATGACATCTCAATAAAATACATAGTTTTAAACAAAAAAAAAACAGAGAACAATGTCAAAACGACATAAAGAATATAATGAGAAACAATATTCGATAATCGATATAGCAATATTTTGACAGAAATATTTCGTGACGTCATAAAATTCGTTAAAACTAAACTTTTACTGGCATCATGAGGAAGTTCCATAAGACCACAGAGCTAGGTGTACTGTGAATAGTTACGTTTTCCCAGAGTATCTCTGTGGTGGAACTAACCCTATGTTCCTTTTCTGTATTGTTCTCTCTTCTGTGGCCATTGTAATAAAATATCTCCAGAGTTAAGATCACCTTTTATTATCAAAATTGTGTCAAGAGTGACAGTCAACAATTCTACAGTACGCAATGTACAGCATGTCCTACAATATTGAAAACATTCAAATTGATATTATTTCAAGTTCGCAGTACTTTTGTAATTTTCACGCTCCATATTAACAGGTTTTTACATGCGATTCTTAGTTGATGTTACTGCATTTTTGATAATTCTGTACGCAACCACATTTCTCAAACTTTTGAATAATTCCAAACAATTGTGGAAAGTAGTTATAATGTAGTGTCAGCTCACTTTGGTAACATGGCTATAGTGCGTTTTGAAGCATTCAAAACCGTCGTTTGTCGACGTTTTTTTAACGTTTTTCGACTTTTTAGCGCCACTAAAAGCGTTCAAAAACGTCGAAAACTTTGAAAAACGTCGAAAAACTGCAAAAATCACGTTTTTGGGCGCTTTTACCGGCGCTAAAAACGTCGAAAAACGTGGGAAAACGGCAAAAACGACGTTTCTGAACGCTTCAGAACGCACTATGACCAAAGTGAGCTGATGGCCCTACATTATAACTATTGTGGAATGTGACGGATTTGATATTTTTGTTGTTTTAGAACTGGAACGATCAAAGGCCGACGCTGAATATTCAAACGGAAATGCTCACTCAAGTTCAGGCAGACGGCATAAAAGTCGAAACAAGAAAAACGTATCCTGTATATCTGTAAAAAATTTTCCCGGGTGTAAACAATCGTGACAAATCTTTTTTACTATTATTTGTAATAATTTTGTTATAATGACATATTTTTGATAAAAAAAAATCATAGAACTTGTATTAAATACTTTGTTAATATTTGTAATTTTATATTGTTGTGTTGTTGTCAGATGAGTTTAATTATTTTTGTTGCTGTTGTTTGGAATACCGTGAATTATAACAAATGTATTTAATATGAGGATGCATGAGAAGTGCCATATTGAAATTTAGAGGTACAATTAAAATAATTTTAGAAAATTAAACAGACTAGTTTTTTTTATTAATCATTTTGATTAGAAAACCTAACAAACTATATTAAAAATATATTCATAATAATGTAGTATAGCATAAAAAATTAATTTTAAGTTTTTTTTTTTATAAATTTCAAATCCAGTTTATTAATCCCACATAGAAGTCTATTAAAATCAATCGCATATAAAATATCTTTCATCAAAATCAATTTTACATAAAAAATCATTTTATAAAAATTAGTCCCACATAAAATTAATTTTATTTGAAGCAGTTCTACATGAAAAAACTTTATTAAAGTCAATCCCATATGAAATTATTTTCTGTATTAATCCCTCATAAAATGAATTTTATTTCAACCAATCCCTCATTAAAATTTTTTATTTTCTAAAAAGTAATTCCACATGAAATTAATTTTATCTATATCATTTGCACCTATTTTAGCAATATTTATTTAATCTATCAATTTTATATAAAGCAATCCCACATACAAGTTACTTTATAAAAAGTAATCCCACATAAAATTATTTTTTATTAAAATCAATCCCACATAAATCCCACTTTATTAACTCCTTGAGCCAGGTGATGCATCATATTTGGAAACTTTAAATCGCATAATATCCGATGATGTACTTAATGTATGCATCATTTTAGTTCTGACTTGTAAAGCGATACTACAGCAATACTACGCCCCTGGAAATTCGTGCTTACTTCAATAGTAAAATTCACTTTATTAAAGTCCACATATTTTCATTTTATGAAAATCCCACATAAAATTATTTTTATCAAAACCAATCAGATATCAAATTAATGCCATCTGCCAGTCCCACATAAAATTAAATTTATCTAAATCAATCCATCATAAAATAGAGTTTACCAAAATCACTCCCACATAAAATTAATTTTCCCGATTGATTTTGATGAAACGATATTAATGTGCGATTGATTTTGTCTATAATTATCTTACTATTGACAGCTTTCTTCTTTTCAATAATTGTGTGTTGCTCATAAAATTAATTTTATCAAGCCCGCATAAAATTATTTTTTTATTAAAATCAACCAACGAAAAATTCACTTTATTAAAGTCAATCCCACATATTTTTATTGCATGAAAATCCCACATAAAATTATTTATATCAAAACCAATCAGATATCAAATTAATATCTATATCAATCCCACATAAAATTAACTTTATCTAAATCAATCCTACATAAAATGGAGTTTACTAAAATCACTCCCACATAAAATTGATTTTGATAAAACGAATTTAATGTGCGATTGACAGATTTATTCTTTTCAATAATTGTGTGTTGTTCATAAAATTCATGTTATCAAACTCGCATAAAATTCGTTTTTTAATAAAATTAACCAACGAAAAATTCACTTTATTAAAGTCGATCCCACATATTTTTATTTTATGAAAATCCCACATAAAATTATTTTCATCAAAACCAATTAGATATCAAATTAATTTCATCTATCAATCCCACATAAAATTAACTTTATCTAAATCAATCCTACATAAAATGGAGTTTATCAAAATCACTCCCACATAAAATTAATTTTGATAAATGTGTGATTGATTTCGTCTTACTATTGAGGATGGGCAGCCTTCTCATTTTCAATAATACCATGTTGTACATAAAATCCATTTCAACAAGAGCATTCCCGCATAAAATTAATTTTTCTTAAAATCCACCCAACAAAATTAACTTTATTAATGTCAGTCCCACATATTTTCATTTTTTGAAAATCCGACAAAATTATTTTTATTAAAATCAATCCCATTTAAAATTAATTTAATTTATCAGTCCCACATAAAATTAACTTTGTCTAAATTAATCCCACATAAATTTGATATGGTATTAAACTCTCTTCTTAATTTCACAACAAACATCTTTCTCAGAATCAACCCTAGATGGTAACCAAAAAAATGTGATAAACATATTTTTATATAACATATATTTGAAAACAGAAATTTCAACAAGTCATTTTTATAAATGATACATATAAATATTAATAAAGTGTCGCTACAATTTTCAGTCGTTTACTTGCATAAAAGTCTGATGCTTTATCAATTCTTTAAAAGCACCATCGTGAAGTACTAATTCGTCGTACTTTCCTTGTTCGACGATTTGTCCGTTTTTCAAAACGGCAATAGTATCGGCATTTTGTATGGTCGACAAACGGTGGGCGATTGTCAGTACAGTTCTACCTTTCATCACTCTTTCCAGAGCTTCTTGTACGAAATGTTCGGATTGGGAATCCAAAGCGCTCGTAGCCTCGTCCAAGAGGAGAATTTTCGGATCTTTAATGAGAGCCCTAGCTATCGCAACGCGCTGCTTTTGCCCACCGCTCAACATTACCCCCCTTTCTCCAACTACTGTATCGAAACCTTCTGGCAATTGCTGCACAAACTCGTACACGTTGGCTTCTTTACAGACCTTCACCAGGTCTTCATCGGTAATTTTATCAGGTTCTTCGGCACCATACAGAATATTTTCTTTAATAGAACAAGAGAATAAAATCGGTTCCTGACTAACGGTCCCTATATGCCTTTTAAGCCAAGCTGGATCGAGATCTTTGATATTGTGATTGTCTAGAAACACGCCGCCCGAAGCGGGATCGTATAATCTTAACAACAGCGCCCCCAAAGTACTTTTTCCTGAACCGCTTGGACCGACTACGGCTACCGTTTGACCGGGTTTTATATCCAAATTCAAATTTTTAAAAATGTCGATGTCTGTCCTTGATGGGTAGTTGAATTCGATTGATTTGAACTGTATGTGACCTTCTAGTACCGACATAGGTATTGATCCTCCTTGTATGGGAATGGATGGCTCTCTATCAATAATTTCCCAAATTCTCGTTGCTGCTCCTAAAGATTTATTCAAATCCGAATAAAAACTGGATAAACCGCCAACAGAAACGCCTATGTATGCGGCATAAAGCAAGAATGAAGACAGATTTCCAACAGTGATGGTATTTGAAGACACCATCACTCCACCGTAATATAAGACTGATATTATAATGATGTGTCCACTAAAACCGACCATTCCGTAGAATAAGGCTCGAGCTTTGGCTTCTTTGTAGCATAATTGTAAAACTCTGTCTATGGATGTGTTGTATGTCACGAATTCTTTCGGTTCTTGTGCGAAGGACTTCACCGTTCTCACGTTAGATATTCTTTCTTCTGCTACCTGAAATGATACATCAAATGTAAGATGATTTAGTTTAAAATCGCATTGAAGGTTTTTTTTTGGAGATACGCAAGTTGTACTAAAAGTACCTGGTTTAATCCGATGAAAGAAAAAGGTCGGATTAATAGCACTGGTAAGTTAAACAATGCTGTAATCTGGCTATTACTGAAAGTCTGGTTTAGACTTTCTTAGGTCACTTTTTTAAGGTCTTTATTATAGAAAATAAAGCAAAAGAATATATCGTACCATTTTCGAGGTAAATGACTATAACTTTTTTTCTTATGAACGCCATATTAGATTTGTATTGCATATTTGCAATTCTAGCAGAAGTTGGAAAGGATTTTGGTAGGTGGAGAGGGGGCAAACGTCAAACCACATCGGATAACTTCGAGAATTCCGCGGTAATGTTTATCCAGAAAGAACTATTACAAAATTATTATTTCGATCATCGATTTTCTTGGGTTATTACTATTGATAAATTGATACATTACAATAATTATTAATGTAAATACATAACGTCAGCTTACTATCAAAACTTGACAAATCTATTTTATGGACTTTGTAGTTTTCTATTATTTTGCATTTCTTTAACACCAACACATGGTTGGTTCTACAAAGGTCTAGCGCGATTCTAAGTTCTATCTAGAGCAGTTTTTTCATATTTAGTCTAATAAATGTTTTTTTTGTCTCTTATAAAATCAATCTGACTTAAGAGGTTTTGATACCTAGTTAGGGAGCAATAAATGGTTTGTATAAATGAAGAAATAAAGGTACCTACTATAGATTTTTGTTTTTTAAAAAAATACGTGTGGCACTCGGGGACTGCCGCGGTAAAGCTATTGCATAGCATTTTTTATCAACTTATGCAATTATAATTATTTATTTATTTTATTTATGCAGTATCTTTTTTTCTTTGATATTAATTCAAGTTTTTTCTTTGATATTAATTCAAGTTACACTTTTTGAGCGTGGTGACCGATAAGAAAACAAATATTTTTCTTTTATTGAATAAATGAGAAGTTAATATTGTTTAAAATATTTTTATTATCTTACAATCAGGAATATTTATCATTGAAACTATAGGTTTATACCGCGTCAATGGTGTCCCCATATTTTGTTGTGGATTCTTGTGGATCATTATTCATTTTCAAATTCAATTTTTCCGAAATTGTGTTTAATAGAGATAGAATCAGTTATGAGCAGTTAGCAGCGAGTCTACACGCATACGTCCAGTCGCACGCACACAAACACCGTGCCGAACTGAAACGACGTTAGACGATGCACGGCTTTCAACGCCGCACCGCTGTGCCGGTCGGAGTGGGGGGTGATTTTTCGAGGGTGTTAGGTTTATTTTCGTTACGGAATTTCTTGATTCGGTCGCTGCGCTCAAAGCCCGCGATAAAATCTATGCAATAGCTTAATAATGAAACAGTTAACACTGATAAAATAAAAATTAATATTTTTCCTACGACCACATAGGAAAGTGACACATATCACACTATATAGTCCTATGGAAAGTGCCCTATATCACACGCGTATGAATAAGAATTTACTTTCCACCCGTGTACGAATATACTACCAGAGACAATCCAGCGAGACGTGTAACTCAATGTATTTTTTTTGTTCGGTAAAAGTTATTTGGGCGATTGTAACCACAACCAGTCTATGATGGCGCCACTAGTAAATAGCGGGAAAATTAAAAATGCTTTAGGGCGGGAAATTCAAACATGGATTCAGAAATAAAGTTTTTCTATACAAATTTACAGGAGAAACAAAAACTATTGTTTCACTGTATATTAAAAAAATATAAAAGCTTCCAATAACATCAAATTTTTTATCACATAAATAATCATTTTAATAAAGGAAGTTTTAATCAGTTTAATATAAACAGTGAACATAGTTTTTATTACTCTTGTAAATTTCGCTAAAAAAAAACTTGAAAATTCTATTGATTATTAAATATTTAAACTTGGAAAAATAATACACCAAACTCTTTTTCTATAAATTATATTTTTGTAAGGTACAGAAAAACAAACTACAATTGCTTCGTTTAGAAAGTACCTCCTATCATTTTGTGACAAATTACAAAGAAAGTAACAGTTGTTATATATTCATAATATATTTAAAAACTAATGTAACAAATATTTTATAAAGTATAGTATCGATACCTTTTTGCCAGACTATCATAAGTGCCATTTGAACAAATGTCACTTATGTTAGTCTGGCAAAAAGGTATGGACATGTTATGACTGTTTATTTTAATAGAAACCATGGAAACGAAACACACATACACTCAACACAAATGTATAAGGCCCAAGTCAAGTAAGTTCCCATCCTGTAAACTGGATCGAAACCTGCTAGACCCCTGCTAACTCCTCTTATAGTAATCAAGATCAATATATTTATATGCCATGCCTTCTAAAAGGGAATGAAGGATGACATACTATCATCATTTAAACAGGACGTTGCTGAAGGCTTACCCCTGTTATTTCGTTTGTTTGTGTATCTTGTGTGTGTGCATTCCTGTTGTGTCCCCAGTCATGTAAAAGTTTTTCTAGTCTCCTAATTTGTTACTAGGTGGACCTTCTCCAACTAGTAGTCTAATCTATTCGATCTGTTTGGAAGCAGGAGGTACTTTTCAAACATAGTAAATAATATTATTAATAATAAACACTATTTAAAGATAAATACATTTTTGTATTTTTTTTGTCATTGCCCCTTACCTTTCTCTTACACCACCAGGGTATACCTATTTTCCATATTCACTTAATTATAGTTTACCTTACAATGTTCGAATGAATATAACATTTTACTCATGTTTAACTCTTTTTCAATTTAATTTGAAACAATAATTGGTACCTATATTACAATTTATTATCAAAGACAATTTCTAATAAAGTTATAGCAAATCCTACTTAAACTACTGGTTGTTCTGCAGGATAAATTAACTTTTCTTGAGATTGATCTCTCTATAAAATCCAAAACCGACCTGATGTCCCCAAATTTATTTTCCAATGCATCCTGATTTAAAATTCAGCCCTTTTGTGATTCATTTTTTTTTCTTCCTTTAGAGTGGCTGTTAGAGGTAGGTGTATGTAAGAAATAGCTAATCTCTAATCATTTCAAAAGTCCTTTGCCAATACTACATGTGCAGATTTTTTACTCGGCATACATTTTACTTTTCTAGTAGATAGGATCTTTGTACTGCCATTAAAGCTGTCCAGACATTCATCTACCTACTTAATGAACACAAGTAGCTGTAACAATGGATCTCTGTTCCAATTCACCTAAAATAATTATAGTCGTTGTGTAATATATTATTAAACACACACATTATACAGTGGTTTTCTTAATAAATTGGAAATTACTTACCTCTAGAAAGAAATGTGTACAAAAACGCGAGTTTGGTTCCAGAAATTGCTTCATGCAAAAAATAATATGCAAAAATAAACATTCCCCCCCAAAGAAAATTAATTAAACAACAAAATCAGACTAAAAGAAATATACGGGGCCCAAATTAAATTAATTTTAATAAAATGCACATGTTCATAACAACATTCATAACATTGTCAGTTGTCACTGTTGTCAGTTTTAATACTTTTAATCGATATTTCTACGTCAAAAAACCAGCAACACCAGCGCCCTCTGAAAATGGTGTTAGTTTTATTGGAGAGAGATAGACATATGTAAAGATCAATGTAAAAGAAAAAGAGGGTCATATATGTAATTTAAATGGACCACCGAACATATTTTCCTACTAAGTTACACGTCTCTGTTGTCTCTGATACTACTTTCCGCAGTAGCTGTCACAAAATGTCAAATGCATCATTTCTATTTTGATCTTTGTAATGTCCATATTAATACTAAAATCGATATGATTGTTAAATTGTTGTAAATTAGGTCCTAGATATTTATCTTTAACAATTATTATTAAAATAAGTTTAAAATAACTAAGATATGTTTGCTCTTTATTCTGGTTAAACACATAACCGATTAGATCATTAAATTGACGCATGGCCTATTAGCTTAGATGGTTAGAGCGTCAACTTTGCCGTTTGAGACCTGGCGAGCGACCGCGTTCAAATCCTGGCGGGGCCAGAATTTTTTTTTTGTTTTTTTTTATTTTTTTTTTAATTTTTTTTTTGTTTGGAAATGTAATATACTATATAAATCTTGCAAAAAAAATTAATATCTAATATTTACGCCAGCCGGGAACATTTGTGATACCAATTTATTAGAAGCCAGAGAAAGCTCTTCTAGTTCTTGTATTGCATACACGTTCCAGTCCGCAGACGTATATTTAACTCCGCCTCATACTAATACGAATAGGGTTGGATAAAACCTTCCACGGGTTTTAACGCCGCACCGCTGTGCCGGTCGGAGTGGGGGGTGTTAGGTTTATTTTCGTTACGGAATTTCTTGATTCGGTCGTCGCGCTCAAAGCCCGCGATAAAAGCTATGCAATAGCTTAAAAACTAAATCTGGCTTATTTAACAAACTTTGTATAACCAACGATTTAGTGAAAGCACCCTGTATATTATTACAACGTATAGGACACATAAAGACTAGAGACTTCATAAGGACACATCAAAACGCAATAAAATAAAACTTATCGCACATTTTTTCATTAATATTACGTGCTTAGTCACAGTAGTCATTTTGGTCACAGTAGTCACTGTCAAAATCCAGCGCCGAAAAGTAAAACGTCTAAATTCATATAGCGCTCTTTTGTTTTATTCTCGATAGGTCCCTAATTCAAACGACGAGCTTTCATTGGCCGAAATCCTAAATCACCCGTTGCATCAAGCCAATCAGGGGAGGTATTTAAAATGAGATCATCTTCGACGTATTGAAAAAAATCACGTGAACAGGTGTTTTTTAAAAAAGCCTTTGTAATTTTGGTATAATTTGCAATTTAAAATCGTTTTACATTTGCGTTAATTTAACAAGCCTGTGTTGATAGTTATTAATAAAAAAGCGTGGTGTAATTATGTGCCTAA